TTTGTCATAATCAGTTCAATAGTTTGAGAAAAATCTAGTATAATGTAAGACGACATCTACAGCGATTCGAGCTAAATTTCTTCGAAAAATCCAAACCAAGCCGCATCATGATAGAATATAGTGTGGACCAATAAATGATCAAATATTTATCTCATCTGCCTACAAACAGTTGAATATGATACAAAAGATGACTTTAGGATGATGAATACTACTAATGGACCTCTTTGTCTTCTTTATAAGGTCTCTTTTGGTCCATTTATACCTCTCATTTCCTCAAAATGTCTACTTTATAGGCCAATAAATAAAAATTTTGGGGTAACTTTCACTCATTTATGATAGAAATGTTATAATAAATGATTAATTGAAGTATTCAAGCTGAATGAACTATCCGTATAAAAGTTTACTGTCTCCAAGGAGGTTTCCATAAGTCCTTACGTAAAACTTAAATTTACGCCGCATTCCAGAGAGGGACATAAAAAACTTCTCTTTTGGTGAATAATTTGTTGTTACTGCTTTAAAAATAATTTCATTTACTTAAAACTATATATTTATTAAAGTATTTCTTAGGAAAAAGTTTCTAGTATAGCAGAATATAAAAAAAAGGAGAAAAGGCTCCCCAAAACTCTAAGTATGGCTTATTCTGTCAACTAATATTCATGGTTAAGTCCTATTTCAAGGAAATTTTCTCATAAAATGTGTTTTGGAGACTCAATCCACTCAGAATATTTCATTATTAGTAATATTTCACTTAAATAGCAAGAAATTTTAACACATGAGAGTGCTCACAAGGTCAAAGGTGCATGTACAGCTTCCCATATTAAATAATAGGTGTAATACCACCATTGATTTTCCCCTATTAGTCTTTGTTAAATTTGCACTTTTCAAAAAATTGTGCAGAATTTATCTTTGTTTCAAATAAAGAAATACTTGGCATGAGTAAAGTTTGATCCTGTCCAGTACTATAGAAAAAATTTCACATTACATTTCATTGCATATAAGAAAATAACCATCACTGGAAGTTAACCAATCAAATTTTCCCCCTTTTTTAACCTGTGTACAAGCTTTAGTAACCATGTAACCTCAAGTTTCCAAAATATTCTATAGAAACCCCAAATAAAAAAATAATGGTGCTTTGAAATACCCAAGATATATGTTTATGACCCAGAAATGTTTTACTGCAATGAAATGTAGGATCAATTACCTACAACTGTCAAATTCAAGGGAATATTTTTTTTCGACCTATTTTCGTATGCAACCGGATGTGACGTACTATGATTTGGTGGTATTACACCTAGAGGTCTCCTGTTAGGACATGACCATAGGGAACATATCTAAAACTAGATGTTTCACAGTCTCAAGTGGAAGGAACATTATTTTCTATATTGACGTCTGATGTAACTGACGTATAATTAAAAATCAAACTTCTGCTGGTTTTTTTTTTATAAAAATACGAAATAATAGGTGGTTCTATATTATCAAAATATGGAGGTATTTGGCTTTGGGTGGTAGAGTCAATGAATATACTAGATAAGTTAATAAAATCAATACCTCTATTTATATATTTTAATTTAAGAAAATGTCGTTTATGATTTTCAGGTTAATCGATACTAGGAAATAGCCTATGATGACAAAAGGCTGTAATAATACGGGTGTATTCATACATTTGGCTAAAAAAAATTTTTTATCACACTCCAGAAAAATAGCATATAATTTATTTATTGGTATCTGACCTAGTTTGCATAATACTTGATGTCTGCCATTATTTTTTATTATAGATAACAGATCAGCAAGTGTATAATTTATACGTTGTTTAATACGCTGCTTACGTTTTTTGCGTTTACCATGAGACCTTTTATTTCTAAGTCGTATATCGACAATATTAATGACATCGATTGAAGTTTTAGTTATGTTCCCCTGTCCTAATATTTTGTCATTAAGACCGATAGGATAAGCTGTTTGAAGTCTTTTTATCCAAAATAATTCGCGAACTTCACGTGATTTTTCAAATTGCTTGTGTGATTCTCCTGGTTGTGTCTGAACGGTTTCAATTGGTTGGAATTTTATTAATTTTAGATTATGAGTATGCTTATCTAAATGTTGATATATCAAACTTTTGAATTTTTTAGGTCTACGAAAGTGGTAAAGGTGTTCTTGATTTCTGTTGTGATACTCTCGTCCCACATATTGAATAAAATTGAGAATGGAAATGGGGAATGTGTCAAAGAGACAACAACCCGACCATAGAGCAGAAAACAGCCGAAGGCCACCAAATACCATACTTAGGTTGGGTTCAAGTTACCACATATATAAGGTTTTGAGTTTTTCAGGTAATGTCACAGGAAAAGGAGAGCGAAAAAGCTCTCCCGTTCACTGTTGACCTTACAGTATTTTGTGAAGTTAATCTAAAACAGGTTTGTCACTTTTTGGCATTGCAGAGGAAAATTTGTGGATATCCAATTGCATTTTTGTTAAACAATCTGGCTGTAGAGGCATAACAAATACGTTTGTTTAAGCACGTGGATATCCTAGAAGTTGTGTTGTTAATAATTTTCTTTCCATAACGTAAAATCATAATAATTAAATAGAGGTATAGGAAAAATAAAAAAGACCGGAGGTTGTAACAATGAATAAGGATCACAATTACGGAATAGGAAATAATAGACAAAGCAGTAAAAGAACTCTTACAAAAACTGTTATAAAAGGCCCGACGTAAAGACTTCAGTATTACAACACTGACATATAACAAACACAGAGCAAAAACAGAGATTGTAAGAAATCTTAGTAAAACCATAGCAGGGGGCAATAATAAAAATAGCAGGCGTGGATGAGTATTAGGAAATATAGGCAAATATTTAAACAAATATTTTTCAAAAGAAAGGTGTCCTTTTATACATAATTGTAAGGGCAATCTTGGTTTGAGGCTGTGACTATGATATAGTGACTCAGTTTGGTGTAAGTAATTTTTTAAAGAATATACAAATTTTAAAAGGTTTCACTGATGTATTCTAATGGGATGTAACATGTTTTTACATCATATGAAATTGTTAATGAGATTTATCTGCAGAAAGAATCATTTAGGACTGAAGGATTGATTTTTTTATATTTGTTCAATGTGCATAGGCAAATATTTCTTGCATATTCTGGTTGAGAACAATTGATTCATAAATATTAAACATTTTTTATGATTGATATTAATGTACAAGGCAACAGTCCACAGGAAGACATGTCATCCATCCAGATGCAATATTCCGACGAGCCGACCAGTCTTTGCTCTTACCTTTAAATACTACGTGTCTGGCGGAGAAACAGTAAATACTAAATTTGAAGGTTCGGTTTAGCCCAGGAACAAGAATTGGAACAATGGAGTTTTATTTAAGCAGGGTAAAGGATTTGGTTTCGTATAGAAAGTCTTTGAATTTATGATTTCAATAAATATTTTAAAGTTTGGTGATTATTCAATTAGTTAATTGCATTTATCCCAATGAACTATAAGTTAGAAATACCACATATTATACGTTTACAGTTAAGTCTACCCCTAACTTGACAATGAAGGTTAGTTTAAGAACAATTTTTTACCACAGAAGAGACGACTTTAATGATTTCATTGTGGACTTTCCATTCCTCTTTAGCAAAATCCAACTAGTGCCTGCATAAGGAGTATTATATATTGTGGTTGATACGATATTCCAGGGCTTTCGTTTTGTATAACATTCCCACATGCAACTTATTCTTATTCCACAATGTTTTTCAACTTCGAATTTATTTGGCCTTGATTAGAGCGTCACTGATAAGTCTTTTATTGACGAAACGCGCGTCTGGAGAACAAAATTTTAATCCTGGTATCTATGATGAGTTTATTTACTTGCCATAAACAACACAACGAAGGCCAGTAGCGTAGTCGGACCGGTTTACCCTTCCACTACATCTTAATTCATCTAATATTGTCTTTAAACGTGCGTGCTGATTTATCATTAGTTTTGAGTGATGCATTTTCTGATATTTCGTTTTAATGTCACTGTTCTTTAAACGGTTACAAACTTGTGTATCATTTGTTTGTAAAAAATATGGTTTTCGCAGTTGGTCAAGTTTTAATGTTTGACAATTTACATATACCGATGGATCCAGATAAAATATAGAAACTTTGCGTGCAAAAAAATATGATTTTGAAACTAAGATAACATGCAAGTACTGCTGATGATTTTGACTTGATGATGTTTTGATAAATATATCATGTGTATATAAATGCAAAATATATGTAAATATCTAAACAAACTAAATCCACATATATTGATACTTAAGGCTTTATTTCCGGGTTAAATTTGCATGTTTAACAAAAGACGATAACTTTTAGTGATGCAAAATAAGTTACTTATAAACAACAGTAAATTGTACTTCTAACCAGCAGCTTATCATAATTAAAAAGGGTAAAGTCACTGCATTTGTTTGTATCCACCATTAAGTAATATGCTCCACAAACACATACTGACATATGCACAAAATAAATATGTATAAAGTCATTTATTTTACAAACATAACTCATATCTAACATAAATTATGATTGCTGCTCCAAGATTATATCATATTGATATACTCATGATACTGTAAGGAAATTGCAACTACACATTTCATTTATATATTAAATTCAACATTGCACGTGCCCTTTCAACAAATCATTCAATAAGTTTTCTTCTCTTATGTTACTGTGGATTCATTGATTTTCGTTAAATACCAATTTTCTCGGATTTTGTGTGTACAGATGAAACACAAATTCGAATATTCGACGAATTTCAAAATTGTTTATAGGCTTTATGCAAACTTTGGCAAAACCACGAAATCAATCTCCACGAAAATACAAATTTACCTTGATCTATGAAAATTGGTACAAACTAAAACCGATGAATAGTATTAACATATCAACTAACCATTTTATCATTTACACCTGACCCTTTATCACTTTCAATTATACACAGATATAACACCCTAAACAAACTTAATGGCCACCTGTTCAACTTAAAGGACTGATGTGTACTAGAGACATATAAATTATTTATGTTTCTGTTTGTACACATTGCACCAACTCTTTCCGGGTTTATCAAAGACATCAGTACAACATTCAAAATCAGTAAATAAAACTTGTGACACCAGTAAAATAAAACTTTTACTACTCAGAATGTCCTATTCACTTTTCAACGATATCTAATTATTTGTTTACCAGAAAAGGTTTTTGGGACCAGTAAATTAAAGCTATATTCATGCATGGCAGTGAAACATCTTTCAATAGGTGAAAAAATAATGGGTTTTGGGGTTTCTTCATAAAATATGCATTGATTAGATATAAGGAGATGTAGTATGAGTGCCAATAAGACAACTCTCCATCCAAGTCAAGATTTATAAAAGTAAACCATCATAGGTCAAAGTACGATCTTCAACACGAAGCCTTGGCTCACACCGAAGAGCAAGCTATAAAGGGCCCCATAAATTACTAGTGTAAAACCATTCAAACGGGAAAACCAACGGTCTAATCTATATAAAAAAGGAGAAACGAGAAACACTTATGAACCACATCAACAAACGACAACTACTTAACATCAGATTCCTGACTTAGGACAGGTGTATAATGCAGCGGGTTTAAACGTTTTAATAGGTACCAACCTTCACCCTTATCTGGAACAATAGTGTAACATCACAACATAGAAAGACACACTATAAAATATCAATTGAAATGGCTTAACTCAATCAAAAGACATATTAACGCCAGTGAACATACACTGAACAAATATATTTGATCTATGATACAATAAAAATACAAAATAAATAAACTAAGGGAAGAATATTTAAAGTAACATGTTATACCGCTGTGAAATGTTAAACAATTTAAGAAAAACAATATGCTTGAACAAAAATATCAGCCATTTGCAATTACTTTAAACACAGGTAAATGAAAATAATTTTGTTGTTAGGTATACGTGTGCAGTTCAAATAGAGAAAGGAAATATTTTTACAAAATAAATAATTTTCATGTTCATAGTACGAAGAAGTGAAAATTCATAGTAATAACTAACACTTATCAAAGCTGGTATATAGACCAGATATAACCCTGATTAACACAAATATCAAAAAAGTATTACAATTAGTATCAACAGGTCAAATAAACAAGAAAGTACGATTTGAGAGTACTCGCAGTTACCGACAGCTAGTTAAAAGCCAAAAACAATTAATAATAAAAAATCATGCATCAGAGACTAAAATCAACTAAAACACATCCCAGGGATTTCTTTTTTCAACGTCATGGACAGTCAAAGAAGACATGACTTGTGCAATGCCAAAAATAAATGTATCGACAGGCAGTAGGATAGTTAGGAGTTAACCTCTTTATAGATCAAAATGAACGTGGGTGTGTCATTATACATCCCGTTTGAAAAGAATACAAATTTAGTTATGTTTTAATTTGCTGATGACAAAATCGATATTAGTGCCAATGTAAACTATATTCAAAGATCTAATTACAACATTGGTAAGATAGCCTTTACTAATAAGTTAGTTTAAAGGTTCGATGAGTTTACACGGAACAAATAGTGATTTCCGCGCTTTAAGTACAATATTACCGTGAAATTTAGGATGTGAAATACCGTTTTTAATCAGTTTTCTACAGGTACAGCCATATTTACTAATCAAATCTTTGTATCTATGATAGTAAAAGTTTTACGTAAATTATGTAAACAAAATCCCTGACTTAATAATTTACCAGTGATGCTTTGATTACGTTCGTTAAAATCTATGACATCACTACACACACGGGCATAACGAACGAGTTGGGATATATAAACACCGTATGATAGAGCCAAAGGACCATCGCCATCTAAAAAGGGAAAATTAACAATAGGGAGTGAAAAGTCGTCTCTTTTGTCGTAAATTTTAGTATGGAGTTTTCCTTTAGAGATTGAAATGTCCAAATCTAGAAAAGGACAACTACTGCTGTTTATGTTAGATTTAGCTAAAGTAAGTTCTTTTGGGTAAATGTCGGTAGTATATTTAGAGAACTCTGGATTATTTAACGAAAAAATATCATCTAGATAACGGAAGGCATTGTTGAATATATCAACCAAATGTAACAATGACGTGTCTTTACTGAGTTTGGTCATAAACTGAGATTCATAGCAATACTGGAGTAAATCTGCTATTAAAGGGGCGCAGTTAGTGCCCATAGGAATACCTACTACTTGTCGGTACACTTTATCGCCGAAACGTACATATATGTTGTCCAGGAAAAATTTAAAGCTTCAATTATATCTTCGCATTTCCAGTAAGTGTATCTAGCATACTTTCCTTTTTCGTTACAGAAAAAGGCTTTAAACGAGTTACAGCAAATAAATTTGTAATGAGATTTTTCAAAAGACTTTTTCTTGATAAGATTGTGTGGAAGTGTAGTATAGAGAGTAGAAAAATCATAACTGTCAACAGAATTAAAAGGACCATCAAAAGCATGTATTTTATCTAAAACCTCTAAAGAATTTTTAACACTCAAAAAATAATTAATACCATTATTTTCATAAGCTTTATTACAAAAGTTAATAACAAGTTCTTTGATAGTATTAAGGGAGGTAGTTAGAAGCACTGATAGATTGATAGTAGAACACTTACTAGATGCGGAGATGAAACGGAATTTAAATGGTTTTTTGTGCAATTTAGGTAACCAGTACATAGTAGGGACTTTCAAATGTTTGGAAGAGGCTTTAAGCTGGGTAGTGGCAGTGATATGCTTGTTTACAATTTGACTCTCTGTGGAGCGTACGGACCTAAATGTAGATGAATTTGTACTTTCGTTTTGGAGAACTTCCGTGTAGTATATGCGTCACACCACCACTACATTATTTGCAGCTTTATTTGCCGGTACGAACAGAAACCGCTTTGCGAGTTCTTGGAGTTTATTTTTTATTCTAGAAATGGGAATATCATGGACCCTATTACTAATTTCAGAATTGTTTTCAAAACGAGATATACGAATATTAACAGTATTCATAAATTTATTCAAATAACTGTCTAGAGATTTTTTATCAGATTTTTGCACGTTTACACCAATGTTTACAGTAGACTGACGTCTTTAATGACCTGACGAAACTGTTTCCAATCTATTTTAGATGGAGGACGATATTTCAGTCCTTTCTTTAGAAAAGTTATGACCTCAAGGTCTTCGACGATGTTGTGGTGTAATACCACCATTGATTTTCCCCTATTAGTCTTTGTTAAATTTGCACTTTTCAAAAAATTGTGCAGAATTTATCTTTGTTTCAAATAAAGAAATACTTGGCATGAGTAAAGTTTGATTCTGTCCAGTACTATAGAAAAAATTTCACATAACATTTCATTACATATAAGAAAATAAACATCACTGGAAGTTAACCAATCAAATTTTCCCCCTTTTTTAACCTGTGTACAAGCTTTAGTAACCATGTAACCTCAAGTTTCCAAAATATTCTATAGAAACCCCAAATAAAAAAATAATGGTGCTTTGAAATACCCAAGATATATGTTTATGACCCAGAAATGTTTTACTGCAATGAAATGTAGGATCAATTACCTACAACTGTCAAATTCAAGGGAATATTTTTTTTCGACCTATTTTCGTATGCAACCGGATGTGACGTACTATGATTTGGTGGTATTACACCTAAAGAAGACTTTTTTGTTAAATAAACTGAATGTGACTTTTTTCCTTTGTAATACTGGTTCTTTCAAGCATTCCTGTCAAGTTTTGTCATAATCAGTTCAATAGTTTGAGAAAAATCTAGTATAATGTAAGACGACATCTACAGCGATTCGAGCTAAATTTCTTCGAAAAATCCAAACCAAGCCGCATCATGATAGAATATAGTGTGGACCAATAAATGATCAAATATTTATCTCATCTGCCTACAAACAGTTGAATATGATACAAAAGATGACTTTAGGATGATGAATACTACTAATGGACCTCTTTGTCTTCTTTATAAGGTCTCTTTTGGTCCATTTATACCTCTCATTTCCTCAAAATGTCTACTTTATAGGCCAATAAATAAAAATTTTGGGGTAACTTTCACTCATTTATGATAGAAATGTTATAATAAATGATTAATTGAAGTATTCAAGCTGAATGAACTATCCGTATAAAAGTTTACTGTCTCCAAGGAGGTTTCCATAAGTCCTTACGTAAAACTTAAATTTACGCCGCATTCCAGAGAGGGACATAAAAAACTTCTCTTTTGGTGAATAATTTGTTGTTACTGCTTTAAAAATAATTTCATTTACTTAAAACTATATATTTATTAAAGTATTTCTTAGGAAAAAGTTTCTAGTATAGCAGAATATAAAAAAAAGGAGAAAAAGCTCCCCAAAACTCTAAGTATGGCTTATTCTGTCAACTAATATTCATGGTTAAGTCCTATTTCAAGGAAATTTTCTCATAAAATGTGTTTTGGAGACTCAATCCACTCAGAATATTTCATTATTAGTAATATTTCACTTAAATAGCAAGAAATTTTAACACATGAGAGTGCTCACAAGGTCAAAGGTGCATGTACAGCTTCCCATATTAAATAATAGGTGTAATACCACCATTGATTTTCCCCTATTAGTCTTTGTTAAATTTGCACTTTTCAAAAAATTGTGCAGAATTTATCTTTGTTTCAAATAAAGAAATACTTGGCATGAGTAAAGTTTGATCCTGTCCAGTACTATAGAAAAAATTTCACATAACATTTCATTGCATATAAGAAAATAACCATCACTGGAAGTTAACCAATCAAATTTTCCCCCTTTTTTAACCTGTGTACAAGCTTTAGTAACCATGTAACCTCAAGTTTCCAAAATATTCTATAGAAACCCCAAATAAAAAAATAATGGTGCTTTGAAATACCCAAGATATATGTTTATGACCCAGAAATGTTTTACTGCAATGAAATGTAGGATCAATTACCTACAACTGTCAAATTCAAGGGAATATTTTTTTTCGACCTATTTTCGTATGCAACCGGATGTGACGTACTATGATTTGGTGGTATTACACCTAGAGGTCTCCTGTTAGGACATGACCATAGGGAACATATCTAAAACTAGATGTTTCACAGTCTCAAGTGGAAGGAACATTATTTTCTATATTGACGTCTGATGTAACTGACGTATAATTAAAAATCAAACTTCTGCTGGTTTTTTTTTTATAAAAATACGAAATAATAGGTGGTTCTATATTATCAAAATATGGAGGTATTTGGCTTTGGGTGGTAGAGTCAATGAATATACTAGATAAGTTAATAAAATCAATACCTCTATTTATATATTTTAATTTAAGAAAATGTCGTTTATGATTTTCAGGTTAATCGATACTAGGAAATAGCCTATGATGACAAAAGGCTGTAATAATACGGGTGTATTCATACATTTGGCTAAAAAAATTTTTTTATCACACTCCAGAAAAATAGCATATAATTTATTTATTGGTATCTGACCTAGTTTGCATAATACTTGATGTCTGCCATTATTTTTTATTATAGATAACAGATCAGCAAGTGTATAATTTATACGTTGTTTAATACGCTGCTTACGTTTTTTGCGTTTACCATGAGACCTTTTATTTCTAAGTCGTATATCGACAATATTAATGACATCGATTGAAGTTTTAGTTATGTTCCCCTGTCCTAATATTTTGTCATTAAGACCGATAGGATAAGCTGTTTGAAGTCTTTTTATCCAAAATAATTCGCGAACTTCACGTGATTTTTCAAATTGCTTGTGTGATTCTCCTGGTTGTGTCTGAACGGTTTCAATTGGTTGGAATTTTATTAATTTTAGATTATGAGTATGCTTATCTAAATGTTGATATATCAAACTTTTGAATTTTTTAGGTCTACGAAAGTGGTAAAGGTGTTCTTGATTTCTGTTGTGATACTCTCGTCCCACATATTGAATAAAATTGAGAATGGAAATGGGGAATGTGTCAAAGAGACAACAACCCGACCATAGAGCAGAAAACAGCCGAAGGCCACCAAATACCATACTTAGGTTGGGTTCAAGTTACCACATATATAAGGTTTTGAGTTTTTCAGGTAATGTCACAGGAAAAGGAGAGCGAAAAAGCTCTCCCGTTCACTGTTGACCTTACAGTATTTTGTGAAGTTAATCTAAAACAGGTTTGTCACTTTTTGGCATTGCAGAGGAAAATTTGTGGATATCCAATTGCATTTTTGTTAAACAATCTGGCTGTAGAGGCATAACAAATACGTTTGTTTAAGCACGTGGATATCCTAGAAGTTGTGTTGTTAATAATTTTCTTTCCATAACGTAAAATCATAATAATTAAATAGAGGTATAGGAAAAATAAAAAAGACCGGAGGTTGTAACAATGAATAAGGATCACAATTACGGAATAGGAAATAATAGACAAAGCAGTAAAAGAACTCTTACAAAAACTGTTATAAAAGGCCCGACGTAAAGACTTCAGTATTACAACACTGACATATAACAAACACAGAGCAAAAACAGAGATTGTAAGAAATCTTAGTAAAACCATAGCAGGGGGCAATAATAAAAATAGCAGGCGTGGATGAGTATTTATACATCCAAACACCATAATATATAATTAACAATTAAGAACAAAGATATAATAAACATGTGAAAGCTCTCTCACAGGCAAACAACCCATAATTGAAAAATATAAGGGCATCCACCATTTGGGTCTTCTTTCTACTAAAATGTCTAAATGGTGTTATGTCAAAAACTAGTAAAAATCATATCGACATTGTCAGTGTCTGATTCAAAAGAGTTTTAGAATGGCTGGGGTTTTTATTGCTAAACAGAGACTTTGACTTTTCTACGTGTATTTATATAATCCCTTTTACACAACTGTAAGATAACTTCTTAAACTGTAGTTTAAAACAACAGAAGTGAAATTAGACATCATATTTAATTTCATTTAATACTGATTACTAGTGTGCCTTTAGCAACTACTAGGACTATGTGATACTTCAAATTAAAGAATGATTAAACAAAATCATAAATACAAAATAGACGTCCCATGTATATAGGGATTATAGAGTTATTATTGTTTACAGAACAAAATTGGACAGTTTTACTAAAATGGAGGGTTTAAGGTGGTACCAAAAACCTTGACTACAATTAATTTAGCTCGTTCAATTTTCAAAAAATTCTGACAAAATATTTACTTTGACTCTTTGACAAAAATATAAAAATTTCAAAAATCTTGAACCACACACTTTATCGGAAAATTTTCATTGAATATATAGCAGTTTAGCAAACACAAATTTTGATCATTGAGAAGCTTAATATTTCCTGAACAATAGAACGTGATTAAAACGTTCAGCTGATTTTTACAGAGTTATCTCCCTGTAGTGTTATGTACCACCTTAAAGCATCGAATACTTTTCTTGATATACAAGCGAATGAACTGGTTTTAAAATTATGACTTTATGGATACGTTTGTAATTATTATATCTGTAAAGGAAATGGAGGAAATTGGACTTAATTCTTAATTCGAGCATATTGAAGTTGATCAGAAGCTTGAAATATGAGGTAATTGTTCATTCAATATTAAAGACATTTTAGAATAGTGGTGAAATTGAAACAACTCTATACATATACATGTAGATGGATTATCCTATAATACAGATACAGGAGTATAGAGATATCATTAGACAGGAAGAAGAGAATGCAAATGAACACCTGAGGATGGATAAAATGGACGATGATGGACAATGAGGTTATTGTTTCATGGAAGTAATGACTAAAATTTTTTATTCTGATAATAGCAGTATCTTTGATATCTGCTGGACAGGAATTGGCATGGTATGGTCACTGCATAAAGGAAAGTTGTCGTTGAATTTAAGTACAGGAAGAAAACAATTCAATAGCAGTACATTTCTATGATTTCCACAAAACCAAGGATTTTTTTGAAAGAAAGTCTACATATAATAAAACTTTATCAATCAAGTACATGAAACATAGTTTTCTTTGTTTGTTAAATTTGAAGCATCATATACCTTAAGAATGTTCGCTTCTCTTGTTTTTGAATTTTTACCAGATATTCGGAATCCTCTGGTTTTATCCATGTAGTGCCATTAAAAATTTTGCACGCAAACCCCTACTTTTCTTTTTATAATTTTATTACATTAAGTTTAAAAAGCCATATTTGAAAATCTTATAAAATCCTTGTTATTTTTTCATAGTTTTTGAAAGAAAAAAGGTGCCAATGTGAAATGTAATACGCATCTCGAGAGAATCACTTCCCGCCAAATTTTCAATGGCTTATATCTCGAAAACAAGCACACAGACCCTTTAATTTTCTCAGCTTTTTTAGTTCCTTTATTCATATACTTTCAATTGATAAGTCTTTTCAAGAGCTTGTTATTTTGAAGCAGAGTAGCAATCATCCTTAACAGAACAGAAATTAAAATAGAAATAAGAAGATGTGGTATGAGTGCCAATGAGACAACTCTCCATCCAAGTTACAATGTGTAAAAAGTAAACAATTATAGGTCAAAGTACGGCCTTCAAAGAATGTTTTTAGAATATTGTAACATAATCTTTTACTAAATATCACACAAGAGGTTTCCAATATATCTAATACTTTTCTTGACGTAATACAGAATTAAATGAACTGGTTTAAGGGTATGTATATCTTTATATCTATGAATGGAGACAGTTCCGAGAAATTGGGCCTACCTCTATACACAACAGCAAGGTCATTAAAGTGCTGAAATCGAAACTACAATATAAATGTAGATATCCTCTCTGAAGCCATAAATGCAGGAGTACGGAGATACCATTAAAAATGTTGGGCATGAAAAAACGAGCATACATGTGAACACTTTAGGATACAAACTATGGACAATGAGTTTATTCATTCATAGGAGCAATGATTCAATTCTTTTCTTTTGAAACTACCAGTATTTTTGGTGTCAGCTGGCTTAGTATTGGCTGTTACTAATTTAATGTTAAAAAAGTTAAAACTATAAAGCTTTTTTTTTAGGATTTGACCTGAAATAGGGAGAATAACCCTAATAATCTTTACGTTTCTGTTTTACGTCAAAAAAGAAAATAGTATATTTCTGATTTGTTGGATGGGCTACAGATCTGCCAAACATAGATTAGATAGACAATGATGTTATTCTGTTGTGGGAGCAATAATTCAAACTTTTTCTTTTGACACTATCAGTAATTTTGATTTCAGATGGATTAGTATTGATTGTAAATTGCTTGAAGTTATGCAAGTTAAACTATATTGCTTTTTGTTAGGAGTGGATCTTTAATTTGAGCTTAAATAAGGACATTAAACCTAATAAGTTTTAAACGTTTTTATGCCATATTAAAACAATAATACATTTCTGATGTTAAGGGGGGCCACACGTCTGCCAATCATGCATAAGATGGACAATGAGATCATTCCTTCGTGGAAGCAGTGGTTCAAACTTTTTCTGACACTATCAATATGGTGTATGCTAGATTAGTTTTAAATGTAACTTTTTTCATTTCACAGAAGTTAAAGTATATAGTTTTTTGGAAGGGTGAATCTTGAGTTTGAGCTTAAATAAGGAGAATTAATTATCTTATAATATTTACGGTTCTAATGCCGACTAAAATTATATCTTTCTGACTTTAAGGAAGGTCCACAAGTCTGCCATACACAGATAAGATGGCGAATGAGGTTATTCTTCCATGGAAGCAGTGGTTAAACCTTTTTCTTTTGACACTAACAGTATCTTTGGTGTCAGCAGGTTTATCATTGACTGTAACATATTCAATGTTAGATAAGATGGACTACGAGGTGATTCTTCCGTGGAAAATATAGATCAAACTTTTTCTGTTGAAACTTACAGTACCTTTGGTTTCAGAGGGCTTATTATAACATATTCAATATTGGATAAGATAGACTATGAGGTTATTCTTTCGTGGAAGAAATGGTTCAAAATTTTTCTGTTGACACTAACAGTAACTATGGTGTCAGCTGGTTTAGAATTGACTGTGACATATTTAATATTACAGAATTGAAACTACATAACGTTTTGTAAGGAGTGGATCTTGGATTTGAGCATAAATAGGGGGAATAAACCTAATAATATTTACGTTTTTAATGCCAAATCAAAAAATGATATATTTCTGATAAAAAGGAGGATCCTTACGTCTGCTACACCAAAATAAGATTGATAATAAGGTTTATATTTCGTGGAAGCAATAGTTCAATGTATATTTCTTTTGACACTAACAGTCCCTTTGTTGTCAGCTTGCGTAGTATTAACTGCAACTTATTGAATTTTGGATAAGATGGACTATGAGGTTATCTTTCGTGGAAGAAATGGCAAAAACTTTTTCTGTTGACACTAACAATATCTTTGTTGTCTGCTGGCTTAGTTTTGACAGTAACTTATTTTACATTACAAAAGTTAAACTATCTAGCTTTAAGTAAGGAGTGGATCTTTGATTTGAGCTTAAATAGGGAGGATCACCCTACTTATCTTTACGTTTTTTATGCATAATAAAAAGATTGATACATTTCTGATTTGAAGGAAGGGTCACCCTTCTACCACACATGAAGACGATTGACAATGAGGTTATTCATTCATGAAAACAGTGGTTCAAACTTTTCCTTTTGACACTAACAGTATATATGGTGTCACCTGGCTTAGAATTGACTGTAACTCATTCAATATTACAAATTGAAAATAAATAGCTTTTTATAAGGAATGGATCTTGGATTTGAGCATAAAGAGGGGGAATAAACCTAATAATATTTACGTTTTTAATGCCAAATCAAAAATTTAATATATTTTTGAATTCTGGAAGGGCCACACGTCTGCCGCATATGTATTAGATTGACTATGAGGTTATTCTTTCATGGAAGCAATTTTTTTCTTTTTACACTTACAGTATCTATAGTGTAAGCTGTAACATATTTAATGTTAAAGAAGTTAAACTGTATAGCTTTTTGTATGGGGCGAATCTTGGATTTGAACTTAAATAGGGGGAATAAACCTAATACTTTTTATGTTTTCACTGGTGAATAAAGAAATGATACATTTCTGTGATTTTAAGGAAGGGCCACATGTCTACAACACAAAAATAAGATTGACAATGAGGTTATTTTTTCATTAAAGCAAAAGCTCAAACTTTTTTCTTTTGACACTAACAGTATCTTTGGTTTCATCAGGCTTATTATTGACTGTAACATATTTAATGTTGGATAAGATGGACTATGAAGTTATTCATTTATGGAAGCAATGGCTAATTTTTTTTTCTTTTGACACTAACAGTATCTTTGGTGTCTGCTGGCTTAGTACTGACAGTGACATATTTTACATAAGTTAAACTATATAGCTTTTTGTAAGAAGTGGATCTTGGATCTGGGCTTATATATGTACTTATCTTCATGTTTTTATGTGAAATAAAAAAATGACAAATTTCTGATTTTTAAAATCCACTTCATTTGAACTGTGGTGTATAGTTTTCTCATTAGCAATCATACCACATCATCGTATTTTTATATTTATATGCAGTAGACTTCCAACTTCATTAAAAAACAACCTTATGATAGAGATTATAAATAACATCTCAAACGAGTTTATATTATAAGCAGCATGTTTTCCTCTTCTGATGGACGTATGAATCACATATAGACACGGTAGATGGTTGTTTCTCTTTCTTACATCCTTCGACTAATACACTGCCTATTTAAAAAAAAAGTGTGTTTGTTATAATCATCGTATATGCAGAAAACTTTGATATCTTACATTTATTGCTATTTAATACAATCTTATTGCTTTTTGTGTAAACAGATATATGTATATAATATATATATATAAACTCATCAAAGATTCCAGGAACAAAATATTGGACGCCAGTCGCGTGTTTTGTCTGCAAAAGACTCATCAGCTAGATAAAAATGTAAAAATAAATAAAGCATGAAGTTGAAGAGCATTGAGGATGCAAAATGTAATTTTGAATATATATATATGAGTTCGTCCCGGCCAGGCAAGAACAAAAAATTTACTTCCGCAAATTTACACATCTAACATTGTTGGGCTGTTATTTAGACGAATTATATATACAGAATGTATTTTCAGCCTTTTATCACCATCACTGCTGGTGATCCGATGGATAAAATCTGTTGTAGAGTCGTCACTGGATCAGACGTACTTATTATATATATATATATATATATATATATATATATATATATATTTCTAACAATACAGTAACATCAAAGTAAAATTAAAGAAAGAACTTACCATGAGGGAGCAAGCTTACATTCCCCAAGCTCTAATGATTAATTCTGTATGGTTTTTTTCAAGTCTCGACCCTGAAAAATGGTCCCCTATTATCGTTTCTTTCTAAATCAGATAATCGAACGCATTAGCTAAATTGATTATTGGATACCATAAGATGTAAGGTTGATCGGAAGAGAAACCAAGGTATTATCCTGGCGACAAGAATTGATATCTGATATATGTTAATCCACTATCGAAAATGTTTCCAAATTTCGGATTTGCCTAATTATCTTAACCATAATTTTGACAAGCGTTGACATGAATTATCATTGATATGGATATAACTATAAATTAACTGTTTACAAAACTTTGAATTTTTGAAATACTAGGGCTTTTCTACCTCATGAACAGATTATTTTAGCTGTTTTTTGACAAAACGTTTAGGAATTGTTGGTCCTCAATGCTCTTCAACTTCGAACTTTATTTGGCCTGTTTAACTTTTTTTTATTCGAGCGTCATCGATGAGTCTTTTGTAGACGAAACGCACGTCTGGTGCTAATACTAAATTTCAATCCTGGTATCTATGATGAGCTTATTGGAAATCATCATTTTAATTTGAAGATGATCTGATAAAAAGAAAAGACGCTTACATTGCGACTACAGAACGACAGATGGGACGATGACAAACCGTTAGTTTGGCCAAGTGTATTCCCTATATTTGTAATATTTGATATTTAATACATAAGCCCCCCCCCCCCCCCCCCCCCCCCCCCCTGTAGAAACTAAGAGTTCCCAATTAAGATTTTTCTCATTATGGACCTTGCATTCATTTAATGAGTGGAAACCATCAGACAAATTTGAAAATCTTGATTTTGTAGAAATAAAGACACTGACCCAGGGACATGTATCAATATAGGAGGTTTTTATAAGTCCTCCTTTAAATTAAATGCATTTTTCGGTTATCGATTTTTCTGCGGGACAACTGATTACCAGGTTCATCCATTGTTTTGTTAGTGGAAACCGCAATTTGAAGAGGATCTCAACATTCCTGACTTTGCTGATGGGGAATCATCAATCTAATTTAAAGAGGTTCCGACGATAAACCCTGGAATTGCATTGCTTGTTGTTTAAATAAATGAAACATTTGTTTTGTTCATGTTGTTATAAGTTATAAGCAATTTGATGGCGTTTTCTCCATTACATGAGGATTCCTGTACTTTTAAACTTATTCGTTATTTTTCTTACTGTCTTCTAAATATTTGATGTTTGCAGTGAACGCATGGATCTGTGTCAATAATACAAACCAATATCATTAAACACTTTGTCTATTCCTTCTCCTGTTTTGGCAGATGTCTCTTCAAAATACAAGCCATGGCCCTCTGCAAGAAGTTCTCCTTCCTTTTAAAATGAAACGTAATCGTATCAAGTCAGAATATTTAAGGCCGTTGGTATTTTCGTATTAAATGTTTCACGTCTTGTAATGGTTCGGCCGTATATGTGTTTTGGTCTTGAAAGTAGTATGATGACTTTAATTACTTTGATCTACATCCTTTGGCATCAGATCACATCTCATCTCCGTATATTTGTTATTCAATATCATTTTCATATGCTAATCACTTATATTAAGGCCTATTCATACAGACATTTTATACGATCGACCTTCATCAAAAAAAAAGTAGTACCCGTAAGTATTCTGAAAATCTTATCACATTCATATTTGCTTGCTCTCAAATGTTTGATACTTTTGGCTTACCTAAACATTTGGTCTTGATTATACCCGTTGAAAATATTCAGAAAAAGTGTCCAGAAAGCTGAAATTAATATCTATTTCGAAATTCATTCCGAAGGAAAAGGTTGTTTATGTCGTGGTACAAATGAAAACACTGATGCCTTTGGTGTCCAATTAAACATGTTAAACCCGAAAAAATGAAAAGGATGAAACTTCAAAATTTTCAGAATTTAAAAAACAATAAGTGCGTTGTATAAATGATACGAATATAATTGTGAGCTTCGTCGAGTTAAAGTCATTACAGAATGTTTTGAAAATCAAATATAAATAATGAGAAATGTGGAAAAATAACATAAACAGAAGCAGTCTAAATCATCTAAGATTAATATTAACTAAGATAGATGCGATACAAGATTGGTAAACATTAATTTTATATTGAAACTTAAAATGCAATCAATGCACTATTGAGATCAACCTTAATACCAAAACCATGGCTATGTGGGGATGGTTCCTGAGGACACCGATAGAAAGAAATAGCAGCGGTACCAGTACCTAATACATGTATATTACGTGCGATAATATTTTTGCGTGCACATGACACATGCTGTTGATAAGAATGCATTGATTAAAAGCATATTTCGTGTTGAAAGACTCGTGAGTTTAAAAAGCTTGCATTATACACATATCCGATTTTTTTAGTCCGATCTCCGATCTTATTTGACAAAATTGCCAGTTTTCGTGCAAAGGTCGATGGTTCACTTTGGACACTCCGCCTTCTTCCTTCAATAAAAGACTTGCCGCTACAATATAGCAACAAATGCTTTAATTGGCATAAAACACCAAGAATCAATCAATCCATTGTAATGACTTTTTGAGATTTGAACATCGATAAAAAAGTATTACAAAAAATTCCAAGGCAAATTCAAAAAGTGGAAGTTTATACAAACTGACACAATCAAACGCTATAAATTCAATCAACGGAATAATTGAAAAACATCTGCATATTCCTGACTTGGAACAGGCATTTTCCGAAAAAAATGGTGGGTTCCCTATGGTTTTATAGCAAACTAAACCTCCCACATGTATGACAGTTGTTTATAGTTTCCTTATATTTACAATTTTGGGTAAGCAACCCAAACAGAAATAATAGGTTGATAAAATACTGTTGCCTTTAATTTATGGTCAATTTAGCAGGAGAGGCAAAGTAACTAAAGTGTAACAAAATTAGTAATGTCTTATTCTACCTGAGTTGGAACCTCCCTCAAGTCGTCTTCTAAGTCAACTTTGTTTCCAATCAATGCACATTTCAAGTCCCTAGGTCCGTACTGTTGTAGCTGTAACAGCCAACTTTCTACATTCTCAAAGGATTTCTAAAGAGAATGATAATGTTCAATATCGTTAATTCTAAAGAATTACAATATCAAATTGAAAATAATAGCATTGTCGTTTGCTAAAAATGATTATAGGTGTTTGGAAAACGATCGATTCACGAGAAGAATGTCATTCTCTCTCTGTTCGTTGTTTTTTCTTTTATACATTATTTTGTTGGTTTTTCTACTATTTGTTTTTTACTTTTAACTGTCCAATTGACATTTTTTTCTCATTCAAAAGTATGAATAGCAAATAACCACAGCATTTTGTATAAGTCAGTGAAAACTTTAGAATTTCATCAAAGTAAAAACAGACAAATCTGTTTCACTTCGTCAAATGAAGTCTATCGACAATCCATACATATAAGGTTGAAAAAAGTCCCATGTGAATTAAGGCAACAGTCGTTTACGAATATATATATATCGATTAGGAAGAGTCAAAGTAACCAACAATAACTGAGAGAATCCAATGAACTCCAAAATGAGCCAGATCGGCTGTATCAAACAGGTAAACGTCTCCTATTTTGCAAGCATAACCAGTCATAGAAAAAAAGTAAAATAACAAAAATACCGAACTCCAAGGAAAATTCAAAACGGAAAGTCCCTTATCAAATGGCAAAATCAAAAGCTCAAACACAACGAAATTCACACTCAATAAAATTTCACATAAGGGAATGGTATACAATCTGTAAAATAATTATACTAATATCTAAAGATCTAACACCACCAAAACATGTCGTTAGTGAGTTGAGAAGCTGACATATCGTATCGGTAAAGACAGGAAAACACTAACAACTCAATTTATTACAAAGGTTTGCATTTGGTAAAACAATGGCGCATATGAAAGGAACGCTGATAAAACTGATGTGAGCTCAGTCTGCTCTACAACCAACCCTCGTCATTATACAATATAATAGAATATAAATCTAGACTACTAACGGAATTAAGATGAGTTTGCGCATTTTTTCTAATTAATTAGGTGTATGCTATGAATAGTACTTAATCAGACTTGATTGTTTTTATATATCAAATACTGTACATTGCTTTTGTTACGGATTTATTCGAAAAAAACAAAAATTCCGGGGATATGCCTAAAAACTGTAATCCCCTTCAACGATATAAAATGTCAAATATTATCAACCTCCTATCATCACTTGGTCACGGTAGAGATAGTGTCCGGCTGGTTCGTGTGTTTTTCGAGTGATTTGATCAGGATTTGTCGAGTGTGAACACGTTTATTCCAGAGGTATAATAAAAGTTATAAACAAACAGACACTTATTCTGTTAAGACGTAAAATAAAAGGTGATAGAACCTACTATACAAGATCATACAAGGTAAATATGTATTTGCAATAAAAGATATTATCAATCCTTTATCAATTAGTTTTAAAAACGTTTAATTTAGCCTTACAATGCTTTATTCCAAAATATAGACTGAAGCTATTTTCATTTACTTACCAATGCAAATGGCAAGGGAAATGCATACATGGAATCTTTATATACTTAGATATACAGACACTTTACAACAAATCTTGTTATTACATTCATAATGACATTTTGGAGAGTAAATTCATTTTTATATTTCTGTGTTTTTTTAAGAGCAGTACGGTTTTTTTTCGAGTGCGTCCGTGTTTTATCGAGTGAAAACACAAAATTTCAATGACTTAAAATGTTATATGTCAGAGTATTTACGTTTAAAAACAAATAAAAGGTTCAAATAATATGTTTTATCGTTCTAGAAATGGAAAACAAGAACAATGTCCAAATGCTCCTACTGTAAAGAGAAGTCTGATCAAGGTTATGTTATTCTTGGTCACACAGATATAACGCACCCTCAGATTCCTTTCCATCAGAAATAAAAATAAAAAACTGACAATGTATATTTGTGAGGTATTATATATTGTATACGCATTTCGTTTTTATTATTATTCCAAAAGGATCGTATAAAAGCTTATAGATTATTAATTTATTCATTGTTTATCAAATACATTGGATAAGTCCCCGAGCTTATCATCAGCTCAGTAGTCAGAACTGAGGTGCTGATATGATTTATTACAAACCTTTCTTAAATTGTTTATCTGCAAGGGGACGTGGAATAGAAATGTTTTCACTAAGGTTCTCTTCCCACTGGCAGTAAAACCCTTTCCAAAGTTGGGCATCCGTTGAGCTGTGGGGGATGTACAAGTACACAGCACGTCCGGCCAGAAAGGGACGTGTAGAGGAGTGCCATGCTATTTTTACTTTAAGAAGCCTTGCAACAACTCTTTCAGCGGTCCGTATGTGGCCTGTTGTAATGCAAAATTTCTGCCCCTATCCGAAATACCCTCATTTTTCAGTGGCAGATTGCATTTCCCGACCTTCATCCCGAGTGGCCTCTATTACAGGACCTACCTATTGTATTTATTGTTAATTTGTTCTCGTCCTGAACATGCGTGAAATATTTACTACTGAACGTTAAGCTACTAATAATTAATCATCTAAAATTGTCGGTTTATAAATTTAAAAATTATAAGGAAACTAAGGTTTAAACTCCCTCAGGCAAAGTTGAACCTTAGATGAATTTGGCTATTTTTAGATCCCTTTTGGTGATATAGCTCTTTACCTGTTTCGGTTCTTATACATCACTGGCTTTCAAATATTCACCTGAAGGAAAATCCAGAAAACTGCTTCGGACGCAGGAAATTTATAAAGTGTTGTTTTCGTTTTTAATTGAATATTCAATTTAATTTAAATGGAATTGTAAATGGGAAATAGATATTGAAAGGATTAAGTGTGTGTTTTTTATATTTGTAATTGTATTATTTTTTTGGGGGAGGCCTATATTTGTGAAATATATGTGTTTATATTGATTTTTTCTGATTGTGTGCTGCTATTCCTTAGTTTTCTTACCCCTATTTTTAAAACTCAAGGATTCACCGCTGTAATGTACATCAATCGTAAAATATACATGATATCTCGTCTTACCATTTTTAAAATGTACCACCTTTGATAAGTATTTAGTACGACGAAAAATTTTTCACTTCTGAACTCGTACTATGAATAACAAATTATTTTTTTTTTAAAAGTTTCTGTACTCCTAACAACAAAATTATTATATTTAAATTTACCTGTGTACGTTACTTTATTTAACGCCATTTTGTCCTAGGTTAAAGTTGTCTTTTTGACATTGAAACATCTTTATTATTTATATTGTGTCATAGATCAAACTTATTCGTTCATTGTATATTTACTTGTTTTTGTTTACTGTCTTCTTGATCGAGATAAGCCATTTCAATTGATATTTTATTGTGTGTCTTTTTATGTTGTAATGTTATACCACTGTTTCAGGTTAGGATGAAGGTTGGCGCCTGTTGAAACGTTTAAACCCGCTGCAATTTTATGCACCTGTTCTAAATCAGGAGCCTGTTGTTCAGTGGTTGTCGTTTGTTGGTGTGGTTCATAAGTGTTTCTCGTTTCTCGTTTTTTTATATAGATTAGACCGTTGGTTTTCCTGTTTGAATTGTTTTACACTAGTCCTTTCGGGATCCTTTATAGCTTGCTGTTCGGTGTGAGCTAAGGCTCCGTGTTGAAGGCCGTATTTTGACCTATAATTGTTTACTTTTTACACATTGTGACTTGGATGGATACTAGTAGTTGTCTCATTGGCACTCATACCACATCTTCTTATTTATATATGATACATATCGTAAAAACAAAAATTGCATGAGATGAAATTGTAAGATTATGAGTCCCCTGTACTCCGTTTTTGATACCGTTTTAAAAACGACCCAATGATTTCTTATATATCGTTATACTACAGGCTATTGTAAAAAAATTCAGTACAGAAAATTAGCATTGATTAGGAAATGGTTAAACTTGATCAGCATTGTAATATGCTTTTGTGACTTATTGGGGAACTATAATATTGTTCTTTACTATATTATCATGATTACAGTTAGAAACTAAAAATGGTCAATTCTAAATGCAAAGAATGCTTTCTTTCTTATTCACATTTTCATTTAAAAACCCGGACCTTTTGTCAAAAAAATGGACGTTTTCAATATTGACCTCGTAAATACACGGACAATGTAAAACGCTAAATTTTAAGAAATAGTGCGTGGTTTGTGCTCAAAATATATATAGTATTCAGAACAAGTCAAACAGTCATGCATAAAACTTTTATACTTGCGAAATAGCAGTAAATCGGTCTGATCGCGAGTAATATCACTCGAAAAACCTGATATACTCTCCAATAAAGTGTACCAATTCACTCGAAAAAACACGGTCTGATCTGAAAAGTATATCTACCGTGTTGGTGGTAATGAAAATTCTAACGAAAAGGGTATAAAACATTCACATGAGTCCTGAAAATTCGACGATTCGTTGTAATTGGTGATGCGTCATAGTCGTAAGAATGACGTGGTATAGTGGTTTCGAGAAACGGAACATGTCGTAGAATGATAAAGATATTCCCCCGTACTCAACCATATTACGATGAAGACTGTAGCACTTCAAACTTCACATGTAAGAACCAGAAGTCTGATATTCCTATTGTAAGAAGCAAATTCAAAGTCACCAAAACGTGATAGGTAAATATTAATTTGAATAATCAGATGTGAGGAATCTGTCGAGGTTTCCGAATAGGATATTTCTATAGATACGTATCATACGAACTGAAATCGGTGGCATACGTTTTTGTTATAAATTAAACTGTTAACACAAAAATTTGTTTTGCCTCTATTATGTAATCACAAACTAAATAATATTGACGCCTTCAAAGCCTCCGCCGTTCCAGGCGAAATAGGAAAAGTTATCAAGAAAAAAAACAGATTCTTATGATTAAAGTGTACCTACAGGACTACTAACATCATATACAACCAATGCTATTCCTGCATCTCGAAGGTACAAAGGAACCAAACTTCGAAATCTCTCCTGTCCAGCAGTATCCCAAATGTTAAACACAACTGTTTTGTCTTTAAAATCTAAAGCACGACTGCAAAAACTTGCTAAATTAGAAAAAATTGAAAATTGTGTTTAATCATACTTGGTGAATATAGTAACCGTAGTGTATTTTCATCCGTCTGTTATTTGTTTTTATTTTAATACATATATATATATGTTTTTGCTTTCCAAAAAATTGATAGCGTGCGCATAACAAAAAAGTTATGTCAGTCGAGGGCGTCCGGCGAACTGAAAGGAGATTTATATTTTGTGACCACTAGGTCGGTTCCTCCTATATGTCAGCTTTCCAGTAGGGAGTATTTCGATATTGACAGAACTACAAATGTAAACTGATACAATTTTATTACAATTTCAAGTTCATAAACTTGATAATTGTAATATCATAATGGTTACTACTCCTTAGGAAAAGCTAAACGTAGATGGGTTTCATTGGGGGATCATTTAAAACTCTTTGGCTGTTAGGCTCCGAAACGGTTTGTGTGGTTGTCTTTCGTCGCGAGCATACATCATGTTTATAAAAATAAGGAGATGAGGTATGATTGTCAATGAGACAGCCATCCATCAACGTTCAAATAAAGTGGATAATATGTCGTGCTGTTACACATCTGTACCAGATCAGGTGTTGCGCGCTCACAAACATGTTTACTCCTGCCACATTTTCTATATGCCTGTCCAAATGAACAAATGCTCGTATTTCATTAATATTTTAAGTTGTTTTAGTTATATATATAATTGCTTATGCCCACTTTATTTGAACTCTGGTGGATAGTTGACTAATTGGCAATCATACCACATCTCCTAATGATTATATTATACTATATCAACGCGATGTCTATACACATGAGTGAACGATTTAAGGTATTAAAATATGTTCCTTTTTTTCACTCTCGTTAGCGTCGGTAATCTCTATCAAAGCTTTGTTCAAGTTTCTGTCACATGTAAAAGTATTTTCCAGGTTTTTCGTCTCCATTATGTTCAGTAAATAGGTTTAAAAAATCAGGAAATGTTCTAAGAAGAAGAAGAATATTTCCTTATACTCTAATATACTTCTTTGATAATTTTAATTGTGAAGTTTGATTTATTTTCCAACTATGAATTTCCGTATATGTTATTCGTGTTAAATATGAAACACTAAAAACTTGAACACATAAAAATATAGTAAACAATAATACCAATGATAATAATAATAATAATAATAATAATAATAATAATAATAATAATAATGAAATAGAGAGAGTAATTGGCAATTATATCCCACCTTAAAATGCGTCTATTTGCAGTAAAATGGATACAGTTAATGTTATTCTAATGTTTACATTTGACAGGCCATACCCCTTTCTCCTACTCACCGCCAACCGTCTGTTTATAATGTTGAATGAATGAATTGTCTGTAAATCTGACAGCCAGTGACGTTTTTCCTACCCCAGCATCTCCAACAACAACCACCTTTACTTTGATCACAGGTAATGATATTCCATTCATTTCAATGACTTGCATTACAATTTGTTAACTGAAAGGGACATACATTTATACATATATATGTCATTTAAGAAAAATGCTTATCTCATTGTTGTAAATTGATAATATAACCTTATATGTGAGTGTCAAAAAATAACAACTATAAATCGTATATCATATAAGTGGACAATTACTTTATATTGATACGTGAAATATTCAGCAATGTCCTGTTAGTTATCCGCGTGTTGTTTAATCAGAAGCTCCTGTTTCAGTGTCATAGGTCATTTGTTGATATAACACATTGTCATTACTGTTTTTTAAACAATTTCTGGTTTGCTCGTGCATCTGTCCACTTCTGGTATGAGCTTAGCAGATGACCTATTCAGTCGAAAGGTAGCGAAAATATGCAACGACGGATGAATTTCAACCTGATTTAATATGTTACATTATTATTAAGAAAGCTATAAAAATGTATAATAATCGATCTGTTTAATTAAAATTAAAATGTCAAATACATACATTTAAACACAAAAATAACACTTAGATAACAAATACCAATAGCCTGAATCGATCACCGGGTACAAAAATGCCAGTTTGATATATGTTTCACCTTAATTGCAATTAGTTATGTTAACTAAACTTAAAATTTTATTTAATGGCATGTTTGTATTTCTTGATCATTTTTACTGTTTACAGTTCATACCTATCTATTGAAGTAATGGGCAACTTTATAGGTATAACCTTAGTCAAGGGCCGTTATTTTATTGTTTACAGGTTTTACATATTTATTGAAGTGATGAGTTTATAGGTATAACACATACCTATTTATTGAAGTGATGGGCAACTTTAGGTATAACACATACCTATTTATTGAAGTGATTGGCAACTTTATAGAATAACACATACCTATCTAATTGAAGTGATGGGCAACTTTATAGGTATAACACATACCTATCTATTGAAGTGATGATTTTATAGGTATAACACATACCTATTTATTAAAGTGATGGGCAACTTTAGGTATAACACATACCTATTTATTGAAGTGATTGGCAACTTTATAGAATAACACATACCTATCTAATTGAAGTGATGGGCAACTTTATAGGTATAACACATACCTATCTAATTGAAGTGATGGGCAACTTTATAGGTATAACACATACCTATCTATTGAAGTGATTGGCAACTTTATAGGTATATCATATACCTATCTAATTGAAGTGATGGGCAACTTTATAGGTATAACACATGCCTATCAATTGAAGTGATGGGCAACTTTATAGGTATAACACATACCTATCTATTGAAGTGATGGGCAACTTTATAGGTATAACACATACCTATCTATTGAAGTGATTGGCAACTTTATAGGTATAACACATACCTATCTATTGAAGTGATGGGCAACTTTATAGGTATAACACATACCTATCTAATTGAAGTGATGGGCAACTTTATAGGTATAACACATACCTATCTAATTGAAGTGATGGGCAACTTTATAGGTATAACACATACCTATCTATTGAAGTGATTGGCAACTTTATAGGTATATCATATACCTATCTAATTGAAGTGATGGGCAACTTTATAGGTATAACACATGCCTATCAATTGAAGTGATGGGCAACTTTATAGGTATAACACATACCTATCTATTGAAGTGATGGGCAACTTTATAGGTATAACACATACCTATCTATTGAAGTGATTGGCAACTTTATAGGTATAACACATACCTATCTATTGAAGTGATGGGCAACTTTATAGGTATAACACATACCTATCTAATTGAAGTGATTGGCAACTTTATAGGTATATCACATACCTATCTATTGAAGTGATGGGCAACTTTATAGGTATAATACATACCTATCTAATTGAAGTAATGGGCAACTTTATAGGTATATCACATACCTATTTATTGAAGTGATTGGCAACTTTATAGGTATAACACATACCTATTTATTGAAGTGATGGGCAACTTTATAGGTATATCACATGCCTATCTAATTGAAGTGATTGGCAGCTTTATAGGAATAACACATACCTTTTTATTGAAGTGATGGGCAACTTTATAGGTCTATCACATGCTTATCTAATTGAAGTGATTGGCAACTTTATAGGTATATCACATGCCTATCTAATTGAAGTAATGGGCAACTTTATAGATATAACACATACCTATTTATTGAAGTGATGGGCAACTTTATAGGTATATCACATGCCTATCTAATTGAAGTGATTGGCAGCTTTATAGGAATAACACATACCTTTTTATTGAAGTGATGGGCAACTTTATAGGTCTATCACATGCTTATCTAATTGAAGTGATTGGCAACTTTATAGGTATATCACATGCCTATCTAATTGAAGTAATGGGCAACTTTATAGATATAACACATACCTATCTAATTGAAGTGATTGGCAACTTTATAGGTATATCACATGCCTATCTAATTGAAGTAATGGGCAACTTTATAAGTATAACACATACCTATTTAATTGAAGTGATTGGCAACTTTATAGGTATAACACATACCTATCTATTGAAGTGATGGGCAACTTTATAGGTATAACAGAGAACAAATCGGAATTTCAGGGCAATAAAATACTTCCAGATCTTATTTTGCTTTCTGAAGTTTCTCTCTTTACAATATTATAGTTTTTGAAAATTGAAAAAAATTCACTACTTATGGCAATAACTCATATTAGGTGTTTGTTAACAATTTCGATTTTTAAAATTTTATTGTCCTGAACATGTAAACTATTAACTGTTCCTCTCTATCTATTATAGTTTCTGCAAAATAAGCAAAAAAGGATAAAAATAATCTTTAAAGAACAATGATTCCTCAAAGGGACGATTTCTACAGTGTTGACTTATTATGTAGATCTTATTTTGCTGAATATTTTTGCTATACATTGTTGCTCTTTATCTACCATAGTTTCTACTAAGAAATCAAAACATGGTTAAAAAAATGTCATTCAAGGGCAATAAATCAATATGAGGAGTCAGTTTACAATTTTGGCCATGTTGACTAGTTTGTAGATCTCATTGTGCTTAGCTTAGCAATTTTGTCAATAATAATTTCTCTATAATGCTTTCTGAAAAAAATGCAAAAATGGGTAAAAACCATATTTCAGAGGAAATACCTCCTATAAAGGGTCGAATCCCCAAGGGGGATCTGGGGAATAGAAATATGGTCACCATTGGTCTTCATTCGACCGGCGGTAAAACCCTCGCTAAAGTGGGGCGTCCGTTTGGCTGTTCGTGATGTATAAGTTCGCAGTCACGTCCTGTCAGAATGGGGACGTTAAATCCGATGCCTCGTGTAAAGAGAGTGCCACGTTCTTTGCACGTTAAGAACCCTTGCAACAACTCTTTGAGGGGTTCGTAGGTGGCCTGTTGAAAGGCTAAATTCCGTCCTTATCCAATATACACTCATTTTCCCGTGGCAGTCCAAATTTCCCCGACCTTCATCCCGGATGGCCTCTATTACAGGACCTACCTAATGTATTTATTGTTAACTTGTTTTCGTCCTGAACATGCATGAAGTATTTGCCACTGGACGTCAAGCAACCAACAATCAATCAATCAATATAAAGGGTCGAATTCGGCCTTGTGAATCATTCATAGATCTTATGTTGTTGAACATGTGTGCTATTTACAGTTTTCCTCTATTCATTATAGTTTTCTCTCTTTGTACTCAATTTTTTTTTATGACATTCCAAAGGTAATTACTAATGGGTTATCCGAAATTCTGAAAATTTCACAGGAAATAGATCTTGAGCTCTTATCATTTTTTACCTGTTTTTGCCCTAACCGCTTCAGTTCTAGATATGAGCCAAAATCGAACAAAATACTCCTCCGAAAAAACAGACGTTCACAAACAAACAAAAGGTCAAGATTTTGTAGAGGCATAGAAGTCTTTGTCAAATGTAGTTATATATTCAGAAATATTTGTACTTGTAATTTTTGGGATCATTACCTTTAAAGATTTATCATTTCCAGATATATACAAAAAAAATATTTCACGCTAAAAATAAATTACGAATTTCCATCCGGTTTGCTTTAAAGTGGTTTCGATTATATTTATAAACGACTTCATTTTTAAAAGAACCAAATATACAGCGAAGAAACAATACGACCTCTCTGATGCAACCTTTGGAAGAAATTGAAACCGCAATGATTATGTTTTTCAATTACATTGTAATGGTTAAGTAGTGTATCGAATATCTTACATCATAGTTATTGCATACAGTGGAAGTACTTGCCCTTCGCTGTATATCATATTACACTTGCAAGCTCTGGCAATGATATACTTGTTAGGACAATAGGATGCAATTAACTTAAAAATAAATAAAAAACTAATTACTACATGTACTCTTATACATTATATATGAAGTTAATATCTACAATGAACTACAATGAACTGTTGATTAAGATTTCACCAAAAATACTAGGCTCATAACTGTGTACGTCAGACACACGCGTTTCCTTTTTAAAGACTCACCCGTGACACTCGAATGTAAAAATTAATAAAAGGCCAAATAAGTAAGAAGTTTTAAAGCATTGAGAGCAAAACATTCCGAAACATTTTTCGAAATACAGCTATATTCCTTGGGTAGAAAAGCCTTAAGACTTCGAACAATTCAAAGTTTTGTAAACTATTAATTTACAAATATGGTAATATCAACACATTCATACTGATCGTTAATTTTTGCTTGCGTCTAATCCAAATAGCATTTTATTTCTATATTATCGTACAAAAGTTCATCGTGCATGCTATACCAAGTAATTTAATATTGTACACATTATATATATATATAACTGAGTACATTCTTGCAGGAACAAGACAGATTATTCTAATTGTCATGGTAGATGCTAAAAAATCCTATCAGTCCATATAATTAGTACTAATATACTTACTTAAAAACTTTCATTAGCAGCACACATGGTATTTGATTATGAAAAACAGAGTTTTCCGACTTTAAAATTCAATTTCCTACACATCAATTTCGCTTTAGATATATGTATTCATATTTTCATAAGGCATAACCTATTTATGTGAAACTGAATGTATTTATTTTCCTGTTACAATTATCAGTGTATTAGTAACGAAACTTAGGTATATTGTCATTGTTTCCGGTACATTTGACATATGTACAATTGATTTAATACGTGTACATTTATATTTAGACTTTTAGTTTTGTTTTGGGTAAATTTTTACATACACATTACATGTATTGCCGATACTTTAATTACGGTGGAAATGCTACTAAACAGTTAAACGATTATAAACAGGAAATATTTTAACAAACAAATATTTTTTTTAGGAAAATGTATCTTTTTATACATAATTGTAAGGGTAATCTTGGTTTGAGGCTGTGACTGCGATGTAGTGATGTAGTTTGACGTCAGCAATTTGTTAAAGAATATAAATTTCTACAAGGTTCATCTGATGCCTTCTAAAGTTGGGATATAAGGTTTGTACATCATATGAAATTGTTAACGAGATTTATCTGCACTAGCAGAAAGAAATATTTTGGACTGAAGGATTGGTTTTTGATATTTGCTCAATGTGCAGTGGCAAATGTTTCTTGCATATTCTGGTTGAGAACAAATAATTCATAAATATTTAACATTTTTTATGATTGATATTAACCGTATTTTAATGTGCTCTTTCACAAGGCAACAGTCCACAGGAAGACATATCATTCGCCAGATGCATTATTCCGACAACGAGCTCTTACTTTTAAATACTACGTGTCTGGCGGAGAAACAGTAAATACCAAATTTGAAGGCTTCGGTTTAGCCCAGAAATCAGAATTGGAACAATGGAGTTTTATTTAAGCAGGGCAAAGGATCTGGTTTCGTATAATGAGTCTTTGAATTTATGAATAAAGTTGGCCACGTTCCACTTTTTAGTTGTTATCCTGTTTCAATAAATATTTTAGAATTTGGTGATTTTTTACTTAGTTGTTCGCATTGATCCCAATGAGTTAAAATTAAAAATACCACATATTATACCTTTACAGTTAGGTCTACCCCTAACTGGACAATGAAGGTAGTTTAAGAACTAAGCTTTACAACAGAAGAGACGATTTAAATGTTTTCATTTTGAACTTTCCATCATCTTTAGCAAAATCCAACTAGTGCCTGCATCAGGAGTATTATATCTTCCAGTCGATACGATATTCCAGGGCTTTCGTTTCCTATCATAATTTCCTTAAAGGGATTGCTTACATCATCGGGAAGCTTTTGAACCTGCAGTTCCAAATAGTAAGATTGAAGTAATCACTCCGACATTTTTTCGGACACCATCTATGATTTGGTTGTCCGTTATGAAACATTTGTGTTACAGATGACCATGGATATGTTCCACATGTCATAGTCATGTCCTCTTTTCATCAAATATAACATTCCCACATGCAACTTATTCCTATTCCACAATGCTCTTCCAACTTCGAATTTATTTAGCCTTTATTAGAGCGTCACTGATGAGTCTTTTTGTAGACGAAATGCGCGTCTGGAGTACACAATTTTAATCCTGGTATCTATGATGAGTTTATTTACTTGCCATAAACAACACAAAGAAGGCCAGTAGCATAGTCGGACCGGTTTACCTTTCCACAACATCTTAATTCATCTAATATTGTCATTAAACGTGTGTGATGATTAAGCATTAGTGTTGAGCGTTGCATATTCTGATATTTCTTTTTATTGTCACTGTTGTTTAACCAGTTACAAACTTGTATATCCTTTGTTTGTAAAAAAAAATATGGTTTTCACAGTTGGTCAAGTTTAAATGTTTGACAATTTCCATATATCGATGGTTTATGGATTTGTGATATCCACATGATATGAGACAAGATTGATTGTTTCATGCTTAATGTCAAGTAGCAAATATCTCATATACATATATTAGTGACGAGAAAAATATTAAGAATTAATACAATGGATGGGTTCTGCCTTTTGGGTTGACCAGGAAGAAGGGCAAGATTTCCCTGGAAAATTAGGGATGACCAAATTTCTTTAACCTTGTCAACCGTTGATGTGACTGATGCCTTTTACTACATATAACTGATCGTGTGAAGAGTTTAAATCCAAAAACAAACAGCCTCTCTTTCATTGGATCCAGATAAAATATAGATAAAACTTTTCGTGCAAAAAAATATGATTTTGAAACTAAGATAACATGCAAAATGATTTTGACTTGATAATGTTTTGATAAATATATCATGTGTGCATAAATGCAAAATATATGTAAATATCTAAACAAACTAAATCCACATATATTGATACTAAAGGCTTTATTTTCAGGTTAAATTTGAAGGTTTGACAAAAGACGATAACTTTTAGTGATGAAAAATAAGTAACTTATAAACAACAGTAAACTGTACTTCTATCCAGATAATCATATTTACAAAGAGTAAAGTCACTGAACTAGTTTGTATCCACCTTTAAGTAAAAGAGGGACGAAAGATACCAGAGGGACAGCCAAACTCATAGATCGAAATCAAACTGACAACGACATGGCCAAAATTAAAAAGACAAACAGACAAATAATAGTACAGATGACACAACATAGAAAACCAAAGACTAAGCAACACGAACCCCACCAAAAACTGGGGGTGATCTCAGGTGCTCCGGAAGGGTAAGCAGATCCTGCTCCACATGTGGCACCCGTCGTGTTGCTTATGTTATTACAAATCCGGTAAATAGTCTAATTCGGTAAGTCACATTCGTGAAAAGGGAGGGTATTGTAGTTACGACAGAAGGAACATATCCGATATCATCTGTGAAACGGTTATTCCATAACGGTCAACCAACTCGTGATGGCGTCCGTAAAATTTACGAAGGGATGATTTCAACTTCACCATTTGGAACTCTTGGTTTCATAGCTTCCTTGTGAGCAGCAATCCTCTATCAAGGAAATCGTGATAGGAAACACAAGCCCGGGAATATCGTATCAATTGGGAGATATATACTCCGCTGCTCGAATGTTGCTACATAGAAATGGAAAGTTCACAATTGGGAAGCTGAAATCATCTCTTTTGTCGTAATGTTTTGTTTTCAACCGACCCTCATTCTCAATTTCTAGATGTAAGTCAAGATATGAGGCAGTCTTACCTGTATCTGTAGTATCCTTTATCTCTAGTTCGATGGGATAGATTCGTTCAACATAGTCACCAAATTTTGTATTATTTAGTGAGAGAACATCATCTATATAGCGGAACGTAGAGTTAAAGGATATTGCTAACTTCTTATCTTTCTTCCTAAGAAGTTCCTGTATGAAGTCAGCCTCATAATAATAAAGAAACAAGTCGGCAAGAAGAGGGGCACAATTGGTTCCCATTGGAATTCCGACAGTCTTGAAAAACACGTCCTCCAAACGTAACAAATATGTTGTCAATCAAGAAATCAAGCATCTTGATAATGTCAGTTTCAGAGAATTTTTGGTTTGAATTTTTTGTTTGAATCAGAGTGATTCTTTACAAAGTAGGATTTATCCCTCCCCAAGACAAGATACTTGTATCTACGTTCGCCATTCTTTTTAATGAAACAAAGTAATACCAACTCTTTCAATTTGTCTTTTAGTTTGGAATGGGGAATACTTGTGTAAAGTGTAGAAAAGTCAAATGTAATACTATTGCAAGATGAGTCTTAGATTGTATGTACTCTAAAAGATCTTTGGAATTTTTTAGTATCCACATCTGATTCTCGCCACCTCTAGAATAGGCAGTTTCACAATAACTTTGGAGCCCGGCTTTGATTGCTGATAAAATAGATGTTCATAATTTAGAAAGAGGTTTCGTGGAGCACTTGGAAGACCCAGCAATATACCGTTGTTTGTAAGGACACTTATGTAGTTCAGGTATCCAATACAGTGATGGAAGATCCAGTTCTTCATCTTTGGTTGAAATTCCAAAGGAACATAGAACAGACCTATGATTATCCAGGATTTCCTCTTTGGTAAGTGTCGTGAGGGTATATGTTGAGTTTCCAAGTGAATTGTCAATACCTAATTCATTTATCAAGCAGTTTATGTAATGATATTTACACACATAAACGATGTTGTTTAAGGCTTTATCTGCGAGGACAACAACATATTTGTCATGGAGGTAGGACAAGTGTTCTGCAACATATGGGTCTTTAAAAATTGACATAGCGTGGGTATTGATATGCCCATTTAGTTACTTAATTCGGATTTGTATCAACGACCTCACAGCCTTAATCCATTCGGAAAGAGTATCTAAAAATGTTCTAACCCCACAAACACATACTGACATATGCGAGTCAGAGTGGAAACTAGTCATTACAAGGTAAACAAAATAAATATGTATAAAGTCATTTATTTTACAAACATAACTCATATCTAACAAATATTATGATTGCTGCTCCCAGATTATATCATATTGATATAATGTAAGGAAATTGCAATCATACATTTCATTTATATATTAAATTCAACATTGCACGTTCCCTTTCAACAAATCATTCAATAAGTTTTCTTCTCTTGTGTTACTGTGGATTCATTGATTTTCGTTGAATACCAATTTTCTCGTATTTTGTGTGTACAGTTGAAACACAAATTCAAATATTCGACAAATTCGAATTGTTTATAGGCTTTTATGCAGACTTTGGCAAAACCACGAAATCAATCTCCACGAAAATACAAATTTACCTCGATCTATGAAAATTGGTACAAACGAAAACCGATGAATAGTATTAACATATCAACTAACCATTTTCTCATTTACACCTGACCCTTTATCACTTTCAATGATACACAGATATAACACCCTAGACAAACTTAATGGCCACATGTTCAACTTAATGGACTGATGTGTACTAGAGACATATAAATTATTTATGTTTCTGTTTGTACACATTGCACAAACTCTTTCCGAGTTTATCAAAGACATCTGCATTCAAAATCAGTAAAAGAAAAACTTATGACACCAGTAAAATGGAATTTTTACTACACATAATGTTCTTTTCATTTTTCAACGATATCTGATTATTTGTTTACCAGAAAAAGTTTTGGAACCAGTAAATCAAAGTTATATTCATGCATGGTAACGAAACACCTTTCAATAGGTGAAAAAATAATGTGTTTTGGGGTTTCCTCAATAAAATATGCATTGAGACTTCTTTCTACTAAAATGTCTAAATGGTGTTATGTCAGAAACTTGTAAAAATTGTATTGAAATTGTCAGTGTTTGATTCCAAAGAGTTTTATAATGGCTGTGATTTTTATTGCTGAACAGAGACTTTGACTTTTCTATGCGTGTTTATATAATCCCTTTTACACAACTGTAAGATAACTTCTTAAACTGTAGTTTAAAACATCAGAAGTGAAATTGAGCATCATATTTAATTTCATTTAATACTGATTACAAGTGTGCCTTTAACAACTACTAGGACTATGTGATATTTCAAATTACAGAATAATTAAACAAAATCATAAATAAAAAATATACTTCCCAAGTATATAGGGGTTATAGAGTTATTATTGTTTGAAGAACAAAATTGGAGAATTTTACTAAAATGGAGGGTTTAAGAAGGTACCAAACATCTTGACTAAAATTAATTTGGCTCGTTTAATTTTCATAAAATTTTGACAAAATATTTACTTTGACCCTTTGACAAAAATATAAAAATTTCAAAAAACTTGAACCACACACTTTATCGGAAAAAAATTTCATTGGATATATAGCAGTTTGGCAAACACTAATTTTGATCATTGTGAAGCTTAATATTTCCTTAACAATAGAACGTGATTAAAACGTTCAGCTGATTTTTACAGAGTTATCTCCCAGTAGTGTTATGTACCACCTTAATGCATCGAATACTATTCTTGATATAGAACAGAATGAACTGGTTTTAAACGTATGACTGCATTGATAAGTTTGTAATTATTATATCTGTAAAGGAAATGGAGGAAATCGGACTTAATTCCTTACTCAAGATTATTGACGTTTATCAGAAGCTTGAAATATGAGGTAATCGTTCATTCAATAGTAAAGACATTATAGAATAGTGGTGAAATTGAAACAACTCTATACATATACATGTAGATGGATTATCCTAGAATACATACGCAGGAGTATAAATATATCATTAAACATGAAGAAGAGAATGCAAATGAACAACTGAGGATGGATAAAACGGACGATAATGGACAATGAGGTTATTCTTTCATGGAAGCAATGACTAAACATTTTTATTCTGACGATAGCAGTATCTTTAATATCTGCTGGACTGGAATTGGCATGGTACAGTCACTGCATAAGAAAAAGTTGTCGTTGAATTTGAGTACAGGAAGACAACAATTCAATAGCAGTACATTTCTAAGATTTGAGCTGAAATAGGGAGGATAACCCTAATACTTTTACATTTTTATGTCAAATAAAACTAGATGCTCTAAAGAGCCTGTGTCGCTCACCTAGGTCTATGTGCATTTTCAACAATGGATACTCTCCATCTTTGTAGACTAGAAAAGAATTCATGACAAAAATTTCTTCTTTATTGATCTAGTCTTGCTGATCTTTTTTGCTTATTTACGTTTCTATATATCTAATATAGTTTTTCAGATAGTGGGCAACAACGCAAAAAATTGAAAAAAAATCGTCATTTAAGAGAACAACTCCAATAAGGGGTCAACAGACGATTTTAAGGAAGGGTCCTACTGTTGCCACACATAGTTTATATAGACAATGAGAGTATTCTCTCGTGGAAAAAATGGTTCAAACTTTTTCAATTGACACTAACAGTACCTGTGTTATCTGCTAGCTTAGTATTGACTGTAATCTAAATAATATAACAGAAATTAACTAAATAGCTGTTAGTAAGGAGTGGATCTCGGATTTGAGTTAAAATTGGGGGAATAAATTTTAAAATATGTACGTTTTAATGCCATATCAAAAAATTATATATTTCTGATTTTAAGGAAGGGTCGTACGTTTGCCACACATAGTTTAGACAAGCAATGAGGTTATTCTTTCATGGAAACAATGGTTGATATGTTTTCTTCTGACACTAACAATATCTTTTGTGTCAGCAGGCTTATTATTAACTGTAGCATATCTAATATTGGATAAGATGGACTATGAGGTTATTCTTTCGTGGATAAATGGTTTAAACTTTTTTCTATTGTCAATAACAGTACCTTTTTTATCTGCTAGCTTAGTATTGACTGTAATCTATTTAATATTACAGAAGTTAAACTACATAGCTGTTAGTAAGATGTGGATCTTGGATTTGAGCTTAAATAAGGAGGATAACACTAATACTTTTTACATTTTTTATGTCAAATAAAAAAATGATGCATTTCTGATTTTAAGGAAGAACCACACATTTGCCACACAAGAAAATGATGGACTATGAAGTTATTCTTTCATGGAAGCAGTGGTTGAATTTTTTTCTTTTGACACAAACTGTACCTTTGTTATCTGTCGGTTTAAAATTGACTGTTACTTATTTAATGTTAAAGAAGTTTAACTATATAGCTTTTGTAAGGGTGGATCTTGGATTTGAGCATAAAGAAGGGGAACACATAAATAAGATTGACAATGAGGTTAATATTTAATGGAAGCAATGGTTCAAACTTTTCTTTTGGCACTAACAGTATCTTTTGTTTTTGTGTCTGCTGGCACAGTATTGACTGTTTCTTACTTAATGTTACAAAAGTTAAACTAAATAGCTTTTGTAAGGAGTGGATCTTGGATTTGAGCATAAATAAGGGAATAAATTTATTATTTTTTACATTTTTAATGCCAAAGAAAAAAATTATATATTTCTGATTGAAAAGAAGGGCCACACGTCTGCCATTCAAAAATAAGATTGACAATGAGGTTTATTATTCATGGAATCAATGGTTCAAATTTTTCTTTTGGCTATAACAATATCTTTTTTTGTGTCTGCTGGCACAGTATTGACTGTTTTTTATCTAATGTTACAAAAGTTAAACTAAATAGCTTTTGTAAGGAGTGGATCTAGGATTTGAGCTAATATAGGGCAAACAACCCTAATATGTGTACGTTTTTTATGCCAGATAAAAAAAAATGTATATTTCTGATTTTAAGAAAGGACCTCATGTCTACCTAACATGGATATGAAGATGAGCATACATGGGAACACTTAAGTGCATTATACGGGCAATGGGATTATTCATTCATGGAAGCAATTGTTCAAATCTTTTTCTGTCGACACTTATAGTACTTTGGTGTCAGCTGGATTAGTATTGATTGTAACTTATTTGATGTTAAACAAGTTAAACTATTATAGCTTTTTGTTAGGAGGGGATCTTGGATTAGAGCTTCAATAGTGAGAACTACCTTAATAATCGTTACGTTTTTTATGTCAAATAACATTTTTTTATACATTTCTGATTTTAAGAAACTGATGAATAAGATGGTCATTTAGGTTTTGCTTTCATGGAGACAGTGGTTCAAACTTTTTCTTAAGGATGTTTGCTACTCTTGATTTTGACATTTTGTCAGATATTCAGAATCCTGTAGATTTATTCATGTAGTGCCATAAAAAAATGTTTGCCAGCAAACCCCTACTTTTCTTTTCATATTTTTATTACATATAGTTTAAAAAGCCATATTTGAAAATCTTATAAAGTCCTTGTTTTTTTTTCATATTTTTTTAAAGAAAAAGGAGCCAATGTTAATTTAATGAAAAATCTAGAGAGAACCCCTTCCCGCCAAATTTTTAAAGGCTTATATCTTGAAAACAAGCTCACAGACCCGTCATTTTTTTTGCTTTTCTAGTTCCTTTATTCATTTACTGTCAATATATAACAGTCATTTAAAAATCTTTTTATTTTGAAACAAAGTAGCGAACATCCTTAAGGGGTGGATCTTTGATTTGAGCTTAAATAGAAGAATAAACCTAATAGTATTTACGTTTTAATGCCACATCAAAAAATAATGTATTTCTGATTTTAAGGAAGGGCAACCAACACCTTTGCCACACATAGATTAGATTGACAATGCTGGTCTGTTGTTGTTGCTGTCAATGTAAAAGTGTAATGTTGACTATAAAAAGTAAGTCCAAATATCAGTGAAATACAGAATGTAAATAAAAAATATCAAACTTATTCTTACAAGAATGCACACGCTGAAATGTCTCGCCTTCTTTACTAATCATTGATATTATGTTGATAGTCCTAAATATAAACCTTTATTACAACTGTCACATAAACTTAACATTAACCAAGTAAACTAAACATTGACCAATAATCCATGAAAATGAGGTCAAGGTCAGATGAACCATGCTAGGCAGGCATGTACAGCTAACAATTCTTCCATAAAACAAATATAGTTGACCTATTGCTTATAGTTTAAGAAAAACAGACCAAAACACAAAAACTTAACACTGAGCAATGAACCTTGAAAATGAGGTCAAGGTAAAAAAAAAACCTGTGTGACTGACAAATAGATCATAAAATATTTCCATACACCAAATATAGTTGAACTATTGCATATAGTATTAGAAAAATAGACCAAAACTGAAAAACTTAACTTTGACCACTGAACCATGAAAATGAGGTCAAGGTCAGATGACACCTACCAGCTAGACATGTACACCTTACAATCATTCCATACACCAAATATAGTAGACCTATTGCATACAGTATAAGAAAAACAGACCAAAACACAAAAACTTAACTATAACCACTGAACCATGAAAATGAGGTCAAGGTCAGATGGCACCTGCCAGTTGGACATGTATATCTTACAGTCCTTCCATACACCGAATATACTAGACCTATTGCTTATAGTATCTGAGATATGGACTTGACCACCAAAACTTAACCTTGTTCACTGATCCATGAAATGAGGTCGAGGTCAAGTGAAAACTGTCTGACGGGCATGAGGACCTTGCAAGGTACGCACATACCAAATATAGTTATCCTATTACTTATAATAAGAGAGAATTTAACATTACAAAAAATGTTAACTTTTTTTTCAAGTAGTCACTGAACCATGAAAATGAGGTCAAGGACATTGGACATGTGACTGACGGAAACTTCGTAACATGAGGCATCCATATACAAAGTATGAAGCATCCAGACCTTCCACCTTCTAAAATATAAAGCTTTTAAAAAGTTAGCTAACGCCACTGCCGCCGGATCACTATCCCTATGTCGAGCTTTCTGCGACAAAAGTCGAAGACTCGACAAAAATGCTACTTCATGATCTTGAAAAAAAGCTCCTGTCCAAGTTTCATTATAATCCATTAAGGGTTACAAATTAATCGTGTAAAAAAAATTTAATCACAGACTATCCTTAAATGTTAATTGCCAAAAAATAAGTCCATCCATCATTAAAATACTGAAAAATGAAAACAAATATATTTTCAAAATTTGCTTCAGACATTATATTTAGACCATAAACAAGCTACTGCCAAATTTACATAAAATTGTATTTAAGTTTGACAAAGTAATTGATGTGTAACAAACTTTAGACCCAGACTGTATTAACATGTTAAATGCAAAAAAAATAAGTCCTTTAATCATAAAAATACTGAAAAACGTAAAAATGATACCCTTTGGATATTGTCTTTCGATCATTAAAAAGCTTTTGTCCAAATTTCATAAAATTCAATAAGGCTGAAACTAAATGTTGATGATGCAGACAAAGAAATCTAGAATCATTATGAAATTGCTTTCGGGACATAAATGTTGCAGGCTCCACAAAAAAGAGGAAAGACACTTTTTTCCCAATTTAAGGGGGAGCCATGTCTACCCCTATTATCAGGTATCTTTATGCTTATCAGATATCCTTCAAAGTTATTTTGTTTTTTGACATCTAAAATATTTCACAAAGGTTTTGATATAATTATCAAAAAAATTTACCTATTGCAAGAAATTGACTACTACTTGGCTTGGACACACAACAATAAAATAATTATCACAGTCTTAATTCAACATTTTGTAGGCAGTGATCACAAAACAAAAACATGTATTTGTTACAATAAGTCAGTCACGTGGCTATAGCATATCACGATTGTTCTTACTATGAAACAGATTTGATCAAGAGTTGGTAGGGGCAATGGGAGGTGCAAGTCTGAGCTGAAAGTTTTCTTGGTGAAATATCCCTGATGAGCCTCTTACTGAACGGGTGTCTGATCTGGATAGTTCTGTCAGTATGGCCATCTGCAGATAAAAATGCAAAAAATGTCAGCTGAAGTGCAGCAATAATGTTATCAAGTTATTTCGTATCTATCACATTCAATTCACTGGCCCAGCATGAAAACATGGAGATCAAAAACCCCTTGCCAAAAAAATCACAAATTTAAATTCTCAGTTTCCAAAAAAATTTATTCTCATTTTCAATTATGACTTTAAATCAAAATTCATATAATGCAACAAATTTCATTGGCTATAAACTTTATGATGTCTATTGGGTCTAACATGTTTAGATTTAACTTTTTGTGAATATTCTTGTCTCTAATTATCTTCCAATCAGTTATAATCACTACCACGGGATATTTTCATTGATAATTTAGCATAATGAACCCATTGCAAAAACTTCCCAATTTACAGAAAATTAAATGCCTCCTATAATTATCACCCTACATCTACTTGACATTAAGGGATGGCTGATACTTACTCTGGATGGTGTTTTCATGGCTTTCCTAACAGCATCAATAGCTTGAATATGTTGTGAATCAAGTGTCATCTACAAAATATTCAAAATATATTTGAAATCTAGTAGTTTAATATAATGAACAGACAATAAAAGAATGTGTCTGAGGACACAAATGCCCCCGCTCATGCTTTGTAATTTTTCAAGTTAAAAAGGGGCATAACTCTAGAGACATTAATGAAATACTGCCAAATTCAAACTCTGTTTGTTGTGGTTCTTAGCCTTCTGTATGAGTTTTGTAAAATTTGGATGCGGCAAACTTAAATTAGAGTGCGGAAACAGAAAAATTTGCAATTTTTCAAGTTATAAAGGGGCATAACTCTAGAACAGTAAGTGATTCCAGGGTTCTCTTCGAGTCCCAAACACATCGTTTTGCCTAAAAGATTCATCATTGTCGACATTGTTTTGACAGGAAACTTTAGTGGAAGTCAATGCTGAAAAATTTATGTAATGCGTAGATCAATATTTTTGTTGACTGATAACTATTTTTTAAAATTAAACGTATTTCACCCTAAAATATAATAATTCTGTTCAAACTGAATAATAAATATGTAATATTTACCGATTTTTAAAAAAATTTATGAGTATTTGAAGAACAGTGTAGATTTAAAAATTTTACGGATAACAATAATTTTACTGGTCTTTAAATGATTTAACATTTATCTTGTATTGTGCATGTTGAGCATGGCGATCGTAAACAAAGGTGAAAAATGTTTTGAAATTGAAACAAATCTGATTAAAAAATGATTAAAGAATAATTACTATTTAGCCAAGCTCATTATTATGACAATGTTCACTTTAGATTTGCTTGTTTTTATTAAATATTATAATAATTGTCATGATGCAAACATCAATGTGAACATTAACTCAATGATTAAATATAATCAAAATTAATTAATAATAATTAATATGAACTGTGTTCATGCAATCCCAATTTCTTATAAATACTGGCTTGCTCAACAAAATGACATCAGTATAACAATGCGTCAGTCAAAGTTAAAGTGCTTCTTCAAAAGGAAACCTGCTGACATTGAATCATCAGTACCAAGTAAAAGACCAAGAGTCAATGGCCCAGTACACCAAGAATTAATAGACATAGAGAGATCTTTATAAGATATTATAACTTTTATTGATATAAAAAAAAATAGTAATCTAACACTCATCGTTTTAGCTCACCATGAAAAATTCCTAGTGAGAACCGTGTGATTTACTGACCAAAATAGAACTCTGTCTGCAAGTTGTGGTTATCAGCATTATGTATGAGTTAAATAAAATTTGGATGAAGAAAACTTTTTTTTTTATTCAACAATATTGCACATGCTGTTCACAGATTTCTTCACTGGTACAGCTATTTCAGTGGAGATCTAAAAACTTTAGAGTGAGGAAACCAAAAGTGGACAGACAGATGGAAAGATGGATGGAAGAACAGACAGATGGAAAGACAGATGGGGTCAAGAGTAACACTTAATGCCCCCTTTGTCTAGAGCAAGTGCATAAAAAGTGCAACATTGATAAATGCAGAAAAAATGAATCATTTTAATTGCAAAAAGATCTTTTTATGAGCCCTACAAAATACCTATAGAAATCCATAAAGGGTAATTCAGTTTTGGACAACTAGATGACTGTAATTTCGGAATTACATTTACTGCTCCTTCAAACATAAGTTTTTAATTAATATTAAAAGCACAGACACTTAACAACTTGCTTTTCTGGTGCATGTCATATGTAAAAAAATAAAACATATGCTTAAATTGTAATTCAAGGTCTAAAAACAAAATGTGTTATGATAGATGCATTTTTTACAGCCAATCCTTTCAGACTGATTATAGTATATAAAACAGTACAAACCTCTTTAGATTTTTCTTTAGGTGTTTGTAGTGCTGCCTGATTAGGATTAGATAATGACCTATGGAACCTCGTACTCTGGATACGCCCTCTTTTTGAATGACTGCATAAGTAACACGCCCACATTTCTTCCCCATCCATCACATGGACTGATCCTACAGATCTCAAACATGGTAGATGGTAGCTGTGGCCACATCTGTAAAATACCAAAAAGTCAAATGGGTAATACAAGCAAGTTTATACATCATGTGCCAAACTGTCTGTTTTTTGCTGTGCATGTACTGATTTTGTGTCATGGATGGATACCCCATATCCTTTGTTTTTCTATGATATATCACCAGACATTCGGATCAATACAAACAAATGATTTGCATATTACTTTTTTTTTTTATTAAACTTCAATTATCACTTTTTCCCTTTTTTCAAGATTCATAAAATCTCAAACAATTGCATTTGTTTTCGATTTTTAAATATTTTGACAACAAGCATGAATGGCGAGATATAAATTATCAAAATGTGCATCTGGTGTAGTAAAGTTGTTATTTCTCAGTGTACTCTATTGAAATTTCAAATTTTGCTTTGATCTTTCATGTGTGATAATTTTTCATATCATGTTATTGAGTGATATGGGATTTTCTCAGTCCAGTGGAAAGAGAATGCATGATGCCATGAGCCTATATTATGACATTGCCTAGGAAAAGAGCTATAAACATGGCTGTTGTTTGAAAAACCATTTCAAACGCGAGGATGCTTCTTGGCGACGTCTCCTCTCAGAGCTGTCCCCCTTTGAAGAGATTGTAGCTGAGAAACACCCTGTCATTTGAAAAACCATCGTTAATCCATAAATCTGACATTTTCCCAAGTATTTGGACATAACTCAATAATTTGATATAAACTTTACCTGAACACAACTACAGAATCTGTTTCATTCTGATTAATAAACAGTTTATTACACAGATTACAGTTATCTCCCCTTGGAATATATCCTCTGACCGCAGCACTAGTTAAACTCTTCAAATGGACATGTATGTCATGGTTCAGTAAATTTTTACATGTTTTCATCAAAGTCTGTTCATAGTTATAAGTTTCCAACATGCCTAATATGAGTTCTCTCACTTCACCAAATTTCCCTGTGTTGTATGCTGGGTCCTTCAAAAGAATATATGTAGAATTTTAGATTACCTTTTTCATATTATAACACATGCATTATAAAATTATATACAGCTACTGATGTGCACATCATATGTGCATGTAAGGAATTTCCAAAGTTTGCTCAATTTAAAAAGTTGAAGTTTAAAATGAGTCTTACAGGTCAAATTCGCATAAATCATAGAACGATGAAAATTAAACTAAGATTAAACTGAACTTTTAATAACTTCAATGTTATGACAAGACAAATTCAATATGTATATTAACAGTCACTACTTAACACCACATATAAATAAGAGAAAAGCTGAAATTTAGCCTTTAATTTCTCATGCTCATAAAATTTAACAATTAATATTTATTGGAAAGTAGAATAAATATTGTATTAGATTGAGTGGATTGGAACAACATTGTGCATTTCAATATTCCAATTTTTTTAAAGTTAAATTTAATGTGAAAATTGTGTTATTTTCATTCAAATTGAAAAAAAGTATAATTTATAGAAAAATGTGTGCTTTATTGCTTTGAGTTTAAAAAGCATACTGCATTCTTATACTAACTAATAATGTGGAAAATTGTGTAAACCCAGCAATACTATTACATTTTTGAATTTTGAATTGAACTATTCTTCTAATTGATATTTACATACTTGCATTATTTTCTGCAGAATAGCTGGTAAGGCTATATAACCCATCATGCTGTTAAGTATGTGATGAGTCAGTTTATTAAAATCTGGAAAAAAACATATTATTTTTTTATATACTAATATAAAATCAAAGCACTAAGGAAGTCAAGATGGCTTTAATTTTGCATACCTGCATTGTATAAAGCAAAGGAATACATTTTGGCATATTTTTTTTTAATTTGAGTCATCGTCCTGTGTCCATAATTATAGATAAAACTTACAGGTTCATATGCAATACACTATTTCTGCAACTTTTGTAATTTCTAATAAAACAGTTTTTACTCTCAGATCTGTACTTTGTCTTTTGTTTTTAGGGATGTATAAATACCCTGCCATGTCTGGTCTGTGTTTTTGTTAGATGTTTTTCTGCATTGTATTGATCTGAGGAGTTAAGCCTTTTTCAACTGATTTTACGAATTTGTTCTAATTTGTGCTGTAACAACACTGTCCCAGGTTAGGGGAGGGTTGAGCACACACAAACATGTTTTACCCCGCCACATTCTTTATGTGTCTGTCCCAAGTCAGGAGCCTGTAGTTCAGTGGTTGTCGTTGGTTCATGTCTGTCACATTTGGTTTTTGTAAATGGATTTGTTATAAATTCAGCTGTTAGTTTTCTCAGTTGAATTGTTTCATATTTTTCATGTGGGCGCCTTTTTTAGCCGACTATACAGTATGGGTTTTTCTCATTGTTGAAGGCCTTAAGGTTGCCTATAATTGCTTACATCCACTTCATTTGAACTTTGGTGGATAGTTGTCTCATTGGCAACCATACCACATCTCCTTTTTTTATATTCTTTTCAAGTATAGTAAATTACAAACAGATAGTTTTGTAACTTGGATATCTGAATATATATAAGTAATTAATTCCTTGACATTGGCATGCATTCAATTGATTGATGTTACATGTATACAGTAGCATAACTGACCATGACCTTTCATTGAAGCCAAGAAAGTTGCAGGAAACTTTTCCTTGTTCAATGGGTGTTGTAAAATTTCAAACTATAGGCTAACAGGAAATGATTGCACAGCAGAAATCAAATCGCTGACAAGTTAAAAATCAACATTATCAAACTGCAACATAATAACATAATTACCATCTAGTACATCTTTGTTGTCAATATCCTTTAACTTTCTCTGTGGGGTCATAACTGTCTCTAACAGTGGAAACCATAGTGCCTGAAATGAATATATAATAAGGGTCAATAAAGACCTAGACTATAGAGATATCTAAAATATTAGTAATTTCCTAAACATGGCATTGTACAGATGTATAGATGATCAAGGATACATAAAGAAGAAATGAAATTAATTTATCCAGGATTTATTTTCACTAGTAGCAAGAAAACGATTAATCTTTGATTTTGTTAGGACTATTAGCTGAATATGGTAAATCCAGGACTTATTTTGACAATCAGCAAGAACATTTTATCAAGATGAGGGGACCCCATAAAGTGTGATTAAACATCAACTGTCAAATACTGATTCTTTACTTCAGATGTTGTAAAGAAAAGTTTAAACTGACAATTCAAAGCTAAACACCTTTGCAAATAGTAATTATCACAATAATTTTAATACAGAATTCACAAAATCATAATTACCTCCCTGCTGGCTTCATCCATTTTCCCAGAATTCCTCTGACAAAGTTGTATGATGACTATAGCAAGAGTATGGATCTCCAAGAATAAAACATTTACATCTGAAATAGACATACATAATGGGTTACACTGAGAAATTGTCATGGTATGTTTTTCACAAAATAGTCAATGTTTGAACGTTGTTTTATATGACATTCCTTTTTAACAATATGTAAAATTCCTTTTAAAATTTGTTTTTTAATTTGATGAAAAAATAATTACCATGAAATTAATCTCTCCCTAATAGTTGTTTCTTTATCTTGTTAGTATACTGAACTCAAGAAAAGCAAACATACATGATTTACTTTTATAAATTTTGACTTGGATGGAGAGTTGTCTCATTGACATTCATACCACATCTTCTTATATCTATATACCAGAATATTAGTAAATTTTCTGAAATAATTATTAGTTTTCATTATATATTGATAAATCATTAAAGAATTGTCATTTGATTATTACCTTTTTCCGTATTACCACCTTGCATGACTTCAACAAACAATTTCAACTTAGCCTGTAATTTCTAAAAAAAAAACGAGAGAATTAGAAATCTTGCGCAAAGAGTATTATATACTCTAAGCTTTTGTTAGTAATATTGCTAACTTCTTAAATTATGCAAATTTTGTTTCAAAACTTAAAAAAACTTTAAGGAAATATTTAGGACCTCAACAACAAAAACTTTGTGCAAATTTGCATAATGTCTGCCAGCTTCATAAAAGTCTTATTGAAAAGGTTAATTTTCCCTGATTTAATTTTGGATAGATACAAAGAAGCTACTCAACCAATTTTCTTATCACTTTACTGAAAAGTTGTGAAAATAATCATTTGAACTACATATTCACAATGTTAAATGAAGTTTATCAATTTTACCTGTAATATAATACCAAAAGCTCCCTGTATGTCCCCAGCTTTCTCCAATAGAAAAGCAGTGGCTTCAGAAAGTTTATATTTTCTGCATATCTGCCAATTAGAAAATTAAATCATAAATGAAAATATAATGTGAAAGAAGATTATTTAAAGGTGCTACAATCTGTCAATACCTTTATTTTATCATTGCACAAGGTCATGTTTTTCTCTGTCTGTTAATGATGTTTTTACACTAAATCCATTGGATGTTGGATGTGTACTGATTGATATTTTAGTCTTAGATACATGATTTTTTTTATTAATTGTTATTGGCTTTGAACTAGCTGTCAGTAACTGCAAGTACTCTCAGATCTGTACTTAGTGTGCTTTTTGTTGTTATGGATGAAGGATGGATAAATACCCTGCCACGTCCGGTCTGTGTTTTTGTTTGATGTTTTTCTGTTTTGTATCTAACTGATGAGTTAAGCCTTTTTCAACTGACTTTTATAGTTTGTTCTTATGTTGAGCTGGTTAGGGATGGGAGGGTTGAGCACTCAGAAACATGTTAAACCATGCCACATTCTTTATGTGCCTGTCCCATGTCAGGAGCCTGTAGTTCAGTGGTTGTCATTGGTTCTTGTCTGTCATATTTGTTTTTCATAGAATTGTTTTGTTATAAAGTAGGCCATTAGTTTTCTCAATTGAATTGTTTCATATTTTTCATGTCCGGGCCTTTTATAGCCGACTATACAGTCTGGAATTTTTTCACTGTTGAAGGCCAAACAGTTGCCTATAATTGCTTACATCCACTTTATTTGAACTTTGGTTGATAGTTGTCTCATTGGCAATCACATCTCCTTTTTTTTTATTCTGTATGAGTCTATTAAGTACTTTAGGTTACTTTCAGTACTGCTGAACAATTTTTTATATAGAATTAATGTTTTGCTTGTTTCTGTGCTTTTGGCATCTGAGATACTGATAACAGAAAGTGAAAAAAATATTTTCTAAATCAATTTTCAACCTACTCTGTGGTCTCAAGTTTGCATGGTCATCTTGAGTGCTGGAAGGTCATTAATTTGAACCTGACTAGGTCAAATGAAGGAGGTGAAAATTGGTATTTGGTGCTGCCTCTCTGCTAAGAACCATCAATTAGAAGTAAAAGACTGGTCAGCTAAGAGTAAGAATAATGTGCCAAGGTAGGGTGTCACGTCTTCATGAAGACTGTTACCTTGTGGACTACCAAATTAAAATTACGTCTCAGTAAGTCAGTCTAGTACAAAGTCTGTATATTTATAATGACGGTTTTATAGACAAGAGTGCACACGCTGAAATGTCTCGCCTTCTTTACTAATCACTGATATTATGTTGATAGTCCTAAATAAAAAGCTTTATTACAACTGTCACATAAACTTAACATTAACCAAGAAAACTAAACATTGACCAATGAACCATGAAAATGAGGTCAAGGTCAGATGAACCATGCCAGGCAGGCATGTACAGCTAACAATTCTTCCATACAACAAATATAGTTGACCTATTGCTTATAGTTCAAGAAAAACAGACCAAAACACAAAAACTTAACACTGAGCAATGAACTGTGAAAATGAGGTCAAGGTCAAATAAAACCTGCGCGACTGACATATAGATCATAAAATATTTCCATACACCAAATATAGTTGATCTATTGCATATAGTATTAGAAAAAAAGACCAAAACTCAAAATCTTAACTTTGACCACTGAACCATGAAAATGAGGTCAAGGTCAAATGACACCTGCCAGCTAGACATGTACACCTTACAATCATTCCATACACCAAATATAGTAGACCTATTGCATACAGTATAATAAAAACAGACCAAAACACAAAAACTTAACTATAACCACTGAACCATGAAAATGAGGTCAAGGTCAGATGACACCTGCCAGTTGAACATGTACACCTTACAGTCCTTCCATACACCGAATATACTTGCCCTTTTGCTTATAGTATCTGAGATATGGATGTGACCACCAAAACTTAACCTTGTTCACTAATCCATGAAATGAGGTCGAGGTAAAGTGAAAACTGTCTGACGGGCATGAGGACCTTGCAAGGTACGCACATACCAAATATAGTTATCCTACTACTTATAATAAGAGAGAATTTAACATTACAAAAAATGTTAACTTTTTTTTCAAGTAGTCACTGAACCATGAAAATGAGGTCAAGGACATTGGACATGTGACTGACGGAAACTTCGTAACATGAGACATCCATACACAAAGTATGAAGCATCCAGTTCTTCCACCTTCTAAAATATAAAGCTTTTAAGAAGTTAGCTAACGCCACAGCCGCCGCCGGATCACTATCCCTATGTCAAGCTTTCTGCGACAAAAGTCCCAGGCTCGACAATAAAACTGGCAACCTTAGAATCACCAAGACCCGCATCCCCAACAAAATAATTAAAAAGCAATTTTTAAAAATGTCAGTTAATCATGAAAAGTTACCCTGTTTGACTTTAATTACTTATCTAATAATACATATCTACATATAAACATTGTGTACCTGTAATGTTTGTTCTAGTCTGTAACCTTCATTCATCTTGATGTAGTTGAGGACTTCATTGGGTTTAAACTGACACATTAAATCTATGTACAACTCAAACACCTGTGGTTCTATGTTGATGCCACGATCTTGGTGGATAGCACTACTACCTGTATCCCTGTCAAAGTATAACATACTAAATGTGGAGTTGATGAATTATCAAATAATATAGGATTCCTTAAATATGAGATCTGAGTTATTTCCCTTTTTAAAACAGATTATGAAATAAAAATATATGGATTGCTAACATTCTATTTTTCAGAAATGTTAAATACTATGCATTTCATTTGTTCATGTACAATGTATATGTAAACCACACATTTAAATGTTCAACGAAGTACAAATTTTCTATAGGATTGTAAACAGGCTTTAATAAAACCAGGAAATCAAAATTCCCCCCAATACACCAAAATGGTACCCACGAAACAAAGGAATCCAATGATCCACCGAAGCAGGTATTTTTCTATTACTTATAAAGAGGTGGAGTCTGATAAGTCAACAATTATATGTGCTAAAGAAAATAAATGATGAGGCCTGAGTTCATATATCTTACTTGCATGACATGACACCCTGTAAAAACTCAAACAATATCTGAGGTGTGTCCTCTAACTGTTTACAGATGTCACCAAGGTTACTGGCAAAACACCCAATCACCATCTGAGCTGCTTGTTTACAATCTATGGAAACCAATTCCTGAAAAAAGAAATCCAAACCATCATGAGATTATCCCAGCCTATGCCCTTATCAGAAAACATCCTACGCTGGTGTAAAAAATATTTGCAACAAATTCATTCAGGTGTTTTTCAATCAAGCATTCTGCCTTTTTATATTTTTTGCAGAGGTAAACTGTTTTTAAAAATTAGCCTTGATAAATTTTGATCAGATGCCATGCATGAACGGCTTCTAATGTTATGTTTAATGCATAAATAGGAAAAACATTTCTGCCTTTTTTCACCCTTCACATAGAAGATTTATCATATGTACAAATGTAGATTTTATAAAGTGCATCTGTCTTAGCTCATGTTTTAAGCTTGCATTGATAGCAAGAGCACAATAGAATTTAATTTTGAATTTTTAACCTAACCCTCTCTGTTTATATTCACTACAATTAAACAGATATATCATATTCAGGATGGGTAATTGTGATAAATACTTCCTCACTTGCTTTGAAACATCTTATAGTCCAAATTTACCTCTATCCATGTGTACGTTTAAGTTTTAACTTATAATTAAATGTCTGATTTGAATATTTCCGTTTAATTTTAAAAAGATTACCTGTAGATTTCTCAAAGCTTCCTCCTTAAGAGCCTCTTTTTCCATGGAGGAATATCTGTCACTGTTTAATATACTGGTTATATAACTGAAAGCATGGTACTGGAAAGTATAACAGTATACACATGATTAAGTTATCGCATTATCAAATAAATCCTAATGTGACAATAAATTTTTTAAATTAAAAGAAGAATTGAACGGAACTAAAAACAACTGTCATACAATTGGGTGGTTTAGCTAGCTATAAAACCAGGTTTAACCCACCATTTAATTCTGAAAATGCCTGTACCAAGTGAGGAATATGACAGTTGTTTTTCAGTCATTCTGTTTGTTGATATAGTCGAGTGTTTGGTATTGTCAGGTTTTATGGACTTCCTTTCTTTTTGAATTCACCTTGGAGTACCTTATTTTAATACATTTTTTTAATACAGATTCATTTTGAAAATCCAAACATCCTTTTTCAGACAAATATGCCAACTTTTTAAATGATTGTATTTCAAAAACAACCACACTGATTTATTATACCATTATAAGATGTCATTTATGAAAATGTTGTTATTTACAGTTTCAGTCTCATACATTTATCAAAGCAATAAAATGGACAGTTGAACCTCAAACTTCATGATGAGTAGTATAAATTTAAGTATATAATCTTGTGTTAGATTATTTTAGAAATAAATGATGAAAGCCTTTTACCTTCCTAGCGTAATCTCTAAGATAGCAGGATAAAATTTTATCATATTGCCTTCTCTTCTCATATAACATTTCACATACACGGTAGCTGGAAAAACAATAAATATTGTATTATAGTGATCATACATGTAGAAAAAATTATTGAAAATTATATTTTTTTCAAATAATTTGTTGTTCTTTCCTCTCAAATAAAAGAAGAATGTGTCTTAGGACAAAAATGGCTCCGGTTTCATAAAATTTGCATGAGGAAAACTTAAGTTAGAGTGAGGAAACGAAAATGGGACAGACGGAAAGACCAATGGTCCAGGGTAACATACAAATCCTGCTGTTTTTACAGCAAGCATGAATTTTCAAGGTATTCTTAGTATTTCTACAGATTTTCTTTTGCAAACAATTTCATTGCATTATTATTTTAAACAGCAGTACATTTTTTTTAGAGGGAACTATTTTTACTATTACTAAATTCTCCGTGAAAAGAACAAATTGGTACAATATGAAAATATATCTTACAATTTAGCATTTTCTACAAGGTACAATAGTCTTTCTTCATCTATCTGGATTAGTCCACCTGCTCTCAATAATTCCATTAAGGCCTGCTGTCTTTCTTCATGTCTAGATTCATCATCTGGGTTAGAAAGGAACTCAAGCACCTGAGAAATACAAATTTAAATTTAAGACTATACCTTACAGAGAAGTTGGTTAACCCATATACATGTATAATTACATTTTGTTGTTTATGATCAGGGATAGCACTGGGCTTTACCATGTCACCTTTTGCAATGTTTAATATTTTCTAGCTATATTTCTTGTGCAAAAATCATCGTGATACACACACTAATAATTGACTTGCCTGTTCAAACAATACTTTCTTGACTTGGATGGTATTCTCATGTCTGGCCATTTGTCGTGCAAGAAAGGTGAACAAAATTCCAACTTGGGTAGGCTAAAACAAAAATAACAATCCATGCAAATTCCATGATTTAAAAAATATATAAAATTAATTGTTTTGGCAGGATATCAATGCCTCAACAAGATTTGTTTAATATAGAAAGATAAACTTCATACTTTTTCTCAGTTTTTTGTCAAACAATGAGCGTAATATGTACTACAGACCATATGATGTTGATATGAATTATCAGTTTGAATGAGAATTTTTACAATGGAAAATTACACATAACACATTTGTGGCTCTATTTTTAAGTGTTTAACCTTTCTTTCAAATGATCTATTGAAAAAGAAAATCTTTCTACATATGACTGACATGTTTAAGCTGTTATTTACTTACAGTAAAACCAACATTTTCTACCATCACCTGTAGTAATATATCTACAACTCTTTGTCTTTTCTTTATTCTGAAAAATGAATTATTGTAACATGTCAAAAATTACATTAGTTATTTTTGAGTTATCTCTCTTTGTATAGAGTTCAGTAAATGAAGTGAAATTGGGAAATCAAATAAAATTGAAAAAAAGAAAAGATAATTTTTAAAATAGCATTTATATATTTTATCAAATGATATTTATGATACAGTTTGATTATTTTGCCCAAATATTATTTAAAGGTATTTCAAAATACTATTTACTTCATTCTAGTAATTAGTGTACAGCTACATTGTATGTTTTTTCACTATTGATATATAACTGATCGACAGGTGTAGTTGTGTGTCAGTTTTGTGAACAAGAATATTTGAAGTTTGAAGGTTGGTGTATTTTGTAAATATTTATAATGATTTTGAATATGACTGTTTTACATAAAAGTGTTTTATAAAATTCAAAAAGAACAAAAATATGATATGTACATGTAAATATCATTCTATATTTTTATCTGAAGTTTTGCAAATGCAAACATGATTTTGCAAATTTTGTATCATAATTTGAATTCAAATTATAGTTTTATTGTGCCAGTTGATAGGCATTGTTGAGAAACGTTTATACTATGAAAGATGTGTTTTATATTTTAATTATAAAAGGTTCTGATAATTTTTAATTTTAGTTTCTTGTGTATAATGTGGAGTTTAGTATGACGTCCATTATCACTGAACTAGTATACATATTTGTTTAGGGGCCAGCTGAAGGACGCCTCCGGGTGCGGGAGTTTCTCGCTGCATTGAAGACCCATTGGTGCCCTTGGCTGTTGTCTGCTCCATGGTCGGGTTGTTGTCTCTTTGACACATTCCCCATTTCCATTCTCAATTTTATTTTTAAGGTCAGTATTGTTCACAGGTAGATCTATGTGTTTTTCCTACTAGAGGATGATATTTTGCTGTGAAATTGTCTGTCATTTGCCTATTTTAAAAATAGGGTATGTATATTGAATTGTAATTGTATGCCCTTGATTGATATTATGATTATGTTTAGTTAATTTTTGATATTTCTAATTGAAACATTATGGATTATCTATGAACAAATGTTGATTACTTTGAAGACTTTCTCTTATTTCATACTTTGATTGAGAAAAGTTAAGAATTGTAATATTCAGAAAGGGAGATAATCATGTTCTTGTAGCTTTTATATAGCTTTGTATGACTAAATGTTTCTGATGCATTTAATTGATATTTGGATAAGCAATATCTTTATTCCAAGTTAAAGTTCATTGAATTTATGATCTGCATTTCAATAGACTAATGATGTTTTGTCTTTTTCTATTTTTCCACAAATATTGAACTATTCAGCGTTGCCAATTAATGGGATTATTTTTGATATATATATATGAATATACAATAAATTCATGAACCTTATATTTGTGCTTTTGTAAGCCAGTTTATCATTTTCAGAGGTTACAAAAATGGTGGCGTGGTCGACTAAATACATTATTATGTGTTAATATATCAGTTACATGTTTTAAAACATACCACTTTAAAATATATTCCCTGTTGATAAGATCTGGTTGCAGTATCTGTTTAAGATTAATATGATTAATATCAAAATGACTTACCCTTCCTCTGTGTTGAACTCCTCTTCTTCAAAAGCCTGTAAAAGTATAAAATATATTTATGACTGTCTAATTTATGTATACCTTTTAGCATTGTTTAAAGTGTCAGAGCTGATTTTATGAAGTAATGGTTCTCTAAGTAAGAAATTATTAACAAAGGCACTCGCCACCCAGACAATTGTAATTGAAAATCGTAGTGCATTATAGTCTGAAAAGTTGCCCTGATACCCATCACACATGTATTATTAATATAAAGTGTCTTCCAACCCCCCATACATTTTTTTTCTGGACTTGCATTCAATGCAATGAGAAGATGAAAGCAATGCTAACAAACAAGCACTCACCAAAGCTAACACGTTTAAAAACTCTCTTGTGTCAAACTGTAATAATGTTCTCAAATGAGGATAGATGGGTTCTTCTGAAACAGAAAGAATAAGGATAGATGGATTTTTCTGAAACAGAAAACAATTAAAGAACCTTAGTGAGCGCGCTCACATACCCCACGTCCCCACATTGTCACTGGAGAAATAAAATAACTGTAAGAAAAAAAAATTGTATAAGAAAAAAAAATTGAATCATAATTTCCTGTCGATATGCACAGCTACATAGTATGTCCTTATTATCTACAAAGTTTCATGAAATTCTGTTGTGTGGTTTCAGAGGAGTTGTGATGACAAACTGTTGCAGAGGTATATTGAAGCAAATAAGTTCAAAGGGGCGTAACTCCTAGAAAAAAAATTGAATCGTAATTTCCTGTCGATATGCACATCTACATAGTATGTCCTTATTATCTGAAAAGGTTTCATGAAATTCTATTGTGTGGTTTGAGAGGAGTTGCGATGACAAAAGGTTGCAGTAGTATATTGGCCAAATAAGTTCAAAGGGGCGTAACTCCTGGAAAAAAAATTGAATCTTAATTTCTTGTCGATATGCACATCTACGTAGTATGTCCTTATTATCTACAAAGTTTCATGAAATTTTGTTGTGTGGTTTCAGAGGAGTTGAGATGACAAACTGTTGCAGTAGTACATTAAAGTAAATAAGTTCAAAGGGGCGTAACTCCTAGAAAAAAAATTGAATCATAATTTCCTGTCGATATGCACATCTACCTAGTATGTCCTTATTATCTATAAAGTTTCATGAAATTTTGTTGTGTGGTTTCAGAGGAGTTGCAATGACAAACTGTTGCAGAGGTATATTGAAGCAAATAAGTTCAAAGGGGCGTAACTCCTAGAAAAAAAATTGAATCTTAATTTCCTGTCGATATGCACATCTACGTAGTATGTCCTTATTATCTGAAAAGGTTTCATGAAATTCTATTGTGTGGTTTGAGAGGAGTTGCGATGACAAAAGGTTGCAGTTGTATATTGGCCAAATAAGTTCAAAGGGGCGTAACTCCTGGAAAAAAAATTGAATCGTAATTTCCTGTTGATATGCACATCTACATACCTAGTATGTCCTTATTATCTACAAAGTTTCATGAAATTTTGTTGTGTGGTTTCAGAGGAGTTGAGATGACAAACTGTTGCAGTAGTACATTAAAGTAAATAAGTTCAAAGGGGCGTAACTCCTAGAAAAAAATTGAATCCTAATTTCCTGTCGATATGCACAACTACATAGTATTTCCTTATTATCTAAAAAGGTTTCTTGAAATTCTGTTGTGTGGTTTGAGAGGAGTTGCGATGACAAGAAACAGGACTGATGGACTGACGGACAGACGGACAGACGGACGGACAGACGGACGATCAAAAAATTATACCCTCCGCAACTCGTTGCATGGGGTATAATAATAAAAGTCTAGCTAAAGTCAATGGTACAAGTCATAAGATGGCTTGAAATCCATATTTTCCCTAAAAATGAAGAACTATCCCAAAATGTTTATCAAAAATCTTGTTCCATCTTAATGCTTTTCTTCGTTTTTTTATTTTAACTTCCTTACAAATGTTAACCCTTACAATGCTGAGCCCGTCATATGACGGGATGACCCAGACCACCGTTATTTGGCTCTAATGGCTCTCCATACTTTTAGAGGTCAACTTTATGAAAGTTATTTCGAAACTGATGCATGTTCCCTCAACCTGAGGCTATCTATTGTCATGTTTCTCATGTTTAAGTAGCATTTTGAGTTCAAATACAAACTTGGAAAATTGAAATTGGATAAAACTGGTTTTTCTGGAGGGGTGGGCTTCCCTTATGTGTCTTACACAGGAAGTTCAGAGGCCTAAAACTTTCAAAAATAGTGTAAACCCCGCAGGCATATATCTACTGATCATAATTATTATTGAAATAGGCAGAGGAAACGACTACTTCCGGTTTCAGGTCCAGTTGAAGTCCAAAATCGAAAAAAATCGTGAAATTCCGTATTTTTTGTCCAAATGACCTTCTTTAGACTGGTGTTCCCAGATCAGTTTCACTCCAACCTAAGAACTGTTGGGGTTAATGTGTTTACTGGGGTCCACTGTACATGCAGGCTACAGCTGGATACCTATATCAGCATCCCTCGGTCTTTGGGGTCAAGAAATGGGACGAAAAATCGTCAAAAATGATGCATTTTGCACCTGATGACCAACTTTGGGGCAAATTCCCGCCCACCCACCCCACCTCCTCACCCCAACAACCCCGCCCGGTGATCCCCTACCTTAGATTTAAAGAAATCAATATGCTTCAGCAGCAGGGTAAAGCTCATTTGCATATAATTTGCATATTTTTGCAAATGAACGAAAATTAGACTTTTTCTGAAAACAATTCAGCATGGTGTGTTAAGTCAAATTAGAAACCATGTTAAACCTTTCAATTTTTATGTCCTTTAACATAGCCTAAAATAAATAAAGAAAATCTTGTCCAGTGTTAGATTACAATAGAAAGTCCATAAAAAAGATGTGGAATAAATATTAATGAGGCTGTATGATACAGCACAGGCCAAACAAAACAGACACTGCAGAGATCAACATTCACACTTCAACAATGCCTCTTTATAATAAGCTCTAAATTCCAATGAGTTTATAAAGTTGTTAATTTTATCAACTGAGATAACATCAGATATGTTTGACAAATTTTGAAATGGACAATCAATAACAAACAGTTACATCCACTGTCAAAGATTTTTTACTTTAGAAAGGTAGATCGACATGTAGTTCTTTGAACTAAATTTGTGTGTAGACACAACTTTTACATTCATGCATTTTCCCGTACATTTCAAATGTCAAACCTTTATGTTATTACCTCACAGTAAAAGTTGATTGTTTAACGAAGTCATTTACGATGATTGATTGGGGTCAACAGGACAAACTCATTCATAAAAAAGACCATGAAATTTGTCTTCTTAATCCCCTATTTGTGTCCTTTGTCAACAAAAAACTATTTAAGTGTCAATAACAATACCATACCTGAAGTGTGATTCTTGGAATGTAAACTTGTTATGCAATGAAACATCTGGAAAAAAAAAATAATCATCTGATGAGTTAAGACCTTTTCAACTGATTTTTATAGTTATTGTGCTGTTACATCACTGCCCCAGGTTAGGGAAGGGTTGTGCCCGCAAACATGTTTAAACCAGTCACATTCTGTATGTGCTTGTCCCATGTCAGAAGCCTAAAATTTTGTATCTTTTGTTGCTGTATATCATATTTGTTGTTCATTTATTGATTTGCATATAAATCAGGCTGTTGGTTTTTCTTGTTTGACTTGTTTTACATGTGTCATTTCAAGGCCTTTTATAGCTTGCTATGCGGCATAGGTTTTGTTCATTGTTGAAGGCCTTAAGGTGATCTATAGTTGCTAACTTCTATGTCATTTGGTCCCTGGTGGAGAGTTGTCTCAATGGAAATCATACCACATCTTCTTATTTTTATATTGATTAGATAAAAATATTCAAGCATATCTTGGCAAGGATACAGGCTTTATTTTACTTGGATGACTTCTTAATCTTACCATTCTATTTCAAAATCATGTATAGCTGGTTGCAAAATAATCAAAATAATGTAGATCTAGTGTAAATATTTATATATTTTGTAAAAAGTTAAAGGTTTTAAAACAGCAACAAAGTGGACTGCAGCAAACATTTAAATTTTCTGAATAACTACATATTTTGTTTTAGAACTACACCAAGTATTCCAAACATTCCAAAGGAATGAAGACAAGACTTAGTACAATGTAGTATGAATCAAACATGAATGTGTGTGAATTTTACCAAACAGAAATTGTATTGCAGCCGATTTCAATGAGTGTCAAAATCGGCTGTAAACTCCTACTATAAAAATATATTCATACATTGTTTTTGACATCAGATACATGATCTTCGGGAATATCTCCTAATGGGTAGGCTCTTCCTGCTAAACAACAACTGTAAATAATAGTAAAAAAACATAAAATATAAATCACATTTAAAATTCTAAATCAGAAAAAATCATTACATAATCACATAGTAATTTCTGAAATAAGACAATCTCTACATATTTGTTCGATTTCTCAACATGTTGTTTCATAAAACTCTGATCTTTTGAAAGTATCTTGACAATATTAAGGATGTTCGCTCCTCTGTTTAAAAATAACAAGCTTTTTAAACGACTGTTATAAATTGATAGTATATAAATAACTGAACTTTAAAAAAGTAGACCTTGTTTTTGAGATATAATCAAATTCAAAATTTGGCGGGAAATGATTTCCTCTAGATTTTTCATACATTTAACATTGGCACCATTTTTCTTTCAAAAACTATGAAAAAATAACAAAGATTTTATAAGATTTTCATAAATGTCTAGTTTAACTATATGTAATAAAATTAGGAACAGAAAAGTAGGGGTTAGGAGGATTTCCTTTTATTGGTACTACATGGATAAAACTAAAGGATTCCGAATATCTGACAAAAACAAGAGCAGCGAACATCCTTAAAGTGCAATTTATATTTGTATTTTCATTGGGATTCCAATTCTATCTCAGAGATATGTAATTGCTTTGAATTAGTAATGATCAGTCTAAGTATACAGAAATACTCTCCAAAGCATTTCATAATCATAATTTGTCAAATATCTACTTGTATATATCTGTTTAACCAATATCAGCATATCTTTTCATATAGTTTTTGCATCCACACAAATAAAACAGCATTCAAGATCCAAATAACAATATATGTTTCACTCAACATAACAGATTTCAATCATATCTAAATATAGAATACTGGTCATGATTTTTTTCCAAGTTGAGATCCTTCAAATATTTTTTCAGCATGCTTCTCTTCTTTAACAAAAATAAAATATTAAAATGGACTGGTGTTATTTTTTATTAGTTATTTCATGAAGTGTATCTCCTGTTCTGAATTTAATATGACATTTAAAACACAACAATCTGATAAGATGCCATTAACTACACACCTTATATACACCAGAAGTTTATTTCCTAGTCTTATCTGATTATCTGAAAAAAAAAGAATATAATAGATTTTATATATCAACAATATTTTGTAAAGTAGTGCAACTTTATGATTTCATGACAATATATACCTGTTAGCCAAAGGTAGACCATACTTTGACCTATAATGGTTTACTTTTTTAAATTTTGACTTGGATGGAGAGTTGTCTCATTGGCACTCATACCACATCTTCTTATATCTATTTAAAGTAAATTCTATTAGTCAAAGGTGCAGTTTACAAATCAATAACCCTTAAAAAAAATGTGTTTGATCCTAACAATTCTTAAACCAAACATTTCTTTATTTATTTCTGAAAGTTTAAACCTTCTTTGAACCCAGCATTCCGTTCATGCGTATCTGCATGGAAATATCAATGTGAAAATGACACAGTGGTTACATTGGTTACAAAGTTGTTTTCCATCCCTAAATGAGCCAAAGATTGTGAAGAAAAAGTGACGTATTATGAAATACACATTGCATGATATATCACTTTGTTACTATATTTGATAAGGGCTGTTCCATTAAAAAGGAGGTACTAGGGTCGGAAGGCAATTTTTAAGTACCCCCATGACCAAGAGGAATGTACCATGTATCTTAACACCAACCAACAGGAAGTCGTTTCATAACAATACAAGAACCAACTGGAATATATCTAACTTATTTTATTCTAATTTACCACAACCAAAGGAATTGTTATTTAAACATTATAGTTGCTGGACAATTTAGAGGGGGTGGACAGGGTCAAGGAGCTACAATGTTTGGTTATTACTATGATATAAAGGGCTATTTGTATCTTTTTTTTTTTATATTGTTCAATTCATACCCGAGTATATAATTAATGTAACAGTTCAAATTCAAAGCTATTTAAATGTATCATATCTAGTTGCACTATTATATTAGTTCCTTTGTAAAAATAAAGTAAGAAACTTCCAGATTTTTACTGGCCGTTCAAAATTGAGAAGAAATGACCTCTTGGAATTGTAGATATATGTATACTCTATAAAAACATCTACATGTAATATCAACATTTATTAATGATAAAGAAAATTACTGTCACATTTCATTGGATTTTGACATGAAATTTGTGAACTAAAAGTTATTTTGAGTTTCTGTATAAAATATTTTATGCTTTTTCTTTCTTTTCCATATATCTTTTGATTTTCAATTCTAGTGTTTATATTTCATCATCATAGATGTATTTTGTCACCTGCCTGGAATTATTTTTTTTTTTATTGTATTTGATCGGCAAACCCGGGATTACCCTTATCCGACCCCGGAATCTGATCCGACCCCAGAATCTGATCAGGTATTGTAATCGTCTTCATTTCCGGTTTATGGCATCCATTCTTTTTCAATGTTGTTTTTGTCAGTAAGATACGATTTACTCGTATTTACACATTACTTGTTGGCAATTTTCAGTATAAAGCTAGCGGTTGAACAAACTGAGCATCGCTGTCATGAATAATAAAGATAAAAATAAATGTTGAGATCGTTTGGAAGTTTTGGTCCCAAATTGAAAATTGGGAAAAACGTAGGGTATTTGACATTGCCAAAGGAATGGGTCCGGTATTTGGACCCTGTGGAATGCTAGAAAAATCCCTGGAGGGTGTACGATCTCAATAGTAATATGGCTTTAAAATGACCATACTGATGGTTAAAAAGGTCGCCATAGTAAATTTTTATTTTCTTTCAAATCGAAAGTCCGTCGGGCCTAGCTAGTCACCAAACGAAAGTCCGATTGCATAGTGGAAGGTCGTGAACCTCGGACCACCACTTATTTGAACCTACGAATATTATTTTCAAGAGAATTTGACATCGTTCGCCATGTGCTTGTCATTAAAGGGAAGTAACTCTTGCACTTCCGGAACTGGTACCATAGGTAGAATACAACGGTTGCGCCTGCCGCTGCGTAAGTTGCGGGAACAGTTATGTTTTCCAAAATATCACGATAAGAGCAGGAGACAAAAACAATCGGTTATATAAGTCCTTGCAAAAACAAATAATAATAAATAACGGAAAATAACACATTGAAACCGACAGTCACGAAAAATGACTGTCAAAGAAGACCAACAACCAACAATACTTAGTTTCTCTAAACACCAAGGGCCACTGGCCATACACACTTCAACACATCAACAACCAACAGGATTTTTTATAATTGCCGTCCGACCCTGGTACATTCTTTTTAATGGAATAGCCCTAAGTAAAGGAAGTGTTTTAGTTGCAGTATAAACCAAGTTTTGATACCTGTGAGCTGTTTCCCAGTATCAACAGCAGACCTCAGAACAGTAAGCAATTCTTCCAATGGTGTGGTAAAATCTCTCATCCCTTGGTTGTACACATAAATTATAGCATCATATAGACCATGGCTCCAGCATAAAGATACAACCTATCAAAATAAAGAGACGTAAATTATAGCATCATACAGTGTTCCAGCTAGGATTTCAAAAGGGCAGGGAGCCAATCATGAAAAGGGCACTTTAGCACGATGATTGATACAGTCGACTCCACTTAATTGCATACCGCTTAATAGCATAATTCGGTTAATTGCATACTTTTCTCCTGCACAAAACCATTTCCCATTCTTCTAATGTTAAATTGTCCGGTTATATGCATAGCCTTACAAGTGGCATTTCGGTTAATTGCATAGAAAATAATCGCCAGCTAGATATGCTTAGTTAAAACTGACGAGATTTTTGACCGGAAACGGCAATTTGGTAAGTATATTTTTCTTGAATGCATCATAATTTTCGTTATTATTTCATATTTACTTCTGCGTTATTTAAATAAAGTTTTAAAACAGTTTCTTTCGTGTTTATATGATTGTAAAATAAGCCTCGATGTGTACACAGGTAAAGTTTCCCATGTTCTATTTTAAGCCTCGAGGTCATAAAAATGTCAAACAGCTGATTGTTGTAAAAACACGACCATTCTATCTCAAAAGGTGTTAATTATTGATTGGATTTCAAACATTGTTTCTTAGATTACATTTTGGGTGAATTTTTAAAACAATAACACCTGCTAATTATCGATCATTATCCAATGTGTTATCTCGTAATTCGGCTTGGGGTGATCTACACTTATGTTAAATTTTATAGGGCATTTATATTTGGTTGAAGAATTTTATACATCAATCTTTTATTTTCAATATTTTTTGAAAAGAACATTAACTTCTAATTTTTATATTTTCTCACTTTCAACACTCGTGTCCAGCAAATAACCCGTGCAGGGCCCTATTACCTGTTAACTGCTTTGCATATACGAAACTAACGAGGTTAAAGTAACAGTGTTACATCACTGTGCAAACGGTAAATACTGCATATCAAAGGCAGTTCATTACACATTTATTGTTCAAAATGATTATAAACTGTGTAGTATTGTTAAACAGTTTATTTTAATCAGACCGTAACAATGTACATTGTACATCCGGGTTATAGAAACAAATCTATTTTTAGAACAATTTTATTTTCGTATCTCAGGTAAAGGAAAAGTTGGTACGTAAATAAACTAAAACAAAATGTGTTTATAAACGTTATTGAAAGAATACACAATGAAATAACATGTATGACACTAGACAAATAACTTTTATTATAATAAATAAGCATTCAATATGTTGTAAGTGGATTATGGACGTTCATCTTTCTTCAGGGATTTCCTTTACTGATCTGCGCTATCGATGTTGTTTGACTCCGTAATTTGGCATTTCGGATATAAGCATACTCCGCTTAATTGCATATTTTCGTCTGACAAATAGGCTATGCAAATAACCGGAATGTACTGTATTTCAAAAAGGGCATGTCAAACACTGTCTTATGTTAACTGCAGGGGTTTCAGCTAGGAGTTTTGAGGGGGTTTAGTCACTTTTACGCTAGATGAAAATCAACCTTATTTTGGGTAACAGTATTAAAGGGACCATGCAAGGACGTATATTACTAGCTCAGTCTTCCCTAGAACATTTTTGATGCATGGTAGGTCTAAGGTTAAGTTGCAATGCAGAGCGCAGCAGCGTTTTGTAGAATTATTTTTATTTCATTAGTGAAATGAATTGTGCATGTCAGTTAAAATACTAAACTAGATCCTCAATACAGTCAGGAACAATACCTTACATTTTCTCCAGGGGCCAACCTGGATCCCAAAACTTTTTTCCAAGGGCCAAGTAGAAATTTTAAGGCCCTACCAGGGTATTTTTACTACAGGTACATACTTAACAATAGTCTTGAATGTTCTTATAAAGGCAATAATATATGTTTGAAATGCCTAATACATGTAGCCCAGTGTTTCTGATTATGATAGAAATAATAAATGAATTGTAATAAACCACATTGAGTTTTTCAGAATTAAAATCCATTTAACCATGTCTTTTCAGACTGTTAAAACTTATATTTGTAATATTATATATAAAAAATATATAACCCCCCCCCCCCCCCAGGGAAAGGGTGGGCGGACCACCCAAAAAGACAAATAACAGGATATTTAAAGAAACCGAAGAAAGCAAATGATGGAAACGTCCCAAAAAATGTTCAATTACTATAATAATGTTAAAGTGTATACATTTTATGTAGCAGATTTTGTGCCTGTATAAAGTCAGGCTATCTTGACCATGTGTTGTTGTCGGTGTTTGTTTTTTTAGAGAAGTCAGTTGTTGGTAGTTGATCTGGTCCATTGTATTGTCCAGTATCTTTGGCAATTCTTGAGATTTTTTCTGTTTTTATTCTGTTTTTTACATTAAAAAAATTAAGTGTAATTTTCATAACTTGTCTAGACTTCGGTTGGTATAGAGTATATGACATAGGGTATACGCACTTGAAAAAATATCTAGATGTTTTTCATGTTTTTTTTATTTTGTTAGATTGCTGTCTCCATGAAATACACCAGATACCTCCTTTTATTTATAAAAAAAGTCTCTGAGAAATCCAAACAACTTGGTGCAAACTAAATTTTTTAATAACTAAGAACTTTCGACATTAACATACCTGATGAATATCTAAGCTAGTGACCTCTAGATGAACTATACAGGCCTCTACACTCTCTAACATTTCACGGCTCTGATAATGGTCTACAAAATCCTTCATAACAGATGGAGGAATGGACATGAGCTTGTCTCCCAGGATATATGGCTCCAGACATTCTAAGAACGTTCCCATAGCAATCATATCTTCACTAAATCTTTCATAGATTCTCCCAAACAGAATATCACTGTAAATAACCATAGAATAATAATTTAAGAAATTTAGAAATATGAAAAGATCAAAATGTGTGGGAAGTAAAAATAAATTCACCATAGATTCCATAATAAAAATTTTCATGTATTCTGTAAGTTAAGCCAATTATGAACAATGACCACCAATTTACATATTTTGCTTAAATCAGATATCAAACATCCCATAGGTAACACTTTTCCTTAAACCACAAAGATCTATGACAATAAATAATAAACCCATAGAAATTGTTCTAACAATGTCCACAATAAAAATAACAATTCCTTTTTTTTACAAATAATATGTACCAAAGGTGAAGTTAGATAACACATACATAAGATCAATTTTGTTTAGACTCCATGTGATTTAGGTCTTGACATATATATATACAAGGTTTACACATTTGTCTTTTGTTTGTCAATCTTTTCTGGTTTTATTGTGTTGGTGGGTAGCTGTCTCATTGATGTATGCCCAACTTCCCATTCTTATCAAAATTGCAATGCCCATCATACTTACGTTCTGTTTAGATACAGGCAATGGTCTACACAAACTGGTACTATTGTCTGAAACCATAAAAACATAAAATGAGAAATTAAGTTACGACGTATCATAATCCTAATATTTTACTATGCTTTCATTTTTTGTATTTTTCATCAGCATTCTGAATCAGGGACCTTATTCTATAGAGGGAGTTACATTTAATTTCACTCTGTCAAAAATTAAAGCGTATAAAGCTGCAATGCTTGAAATAGTGATCTCAAATCCCATTAGAGCCTATAAATGCTGCAATCTTTAGTGATCTGTCTTTTGTCGAAAGACTGTCATATTTTCTTTTGGTCATTTGTGTCATTGAGTTGTTGTCTCCTTGACATATACCCAACAGCTCCATTTATTCGTAAAAACTGCATAACTTTTAAATACATACAAATGAAACCTTAGATATATCTAAATAAAAATATTCAATCTAATTTTAAAGAAACATATATTTGGCAAAATGCTAGTCATGCAAAAAGAAATATCTAAACTTTGGGCCGTTCCAGTAAAAAATGTATGGGGAGGGTTAGACAGCACATGATATTTTTTCCTGTGGGCAATAGGGTTGGAACCAAATGCAATTCAGTAACACATAAAAATAAAAATTATGGGTGATTGGGTATAAAATGAGTGATTTCTATACCCCCATAAATTTACCACTGGAAAAGCTCTTACCATATAATACTCCTCCAATTCTTCCATCTTGCCTTTCTCTGGACATAAAGTTGTCATAGAAAGGTCAACATAGTCAAACAACATGTCCAACATCTAAAAAGAAATTAGCAGAACATTCATTAACATGACAACTATAAATTAAGTACTTCAGAAATTTTTGCTTTGTTTTTATTATAGTGAAAACTGCGAATAGGTTTTTTGCCCAAAAAAAATTAAATGTCACATTTTAAATTTTGTATGCAGAATATCCTGAAATTGCAATAATTAATCTCTCTTTATTGTCCATAGTTCAACAATAGCAATAATAACGCATGCAGAAATTTCTGAATTTACAGTATAAAGGGATTTATCATTTTTGATCAACTCTCGACAAAAAAAAATCTCATTGTCAATTAATACTCTTTAATAAAAAGTAAAATATAAACTCAAATTCTATTATTGGTGATTAAAATAAAACATGGCATACAAATAGCAAATTACACAGTCACATGTTATCTTGGATATTAATGAGGGTCGTAATGGCGGTACCTTCATGACAAATAACGGTAAAAAATCTTGCCAAATGACATTAACGGTTATTTTTGGGGCATGACGATAAAATGTACATATTCTTTATGACAATAAAAAAGTCAACTGATTTTTACAAATCACGTTAAATTCTTCCCAAAAATAAGGGTAACAGATAATTATTTGAGACCTCTGACAAATCACAATAAGGATATTTTGACGAATCACAATAACATTTTAACCAATTTGAAGTTAACAGTAGCAAAAATGACCATTCCACACCTGACTGTAAAGGGCATTCATAGCCTCATTAATGTGTACATGTACATTTACCATGTATATATTTTAAAAATAAAAATAAAATGTAGAAATCTTATAAATCAAGAACATGTATTACAGTGTTTGCCACAACATTATCTGTGTGTATTTTACAATTCTTCTATCTTGATATCTTTTCTTGATTTGTGAAATACAAAGTTTCAAAATAACAACCGATTAGAACATAGATAACTGCTTTTACAAGTACAAGTATTCTACAGCCATTTTTCACTAATAATCTACCAGCAATTTACATGCTGCATTAGTACCCATTAAAACACTTACCAGATCAGCCACAATCTGTTTCCTTTTAGCAGATGAACCAGTCAGTCCAACAACTGCTTTAGCATTGCCCTCATAGAATGACAGAGCCAATGCTAGAGCATCTTGGTATTTATTCTGTTTAGCTAGCACATCTATTCTCTGTAAAATTAAGACTGTAGAATCTACTAATAGTGGAAACAGCATGAATTAAAAAAAAAACCAAGGTATAATACTTTTTCTCTTTAGAATATTGAAATTGTAATGCAATTGATAGACAAGAAATTGTATATGCTTGCTTTCAAAGCAATCCCCATTCTTAATTCAAAGTATTTGTAAGTTCATTCAGCATATTGAAAATTCAAAGTTAATCAAACAGGAATAAGGTGCTTAATACCAAAAAAAAAGCACTCACAACTTCACAAGTTAAAACTCATTGTCAAGCTGACCAAAATAGACATCATTCTATTTAGAAGTACTGGAGAATAAGTTGTTGAAAATATTATAAAGTTTATTCAACAATATTGAAAAATTCAAAGTACTGTCTATTATTATGACTGTTTGTTTTGCTCACACATTGTTGTCAATATAATGGAATTCTATATGACTGTCATACAAGTGAGAGGTTTAGCGGGCTATAAATTCAGGTTTAATCCACCATTTTCTACATAAGGAAATGCCTGTACCAAGTCAGCAATATAACATTTGTTTTCCATTCATTTGATGTGTTTGAGCTTTAGATTTTGCCATTTGATAAGGGACTTTCCGTTTTGAATTTTCCTTGGAGTTTAGTATCTTTGTTATTTTACTTTTTTTCATAAATTTTTGTGATGTTTTAAATATTGTGAAAATTGAGATGGAATAGGTTCTGCAAAAACATGAAAAATGTACATTTGCATTTTAAATTTTGATATTTTGATTTGTAAGATTAATTAATTAAAATCGCAATTATTAATCTAGAAATGTTTTCCATTGTTCAACGATCACAATAAAAAGTACACACAAAAAATTCTGAATTTAAAATATAAAGCAAACAGAAAGTAGGTGTCTGACAGATTGAAAATTGCTCACACCTTACAACTTGTCACTGTCAAGCTCAAATACTTAGGAAAATTTTGACATTACCAATGCTAAACAGTTCTACTGTCAACAATTTTTTATCAACAATGTTGAAAATATAAAAAATATCTTATAAAAAGTTAACTTTGCCTGCTAATATTAAAATTCATGAAGGTTTGGGATAATCATATCAAAGAATGTTTCTACTGACCTCTCTCCATGACCTCAGTGTATATAGATGAACTGTTTTAGTTCCCAGTATGAACAATTGCCCATTATGGCTGACAATGGTCTGGTAACAAGCCTTCTCTCCAGCAAAGGCCAAGGCTTGACTGACATTGCCACCAGTGGCTAAAGATTTGAAATGACTCGTGTTGTAAACCAACATAACTTCTGATACATCAATCACCTGTAATAAAGTAGTAAACGTAATGAAATCGTTAACTATACAATCTGATACATCAATCACCTGTAATAAAGTAGTAAACGTAATGAAATCGTTAACTATACAATCTGATACATCAATCACCTGTAATAAAGTAGTTAACGTAATGAAATCGTTAACTATACAATCTGATACATCAATCACCTGTAATAAAGTAGTAAACGTAATGAAATCGTTAACTATACAATCTGATACATCAATCACCTGTAATAAAGTAGTAAACGTAATGAAATCGTTAACTATACAATCTGATACATCAATCACCTGTAATAAAGTAGTAAACGTAATGAAATCGTTAACTATACAATCTGATACATCAATCACCTGTAATAAAGTAGTTAACGTAATGAAATCGTTAACTATACAATCTGATACATCAATCACCTGTAATAAAGTAGTAAACGTAATGAAATCGTTAACTATACAATCTGATACATCAATCACCTGTAATAAAGTAGTAAACGTAATGAAATCGTTAACTATACAATCTGATACATCAATCACCTGTAATAAAGTAGTAAATGTAATGAAATCGTTAACTATACAATCTGATACATCAATCACCTGTAATAAAGAAGTAAACGTAATGAAATCGTTAACTATACAACCTGGGTCTTACACTTCATAACTATTGATCAGGGTATCAAGATTTGAAAGGACTGTTTGAATAGACCAAGAATTCCACTCAAGCTGGTGCTAGAGGCCGTCTTAATTTGCAATGAGGTGAGAGTTTTTTGCTCCATGTTGAAGGTCTCACTGTGACTTTGAGATGAAGCACAGTAATAAAAGTGCTGTTCCTTTCCTTTTTGTGTGTTTCTTGCTGTGCATGTACTGATTTTGTGTCATGGATTGATACCCAATATTCTTTGTTTTTCTACAACATTACTTCTGATACATTTTTAACCTGTTATTAGGTATTAAATACATGTGATTGAACTTTCTGTCAGCTGTGGGTAGTAATCTGAGGTAGATTTTATTCAATTATGATTTATACTTGAGTTCATACCTTATATACCAATTTTAAAGCTTTCTACACATGATAAAATCATAGAAAAACAGTTAAATTGCACTGATTTTAACTTTTAATTTACTTCTTTCAGTTGCTCTTACTTCACCAAGTACCAAAATAACAGAGATGGTAACTTGTCAATTTGTTTATATTTAGGAGTCAAAAGGCAGGAAAATCATCTATTGGGCATGCCATCCTTTGTTATTAGCACAGAAGGGGTTATAATGCATCTGTTTACTACTGGGAACATAAACTAAGCATTGTATTGTATTTGCATGTAACTTTCTCAGTTTTTTTTTATTTTTGTGTTGTTGGACTGCTGTCTCATTGATGTTTATCCCACATTTTATTATATTCATGTACTGTAAATTCAGAAATTATTGCCTGCATTTATTATTGCGATATTTTAAGAAGGGACTCAAATGCTAGATAAATTATTACGATTTCAGGAATATATGTATACAGATATGTATTAGATATCAGAATGCGAGTTCTTATTATTGCCATAATCACCAAGTCGCATTATTCGTGTTAATAAAAACCTCACAATAATTTCTGAATTTACAGTAACTATAATACATATATATGGTCTGCACTAACAATAAAGTTAATAAGGCATTCAAATGTTTAGGTTATTATTGTTTCTGGTATTTATCTATACTCTCCTTGCTTGATACAATAATTAAACATTGAATGCCAACTGTCAAGTACATTTTTCATGTTCTTAACTCAGGAAAGAAATACCTACGAAACAAAGATTTCAATATTTCTTGTCAATACAAACCTCTAACTCCTCTTCTGATCTAACATCTAGAACATGTATTTTTTCTTTGGTATCCATGGCAACAAGTGTTCTTGGATTCATCCACTAAAAGACAAAAATTAATTGGACATTTAAAACATATACATGTAACACATCAAATACTATTCAGTTTTCTTCTTGAAAATGTATATACAATTTGTTTGCTCTACTAAAAGAAACCTGACATGCAAAGGTTGGATAGCTTTTATGAAATAGAGGATACATTTTGTACCTTAAACAATAATTTACAGACGATTTTTAAATTTACATGTTAATGCACAAAGCACAATAAACAACTATCATAAAGACAAAAGTTAAATCTAAAAGGTTTAACGAATTGTAGGTCCAGTTTTTTTAAAATTTAAATAAATGGAGAATGTGGCCATGAGACACAATTGATGCCCCCGCTTGCATATAACGTTATAAAGGGACACAACTCCAGTACGGTAAAAGTGACGCCATCCAAATTCAAACTTGATCAGTGTTTTGTGGTAATAAGCATTGTGTATTAGTTTCATAACATTTGGTTGAGGCAAACTCAATTTAGAGAACGGAAACCAATTTCGAGACGTATGGACGGACAAGTGTAACACTTAATGCCCTCTCCGGTGATGGCAGGGGCATACAAACTTTCTATTCCATATTGAAATGTAGGGACTGATATGTAAAGTCGAATTTCTATCTCCTATTCACGTATAAAACTTTGAAATAATAACTACATATATATAACAATTTGAGTAGGTGCCCTTAAGTATTTACTGTAAATTCAGAAATTATTGCATGCATTTATTATTGCGATTTTGTCATTTTAGAGTTAAATGCGATTTTATTTTTTTACGATTTTGAGAAAAATCCTGTTTAATTCATATAAAATATTTCAAAATGCGAGTTTAAAATATTGCGTTTACAACTCTGTCGCATTTTTCGCAATAATAAAAACCTCGCAATAATTTCGGAATTTACAGTACTTACAGTTATGTTGAGTAAATTATACTGTAGCTGTATTTTCTGTAAACCAGTACACTTAATTTCCTGTGCATTCTGACAAATCACCTAAAAAGTATAAGTATCAAATAGTCAATCCATAAGTCTAAATTCATGAGATAAAAGTAAATTCATACTTAATCATTTTGGAAAATCATTAAATTAATACAATTCAATATAAAAAAATGAATATCATTTCAAAGTAAAGATTGTTTTTATCTTTGTTTTTGAAAAGGTAGGGAATCCCTCAAAAACTGTAGGGGAGAAATTGCTCCAATTTTCTGTGTAGGGAATCCCACTGGAAACTGTAGGGGAGAAATCAATCCAATTTTCTGTGTAGGGAATCCCACTGGAAACTGTAGGGGAGAAATCGATCCAATTTTCTGTGTAGGGAATCCCACTGGAAACTGTAGGGGAGAAATCGATCCAATTTTATGTGTAGGGAATCCCACTGGAAACTGTAGGGGAGAAATCGATCCAATTTTCTGTGTAGGGAATCCCACTGGAAACTGTAGGGGAGAAATCGCTCCAATTTTCTGTGTCTCGTATCATTATTTGACTACTTTGAATTTGGAAATTTGTTATTACCACTGGTGAACAATTGACAAAAAAATTAATGCAAGATAAGTCATTCCATTTAATGACATGGTGCATATACATGAAATGCTATCAAATTTAAAATGCAGTGGTTCGCAAGGCTTTGAGAAATCAACAGGACATTTGGTCCAGTAAACCATTCTTCTTAACTAGACCAGACTCTTTTCTACAGGACATTTACACATATGATTTGGACAAAATAAAAAATTTTACTGGTCATTTGGTCCAGTCATGCATATCACTTAACTGGACCAAACCAATTTTTACTGGACTTTGCCCAATGTTCAGCAACCATGGGAATGACGTTTTTATATGCTTCATAACATTACCTGCTGCGGATTCAGTAATTTTTATGGTCTCCAATTTTCGTGGATTGAAGAAAAATTGCTTTGAATAATAATGATTCAACAGTATCTCAACTTTTGTATGCATCCAAATTGGTTATGTAGACACATATGTGTACTTACCTGATAAAAGTATATGGTAGATTCTCTTGCAAAAGCCAAGACTGGATCAATGACTCGATCTTTCTCCGATACCTGGATCACAACAAACTGCCAGGCTAGTAATGGTAATGTTCCGGGACTGCCCTGCAATCAATTCAATGGTAGGAATTAAAGGATATGTCTGGTAAACTTCGAGAAACAGCAACCAAACAATACAAGAAAAAAGATTAAAAAAATGATTTAATGCTTTTTTTCTATTTATGCATTATGTCTCAGGAAGAGACGACTATAGATCACAATCTTGATGTTTCACCATATTTTCTCTTGCTTTTATTTTCAGTTTTTTCGATTCAGATTTGATGAGTATTAAGGTGCATACCAAACAAAAAAACAATGACATTTTGTATGGTCAGTTTTGATTATGTTCTCAATGTGGTCACCTGAACATGCATGAAGTATCTGTCACTGGATGTTATAAGCAACCAACAATCAATCAATCAGTGTGCTGATTTTGTCAGTTCAACAAGAGTTGTCTATCTTACTTTGACCCTAAGGATGATTTAATGCTGTGTTATGTAGTACTGTAAGGCAGTAAATTTTAGAAATAATTATATATTTCACTGAAATTTCAGAAATAAGATCTTAATTAAGTCTTTTAGTCTTTCTTTTTGTGAAAGAGTAATTTGGATCTTCGTTAATTGTGATCAAATGTTTTGAAAAAATTATAGAAAACTAGTTTCCCTATATTAGAACATTTTATGCATAAAATAAGTTGTACATATATATCAACTAATGACCAAAATTTTTTAAATCATTTGCTAAATACAAAATTGCTCTAATATATAATGCTACACTGGGGAACTGGATTTGACAAAATGATAAAATTAGATACTATAACATTGTTTAAATTCACACCTACTATTTATACTGGGTAAAACAAAAGATTTTATATGCATCCATCTTCATCAATTAGTTATATATACTCATGAACAGTATATCTTACCTTTAATGAGTGAGTGAAGATGACCTTCAGCTGAGGACGAATAATCACCAACAGGATCTAAAAAAAGGAAAGACAACTCTTTATTCATTAATTAACCAGGATCCGTAGACAATAGTTGAAAGTCCATTTGACAAGGATTATAGTGGTATTTAGCTTTTTTTATGTAAACTTTTAAAATTAAATTTCATGATTTATATCAATTTTAGGAAGTTTAAAGCAATGAGTACAGATTCTTCTATTTTACTCTTCCTTAGAAAAATGACTAAATACATGAACATACAAATGTTAAAATGTTTTGTTTTACTTTATAATAAACTGTTGACACAGAGATATATCTCGCCTATCGGCATAAAATTAAACAAACAACAATCTGATGGACATTTACATTGCTAATTAATTCAAAGTCACTGGACCATGAACTAGTGGGCAGGGCCTCGAAATGGTCAACAAACTGAGAAGTACAGACAGTTATGTAAATTTAAAGAAAATATTATTGTCTATTGTAAGTAGTTCCTATCAAATTAACTTCAACCATGATCACTCTTTAGTAGCCTTACTCGTCTATACTACCAATTTTACAAACCTTGGATAAAGAAGCCATGGCCACCAACTGTACATCTTGCATAGGATGATCTTTAATTGTAACATTCATATGAAGTGGTTCTATAACACAGACTTCACCCCGACTAAAAATACATAAAATGATATATATAGAGAGAAACAAAAGTATATTAAAGAAAAAATGTACTATTCTTAGAAAATATTTAGCTGTTTTTGCAGTTAACTTGTAAATCCATGACTATAAAAAATGTGTCAATTTTCCAATTTCCCTGTGGTGCATATAAATAAATAGAAAGTATTATTAAAGGAAATGTTAAACACATAAAAAAAGCGTTTTTCATAAGAATGTAAAAATTTATCCAATAACACCATTGTAAGACAGTTTTTCTATAAATTGACTTTAAATCTTACCTTCCAGAAAATAGACACTTAGATTCACATGTTCTGACACCAATAAGACGTCTGAAATAAATCCAAGTCAAAGGTCAGATAGGAATATAAAGAAATTCGTATTCATAACCAAACAATTTTTCTGAGAGATTTTTTTTATGTATATGATCATGATGTATACCAATAAAAAAATAACTAATATAAATCTTCCTGAATGTCAAAATTACATCTTTTTTTATATAAACACATCAAAAAATTGATGCCAGTAAGCTAGGAAAAGCTAAATTTGAAAACAAAAAAATTAAAGTTGGTTTACAGAAAATGTAAGATTTACATCTCTTAGCAAACTAAAAATCTTAATTTAGAAGAAAACAAGAATGTGTCCATAGTACACAGATGCCTCACTCGCACTATCATTTTCTATGTTCAATGGACTGTGAAATTGGGGTCAAACAGATGGACGAACGAACGAATGGATGCAGAGACCGAAAAACATAATGCCCATAAATGGGGCATAAAAAAAACATTTCGATAAAAATTTATTACGTTCAACAAATGAATTAAAGAATATATTTCACAACAAACATAAAATATATAGTGATATACATATCATGTTCTTTCAGTTATTCCTTTAAATTCAACATTTTTATAATAATAAAAATAACATTATACACAATAAAAATCGTACTTAAATTCCAGTTCAAACACTGATCCACCACTGTCACTACACGCAGCTATCACTAAACTATCTGTAAACTATCAATTAAAAATACAATCAAAGTAATAATTGAATTAATATGCAAGTGCAATACACTACAAAGTGATAAAAACTGCATCTGTGTGGACTTATAATTTGTGGGGCATTTGTTTTTTATTTTGTGTGGGAATTTGAGGATATAGAAGAAGAACAAATAATAACTATGGCAAAGGATTTTATGCAGAATTATAAGAAAAACAAAATTAAATTTAGAGATAACTGTATTGTAATTGAAGCTTTGCGGACGTCCATCGGTAGTTTTACAGTCCCAAATTTAGTTCACCTGGCGACGTGTAGCGGAGACAGGTAAACGGTTATTTGCGACAGTAAAACTACCGATGGACGTCCGCAAAGCTTCAAATACAATACAGTTATCTCTATTCTAATGCAAAATAAACAAATCATTCAATTTTAGTCATTATGTTAGTGTAAATTTTTATTAAACGAAAATCCAGCGAAATGATGTTATCGTCATTGGCGCCTAAACTAGGTGACGTCATAAGTATGCTTCCAGCATCAAAAGTAAACACCGGGCGTTTACTGACTTCTTGTCCCCTTCAGAATGTAATAAAATTTGATAAAAAAAAAAGATTTCTAGGTGCTTATTATTGGAGAAATTACATGTCAATACATTTCGGAATTCAAAATGTTGGCTTCCTTAGTTACAGACAGGGAGGTGCGAATTTTACGCTTAGTGTCATCCAATCAGAACCATTGATACAAAATAATTGCATTAGAATAAAAAATAACTCAACAAAATTACGGTTCGACCCCAATCAACAAAAATTGGTATTTATGAAATAAGTAATTCTAAATTATACTGTTTTAATCAATGAAATACACATAATATCTTGATTTCCAATTTAGTCTACTTTTAGGTCTGATGCAGACAATATCCTCCTGTAAGGAGGTACAAATGTATTCCCACCTTTATTTTTGCACCACACTTCCTTTTATTCAATACATTTTTGACCGTTTATTCATTCAATTCATTTATTAAAGAGTATAAAAAAAAAAATGGAGAATGTGTCCATGGGACACAATTGATGCCCCCGCTTGCATATAACGTTATACAGGGGCATAACCCGAGAACAATAAAAGTGATGCCACTCAAATTCAAACTTGATCTGTGTTTTGTGGTAATAAGCATTGTGTATAAGTTTCATAACATTTGGTTGAAACAATCTAAAGTTAGAGAACGGAAACCACTTTCGGGACATACGTACTGACATATGGACAGACATGGGTAACACTTAATGCCCCCTACGGTGACGGCAGGGGCATAAAATTTTTGGCTAAAACAGTTAGTAAATGATTTCTTTTATCTTTCTTAACCAGCCCTAATCACAGAAAAATTACAAAATCCTAATAAATGCTGTAATTAACCTATTCAACATAACAAATTGATTAAGTTGTACTTAAATAAATATTATCCAATTTGATGGCAATGTAGATTTTGTTTTGAATTGAGGACATAACCTGCAAAATTTTCAATACCGTATATATAGGACTTGAAGAACAAGCTATTTCAATGGCCTACAATAATTTTCACATACCTTTATATGAAGTACTGCAGTTCCAGGAGGATGAGCGTCTGCTATTGTTCTTAACAACTTGCCGGTAGTCAGATCCCACATTGTAATCTAAGTGGAAAAAGAAAACAAAATTCATTTTCTTTAATTTCATAAACATGTTGATAAACATGAGAAAAGTATAAAAGTTTGTAAAGGATTTATGCAGCCAGATGTTGAATTTTGTAATGTCTTATGTCTTAATCATGTTTTTTTTTTTTATTCGAGAACTTTATGATAATAGCAGATCTTTTAAGTTGTGTTAAGGGAGTTTTAACATATAGTACAAATGCATTTACATCTGTTTTATTGCTGATGAATAAAAGTAGATTGAGAGATGTCTTTTGTTTTTTTTGGTCATAGGGTGCTGCCTATTTTATAAATTACATTAATTTCAATAGAGAATGCATAATACATACAAATAATGGGAAAACAAATATAGATACTCAAGGTCTATGTTCTTGTTTTTAAGATTTTGAAATTTTAGGTTGAAAAAAAATGCAAAGGGAATTTTTCATAGGGAATGTATGGAAAGAAATGAATGTTAAACTATGTGTTAATTTACATTTTTTGATTGAGTTAAGCCTTCCAATTGATATTTTATAGTGTGTTTTTCTATGTTGTGATGCTATACTATTGTTTCAGAAAAGGGAGAAGGTTTGGTACCATTAAAACGTTTAATCCTGCTGCAAATGTTTGCACCTGTCCTAAGTCAGGAATCTGATTACAGTAGTTGTCGTCTGTTTATGTAGTTCATATGTGTTTCTCGTTTCTCGTTTTTATATAGATTAGACCGTTGGTTCTTCCGTTTGAATGGTTTTACACTAGTAATTTTTTGGGGCCCTTTATAGATTGCTGTTCGGTGTGAGCCAATGCTCCGTGTTGAAGGCCGTACCTTCACCTATAATGATTTACTTTTATAAATTGTAACTTGGATGGAGAGTTGTCTCATTGGCACTCATATCACATCTTCCTATATCTATATATTAAATATATGCTATACAAGAATTTCAAAGTAGTTTACCAGGAGTGTATATGTTTGTAAATAATAGTAAGATATGCCATTTGTTTTATGTAAAACCTATAGCTAGGAAAAAGCTTAAGGCAGAGGCATTACAAAATATAAAGACACAGTTGAAAATGTAAAAAGCAAATGTTCCTAATTAGCTAGAACAAATTTTCATAATAAAAAACCTATAAATTATTACCTGCCCTTTTGCAAACCCACACAAAAGCCTGGTACAATCTTTGTTAAAACCGAGAGCTGACACAGACCCATACTGAGTTCCCACAGCTGTACTACCTAGACACCACTTCAATACTTGTTTGGGGTCTGAAACACACAGTACATTTTTCATGTTCAAGTACAAAATGTATGATACCCTGTATATTTGTAGTTTTGTAAACTTGTGTGTTGTTGGATTGATGTCAGGGATGAGGACCATGACTGTCAAAAGTAATCAATTCATAATCAAATACTTGAAGAATTTTTTGTGTAATCGATTACACAGATTTTTAATGTAAATGATTACAATCAACTTGATGTGTCACTTAAATTTCTCCTTTTATTAATACATGTAATATTTGTATCTAATTTTAAACAATTAAGCTATTTATAAGACTTGCAAAATCTTTCAACATGTCCAAAGAGAAACCAAGTTTTAGAGATTTTTTTTTTATTATGACCCTCCTCTGTTTTCATTAAAATATGCTGGTTTAATAATTCACAAAGTGCTCAGGAAACACCAGAGTCAATTTGTTTTTCCAAATGATTTTCAACATGCATTTCCTATTCCAGTAATTTTATCACATACATACTTATGCCTGAAAACACAAAGATAAGTTAGCTCTGCAATCATTTACAGCAGAATGCATTGAGTGTGTAGGTAAAGGTAGAATGTTTGGTTAGCTTGCTTGTTAGCTGAACCCGTGGTCATTATTAGGTTAGGTTTACTACCCTTCTTTCGGAGTAGTCTAGTCCTACAGACAGATAGATTGGTTATCTGTCGGACTAGTCTACTCTTAAAGGAGGGTAGTTTACCTAACTTGATAATGACTTCACGATTTAGATAGCAAGCAAGCTAACCAAAGATATTACCTTTACCTACACACTCAATGCATTCTGCTGTAAGCACCTTAAATCAAATGTTAAGATAAATATATGCCTGATTATAGCCTGGGATCCTTGATTATCATTAACTGATGTAAATCAGTAATGTTTGGATTATAGTTACTATATTTTAACTGGAATTTGCATTTAAATGGATTTTTAAATCAGTTATAATAAATTCTAATAAATTCAGTGTAAATGATGATATCCCATGATGCATCGGTGAGACGTCCAATTAACAATATATGTTGTATTCCACCAGGTTCTACTGTCGAGCAGTGAGCCAGGATCCCAGACTAGACTGAATATTGAAAGATAACAGATGATTACACATTAGACAACATTCAAATCTTCATGAAATGAACAGCTATTTTTATTGTTATTCTGCATCTTGTTGGTTAGCATTGTTTCAATAAAGTTAAGTAGATAGATAGTTTATTCTCAAGACCATAATAATAATAATAAAATTCTTTATTTAACGAAGGTAACACATTTAACAATGACATGTTAATCTTCCATGAGGCCTTCAAAAACTATTAATACAAATAGAAAAGACATGCAGGAACAAAAGTTACAGAGAAGTTAAAACTATACATAAAAAAAAAACATGCAAAATAATGAGATGAGATAGCATATAAAAAATATACTTACACACAAATAAAGTAAATAAACAGTTTTAAAGAAATAGTTAAAGTGCATAAATATGCTAAAATTAGGGTTGTGTAGAAGGAGTTATTCTAATGTTAATACATTGTACAAAATTGTAAAGCTCACTGAATGTCTTTGTTTTTTTTTTAAATTAAACAGTGTGACTGTTTAACTTGACAACATTATGTCTCAGTACTAGTTCATTTGGTATCAACTTCTTCTTTTCATCTTCTTAAGTCAGGCAAATCAAAATATAGTGATATTCTTATGCTTTGAATTACTACTGAACAAGGTAGTTCCGTTAAATATGGCTCTTGTTGGTGTTGAGAAAATCTCTAGTAAACATTGTTGGTTGCTGGCAATTTAGAGTGATGAGAATTTTTGTAGATTGAAGAAAAATTGTCTTTTTCATGGATACTTGATTTCAAGGTTTTATTAAGATATACACACACCAGACTTGAGGAAGTTTACAGGTGTTATCCTATTGCTAGAAAGTTACAGGTTTGGTTTGCTTGCTTGCTTTGTTTGTATTAATGTTTGCTCAAGCATTTTAATTAAGATTGACATATGAAAACAATATAAAAAGGCGGAGTTAAACTTGTATATATTATATTTAAATTTGATTGGACATTATCAAATAATCAAATTTACCTATATACAGGTTTAACTCTGCCTACTTATATTGTTTGCAGATGTCAATCTTAATTACAATGCTTGAGCAAACTTTAATACAAACAAAGCAAGCAAGCCAACCAAACCTTTAACTTGCTAGCATTAGGATAACAGCTGTAAACTTCATTCAATACTTCAAATTATGGTTGACCTGTACTCTAAAAAACAATGAATAATAATCAATCCCCAGTATTATGGAACAAACATAAAATATTAGTAAAATAAAGATATAAAAATAATCAGAACTTATTTGTATTACTTTGAAAATAAACCTTTGTGTCATAATTTTTATAAATTGCTCTAGTCCATATAAAAAAAGCTTTAATATAAAAATTCAAAATCAAAAGCAGTGACTTACCAAAAACCAATACTAAACCATGTGATGTTCCTATGGCAATTAGTGAGGATACAACCTGTTAAAGAGAGTTTGAAATAATAAATTGTAAATTTTTGTTATTCTTTTATTATTGTGAAAGTTGCAAATGGATAGGTATTGCAATACTAAAAACTTTCATTTGAAATTTTGAAAGCATTAATTGTAAAAAATATTTCCTGAAATCACAGTAACGAACCTTGCATTTGTTTTCATTATTTAACAATCTCAACGATTAATGCACACACATGTTTTTAATTTACAATACATATAATTAAAAATAATTGATTTTATTTAATGCTTCCCACTCAAGCTATGCAAAAATATTTAAAAAGTAATCAACCAAGAAGAAATATGTTGGACAACAGTATATAAATTCATATAAATACATGTGAAAGTTTATTTGTAAATGTCTTTTATCAATATACATTTATAATGTGAAGTATATCATAGTTTCTGTATAACTTGTTAAATACTCACAATGGCTGTTGGCATACCAGCATCTACTCTATCCTGTAAAATCAAATCAAAGCCATATTTCTTCCTCCAATATGTCACATTAACATGATTAACTGTACCTACATTATTTTGTTAAATTTTTAGGCTATTGAAAAATTGAGTAATTAATTGTTTGTGTTTAATGCCACTTTTAGCAATCTTGAGCTATATCATGACAACCAGTTTTTATTTGATGAGGAAGCTGATGCACTCCGAGAGATACCTTTGACAGGAAATCTTAGTCAAATAAACTTATAATCCAACACACCTTGCCACGAGTGGACTTTGAACTCGAAACCTCAATGTGCAATTAAAAGTATTATATCTTTTTCAATAAACCTAATGATTTTATTTTGTTATGATTGTATTCAAAAATTTTGATTAAAAACAATGTAATTTTGCAATTAAAGTTCACTATAACTTATATTTATCAAGGCATGCAATCATAACACATCTTCTTAATCCGTTTGATGTTATTTTCAGGTGATCATATTTTCCATTGTACCTAATTATATAATCTAGGAGAGAGACTCTCTTTTCCTTTGAAAATTTGAAATTTCCTTCTTTGAACCTGTCACCTGGGAAGGAGATAATAATTTCCCTCATTGATAAATCACTCTATTTTCACCCCATTCACAATTTTAGTTGTTTTCATAATACTTTCTGTGTTTCCTTTTCACTGTACCTCAAAACAATGCTTAAATGCATAGGAAAAAGTCCTGCTACGAATAAAAAATGTTGTTTTGACTAGGTAATTAAATGTGTATAGATAATAAAATTTAAGCTTTTTGTGCTAACAATATTTAAATACTTGTTAAAAATTTTTGAAAACAATAAATGGAGAATGTGTTCATGAGACACAGATGATGCCCACCCCCCCCTTTTGCATATAACATTACAAAGGGACATAACTCTAGAACAGTAAAAGTGACGCCACTAAAATTCAAACTTGATCAGAGTTTTGTGATAATAAGCATTGTGTATAAGTTTCATAACATTTGGGTGACACAAACTAAAGTTAGAGAACAGCAATCAATTTCGGGATGTACAGACAGAAGTACAGACAGACAAAATAACACTTAATGCCCCCTGTGCTGTGGCGGGGGCATAATAAAAAGGTTGTTCAGCATAGTTTCCCCCTTAGTACAACTTCCACTGAAAAGGTTGGCAGGTATGAGTGATGGGAATTGTCTGTATAAAACTTACAGCTGCCGATAACAGTTGAGCTGAAATACTCTTCAGTTTACTGGGCTTCAGTACAAAAGGTTGGTAGGTATGAGTGATGGGAAATATCTCTGTATAAAACTTACAGCTGCTAATAACAGTTGAGCTGAAATATTCTTAAGTTTTCTGGGCTTCAGTACAAAAAGTTGGTAGATAATAGTGATAGGAATTGTCTGTGTATAAAACTTACAGCTGCCGATAACAGTTGAGCTGAAATACTCTTCAGTTTACTGGGCTTCAGTACAGAACCATGGATCTTATAATGTATACTCTTTCTCAACCTGAAAATAGTAATTCATTAAAATGACAAAAGCTATTACCCTTTAAATGACACATTTTTGTAAATGAAAGCTAAATCTATTGATACATCAAATTTCATTATTACTAAATAAATGAACTAGGTATGTCGATTTTGTCTTCTTTCAACTCAGCGTATTCTTAATTGACGTTTATTCGCATCTCAACTCGGTAAACAGAGGCTACATATGTACAAATTTTGCAATTTACATCGGTCTGTCATTATATATCTGATCGTCCAAAAAGGGGTTCAAATTTTTGACATGTTCAAGGTACCTTTTAACAGATAAATGAACATTGAGTGTAAATTCTGATCTATAATAATCTACATTTAGGGCTCCATTATTCTACTGTCCTAATTTACTCGTAGGAAGACAATTTCTGCGATAAAAAAAAGTTTTTTTCTTTGTGAATAAAAAGTGTGTATATATGTAATTATGTACAGTGATTTTGGTTGTGCTCATCATTTTCGCCATTTACGAAACAATTTTAGAAATGACAAAAGTATTTCTGATCAATTTCGTCACTTAAATTTGTAACAGAAAAAAAATAAATTGTGCAAAATTTTACCTGGTGACAAGTTTATGACTTAAGCTAATCAACGGATACAACAGGTGTCATCATTTGTTGTTACAGGTAATTCGCTTATCCTAATGGGTCATTAATGATATAAAAATTAATCCATACAACAGATGTACAACTAGAATCTGTCAGTAGGCATTTCGTCATTTCATATGAATTGTTCATACCACACATTTACCAAAGTTTCATGATGAAAACTTACTGTAAATTCAGAAATTATTGCCTGCATTTATTATTGCGATTTTGTCATTTAAGACTAAAATGCGAATTTAATTTTTGCAATATTGAGAAAAATCCTGTTTAATTCATTTAAAAAAATTTCAAAATGCGAGTTTAAATTATTGCGATTATAACCCTGTCGCATTTTTCGCAATAATAAAAACATCGCAATAATTTCTGAATTTACAGTAATTGACAGAAAGACAAAAAAGTAATGAACTTATTTGAACACATCGTTTTGCTTTAATTCTGTTAAAAACGTAAAATTCAGACATATTTTGTCTTTGCCTGCCTTGACTTTTGATACAAAACCAAAAAACAAAAACCAGCAGCAATTTATTGAATGTGCTTCTACTGTGTATAATCTTCCGAAGAGTAGGAGGACACACGAATACAAGAAAGATAACTCAATTATAATTTTTGGTAGTATTGAAATACCTTCTCATGATCTGAGTACATACTTCTGACTTTAGGACTTATAGGTTTAGGAGGTCTTTTAAGTTATGGTGCAAACTAGGGGTTTGGGGAGGTGGGCTTGGGTCATCATTTTCTGTATTCTTTATTTTTTATACCAATTTTCTCTTTTCTGTATATTTATAAGCACCCATTATTCTCTCTTCTTCCATTTTTTCACATTTCTCTATTCTTTAGTTTTAATATTGAAAGATCCTAAAACTTTTTCTCTATTCTATAACTTTGCAGACCATAAGCAAATTCTAAGGACAGGAACATTGACCAATAGATTCATTATATTAGTCACATTAGTACATGTTTTCAGAAAAATTATTACAAATCAAAACAATAACATACAATGTGTATCTTTTGAATAAATACAAACCAAAACAATAACATACAATGTGTATCTTTTGAATAAATACAAACCAAAACAATAACATACAATGTGTATCTTTTGAATAAATACAAATCAAAACAATAACATACAATGTGTATCTTTTGAATAAATACAAACCAAAACAATAACATACAATGTGTATCTTTTGAATAAATACAAATCAAAACAATAACATACAATGTGTATCTTTTGAATAAATACAAACCAAAACAATAACATACAATGTGTATCTTTTGAATAAATACAAACCAAAACAATAACATACAATGTGTATCTTTTGAATAAATACAGCGGTCTTATTCTAATCTTAATTAACTGTTATATTTTTATTTGTACATGTAAACTAATGAAATACTGAAAAAGAAAATATGCACCGCCTCCCCATGTCTTGACTTGATAAAGAAGACATAACCTGACTTACTTTTCCTGTTTTCTTGGTCTATCTGATAACAAACTATCTTGACTTGATAAAGAAGACATAACCTGACTTACTTTTCCGGTTTTCTTGGTCTATCTGATAACAAACTATCTTGACTTGATAAAGAAGACATAACCTGACTTACTTTTTCCTTTTTCTTGGTCTATCTGATAACAAACTGTCTTGACTTGATAAAGAAGACATAACCTGACTTACTTATCCCGTTTTCTGGGTCTATCTGATAACAAACTGTCTTGACTTGATAAAGAAGATGTATCCCCAGCATCTTTAAACAGCTGAACAGAGGAGGGGACAGAAACATCATCTTCTTCTAATAGCGATTCATCCTCTTCTTGCTGAAATACATAGAATCAAAAATAACAAGAATCCATGTGTTGTCATGCTTAGCATATACCAACAATCATTATTCAAAGTAAAGTGAAAACAGAAGGTGTCCATGGTGTCTGACAGATCCAAAAGGTGCACATACATTACAACACATCACTTTTCAGCTGATGTCTAAATTTGAAGTCCTTCTGTTCTGTAGTTTCTCAGAAAAGTGTGGCAAAAATTTAAAAGTTCATTCGATATATTGAATTAAAGTGCTTATGAGCATTAAAGGGTGAAGATTGATTTTATTTTGCAATTTTGTGAATTTAAAATACAACATTGAATTGTATATAGCTAGACAAATTATAAATTTGAGTTGGAGTTATCTTTCATTGTTCATGATTGTACATTTTAAACTTATTTGTATACCAGATATATTTTTTTTATTTTCAAGGTTTGAATAATCTCCCCTTAATCTTTTGGGAGGTCAAAACATGCCTTACCAATATTTTTCTGGTTTGCTTATTATTTTTCAAATAGAGTTCAACCTTTATCTCAAGAACTAAACAAATAAGTCTATTGCGCACAGATGTTAAGTAACTGCCCAAGGCCTCCAAAAATTGCTCCCTGGAGGCTAGTAAATGATCAGTATTTTGATGATAGCAGACAAACAAGATTTTCATTGTCCACGATATTATACTTTAATGTATAGTTAATACAACTATTAATGACAGACAATTATACACTCCAGTAGAGCAATGTAGTCAAGAGAAATTCAAGTGAAATTCAAGAAAACAAAAAAATAAAGACTTTTTTACTTATATAAGTAAAAGATTCTGAATGTCTAAGGGATATAACTCTTCCTTCACCTGTTGTTTTTTTTCATTCACTGATCGCTCCTACACTTGTGGCAATGTATCTTCAAAATATAGGAATCAATTATAAAAAGAGAAAATGTGGCTAATTATATATAATCTGGAGGCTAATTAAATATGAATTAAAGGATGTGTATGTCAATAAGACAGAATCTGATTTCTCAAACTACAGTGTAGCCTTATTTAAATAAAAACCACCTTCTTTGCCTATCTAGATTGATTGGTTGAAGGTTGCTTAATGTCCAGTGGCAATTATTTCATGCATGTTCAGGACCATTACATTTGTACCTATATAGACAATACATTGCAATATGTCATACAAGTATAACACTCGTAATAAAGATATACAAATACCTCATTTAATATGCTTTCTAATGTTGGATTTTCAACTTGAGGTAGATCTGCTTGAAACTCAGAATCATCAAACTGAAAAAAAGAAAACCAACTATTCAAGGAGATGTCAAAAAAATAAACCAAACATTCTCAATGTATGAATAGTTGCAATACTAAATTTATGGACTACAGTGCTGTACACATGAAAAATAACTGAAATGTCAAAATTTCCTTAAATATCTCTTTGTGAAAAGCAAAATTATCGGTGACAAAATTGGACAAAAATGCCTTTTCAACTGATTCCTCTCATTAGGAGAGCACAGAGACAACAATATACACGATATAGTTATAATGTTACAGCTTTACATTTTATTAAATAAGAGTTATCATTAGAACATTTTAATTTATTCTATCATTTGTCTATGGAAAAGATATTTTTTTCGCTAATTTGTTTTTAAGTTATTATGGTTTTACTCTGAATCAGAAATAAGCATTGCATTCATTTGTGTTTGCATCACTTGATAATTTGATTAGGTTACTCGAACATCTATTACTGAGCGGTACAAGTACATGTAATAAGACTTTAGGTAAAATAAAAAATTATTATTCAATGAGATTAAAAAATTATAATGATAAATAACACGAAAAATGATTTCTGATTTTGGCATACAAATAAATCAAAATCAGCCTCTTGAAAGTTTATTTTTTCTGTATTAAGAATTTAAATTAAAAGATGCCACATGTCCACACAAGGTTTACTTTTAAGTCAATTATCACATTTAATTGTTTAACTAACTCCAAACTCTCTCTTTATACTTTGATGAGTTGACAATTTGACTTAAAAGATGGTCTAACATGCATGTCCATGCTGACTTTATTGACGACCTGAGTTGTCTTATTAGTCTGTCCAAGTTGTCTCCAGGGCGTACTTGTCCAATATTCAATTGTAACAAAGTGCTGCTCAGCATCTCTGGACCATCTTATATAGATATATTAGTCTGTCAGTTTCTGTTTTACAATCTTGCATGCTCACACTCTACTGACTTCATTAAGCAGGGGTTTACCCCTTACACAAAAACTGCTCCAACAGAATTATAAAGAAGAACGACTGAATAGACACTATGTAAGTTACAACTGTATGTGTTCAACCCTGCCACATCTTTGTGCCTGTCCTAAGTCAGGAGCCTCTGGCCTTTGTTATTCTTGTATGATTTTTAATTTTAGTTCATTTATATATATATGTTTTGGAGTTTAGTATGATGTCCATTATCAATGAACTTGTACACATTTGTCCTCAGGGTGCAGGATTTTCTCTCTGTGTTGAGGACCCATTGGTGGCCTTCGGCTGTATTCTGCTCAACATCTGTGTTGATAGAATGACAAGGTCATGTCAGGTGATGACCTTGTACTAAATCTAGGACAATGACATAAAAATCACTTGTTTAAGTATCATACCTCAATTTCCTTCCACAAATCACTTCTTTAAGTATCACTATTTTAAAAAAAACCCACGAATTTCAACACCCCCGAACAGTGAAATTTTGATCGCGAACAGTAGAATTTTATTACATAATCTATAAGATGAAACTTTGAATTTTACAGGAAAAATACTCCCACTGCTGGGAAAAATCTGTTAAGAAAGTATCAGTTCATTATTTAAAGCCATTTTTATAGCATTTTTTCAACTAAAATAGAATTTGCAGCTAAAGGATTGCATCAAAGGCATAAGCTTAAAAGAATCAAAAAGTTCATTTTTTTTTCAAATTTACTAATGAAAAGATATTATCTAAACCTATGTGTTTAAAAGTTTGGTAAAACTACAAAATCACAATTTGTGACAAAACTTCGAATTTGCTACTTAAATAAGTGATTTAAAAATCACTTATTTCAATAAGTCCCCTGACTGTTTAGTCATAATTTAGCTGGATCTTATGTCATGTATGTATTTTCGCCATTCTGGAATTTTATTTTCATTGACATTTTGCCGGGAAACCACCACTTGTAGCCATTATTTACCTGGACTACCAAATTTTACGAACATTTACATATTACATTTTGGAACCAAATATTTTATTCACTGGATATATATTTTTACTCGAAGTTTTACACTGTGCCAACCACAATTTTACATTCAATCGGATTTGACTCTGTCTTGCTCCTTTAGGAGTTCATGCACTTCCCTCAGTTTTTGTTACTTCCTATGAAATTTTTGATTTACAAAATTTCATCATCGGAAAAATGGTAAACAGGTAAACTACTGTTACTTTAATTCACAGCATAGATCCAACACTAAACTGCTGCATGTTTAATTGGTTGTTGTAGTGGCATTTGTAAAGTTTTTCGGGGACTCGTGTATGCAGAGTATAATACTGTATTTCGAATCAAAACAATAGATCTAGGAAGGCATTCGTAATTTTCAAGTGGAGGAATTTCACTGAAATGTAAACATGCCTTCTAGGAGCTATTAATAACGACTTCACACTCTTTTAAATATAACATATGCTACGTATTACCTCAATATCAAAACTTATTGGTGCAGAAGGACTAGATTTTTCTGAGCCTTCAGATTCCATAATTTTGGGAGGTGAATCTGAAAGCCGGAAGTACTTAGAAAGCGAAAAAATTGAAACTTTCCCGGACAAACTTCCGCATATAATGAATCATTGCCATTGTATTTGAAGTGTTCTACGAAAAAAAGACAACTGAAATATCAACGCCTTTAAATAATTGTCATATGTTCATACTTTTTACAAGTATACGTCAACATGGTCTTCAAGAGATCATGGTAATGATATCTGATTAGGAAAAAAAAATGTTGCATTTTGTTTCTCTCCCCTTTCTCGATTATCTCTTCCGTATGTTTTTCCTGGGAATAGTGTATATATGTCAATTGATATATTTGGTCCCAGGTTTTCCCTATAATTTCGATGCAAAATGTAGTGTTAAGGTAATTTCAATATCAAAAGCTTATTTGAACTGGTCCCCTTTTGTGCTTGAAGATTATGTGATGGGGATGTGTTCAAGGAACAATGAGTTATCATGGTTATCCACAGCACCTATTTATTTAAAAATTGAATGCTTCTTTTTGTAAATTTATTGGGGTTTAAAAGCATTGACCAAAGTACATTTTGTATGAAGCGTGGAAGCACTTCATTCTAAAAATGTGCCCACGGTCAACGCTTTTACAACCCTATAAAATTACTAAAAGAAGCATTCAATACTTATAATTACATTTTTTTGCTAGGATCATGAAAACACGATTTCTATAAAGTTTTTATTTGATTTACCTGTGCACTTAATTGTGGAAGCTCGTCACTGTGATTGTAAATGTTACATTTCAATTTGAAATGAGGAAGGTTGATTTCAGAATGACGCGAGATTGCTGTTAGCCAATCAAAATAACGTATAATAATGAAACATGCATGTAATGTAATTATATATATATATAAAGAGCAAATTCTGCTCTGCCAAAAAATTACAGTCACAATTCTCTTCTGCCACAAAATTATAGCCACAGTCTTTGAGCTGATTATCATGATTATTCTGCAATGACTTTGGTGCACATACAGAACCCACTCCTCCCCCAAAATGCAACTGACATGGTGCTTTTACAACCTTCTTTCACTTTAGGGGATTTTACACCAGTCAGCATGGTCAGGGATACTACTTGTACAAGTAAATTTTTTATTTACTTGAAGAAGCAATATTAATATACTTATATAAGTAAATGTGTAGGATACTTATTACTTATACAAGTGTATTTTATTTACTTGTATAGGTAAAAAAAAATTGGCTTAGTTATGTCCCTTAGACCATGTAGACATTCAGATATTTTTACTTATATAAGTGAAAAAGTCATCATCTTCTTTTCTAGAATTCTTAGGACTTCTTTACTCTAATATAATTTTAAATTATCTGTCCTTTGCAGATGTCTTAACTAGTCATTTAAGTGTAATTTCATGGACAATGAAAATCTCATTTGTCTGTTATCTTCAGAACACTGCTCATTTACAAGCCCCCAAGGAGCAAATTTTGAAGGCCTTGCGCAAATACTTAAGATCTTTGGGCAATCAGTTTCTTTGTTGTATTAATGAGATGAAACATTGAACTTTAATCAAAAGTTTTGAGCTAACCTGGGAAAAATCATTAAAGGCATGTTTTTACATCTCAAAACTTGAGAATTTTTGTGGGATTGTAAAAAAAATTTACTTATACAAGTGAATTTTTGAGAAAATTAAGGGGAAATTATTCAAACATTATAATTAACTTATATAAGTATAGTTTTTTTTACTTCAAGTAAATAAAGGTTACTTTTACAAGCAGTACCCCTGACTGTACCCATTTGTTATATTTATCTTTTTAATACTGGTTAATGAAATCATAATACAGTGTGTACTGGCTGGTCATTATCGCGCATGATACGATTTTGACACACCTACATACCTATTGAATATTCATGAATTGATAGATAAGGACAGCACGTGTAGCCAAAAACTGGGAGTGGAGTTGTACATTAGGAGTGTAAATGTATATGTATGTCGATACATTTATTTTTGGCATTGCACTAGTCATGTCTTCTTTGACTGTCCATGACGTTAAAATACTAAATCACTTGGATGTGGTTTAGTTGATTTTAGTCTCTGATGCATGATTTTTTATTATTAATTGTTTTGGCTTTTAACTAGCTGTCAGTAACTGCGAGTACTCTCAAATCGTACTTTCTTGTTTATTTGACCTGTTGATACTAATTGTATTGCTTTTTTGTTATTTAATGTTATTCAGGGTTATATCTGGTCTATATACCAGCTTTTATAAGTGTTTGGTATAACTATAAATTTTCACTTCGTACTATGAACATCAAAATTATTTATTTTGTAATAATATTTCCTTTCTCTATTGGTACTGTACACGTATACCTGACAACAAAATTATTTTCATTTACCTGTGTTTAAAGTTATTGCAAATGGATGGTATTTTTGTTCGAGCATATTGTTTTTCTTAAATTGTTTTACATTTCTTACCGATATAACATGTTACTTTTATTATTCTTCCCTTAGTTTATTTATTTTGTATTCAAAATTATTTATTTTGTAAAAATATTTCCTTTCTCTATTGGTACTGTACAGGTATACCTAACAACAAAATTATTTTCATTTACCTGTGTTTAAAGTTATTGCAAATGGATGGTATTTTTGTTCGAGCATATTGTTTTTCTTTAATTGTTTAACATTTCTTACCGATATAACATGTTACTTTTATTATTATTCCCCTAGTTTATTTATTTTGTATTTACATTGTGTCATAGGTCAAATTTATTTGTTCAGTGTATGTTCAATGGTGTTAATATGTCCTTTGATTGAGTTAAGCTATTTCAGTTGATATTTTATAGTGTGTCTTTCTATGTTGTGATGTTACACTATTGTTTCAGAAAAAGGGTGAAGGTTTGGTACCATTAAAATGTTTAAACCTGCTGCATTTGTTTGCACCTGTCCTAAGTCAGGAATCTGATGTTCAGTAGTTGTCGTTTGTTGATGTGGTTCATAAGTGTTTCTCGTTTCTCGTTTTTTATATAGATTAGACCGTTGGTTTATCCGTTTGAATGGTTTTACACTAGTAATTTTTTGGGGCCCTTTATAGCTTACTGTTCGGTGTGAGCCAAGGCTCCGTGTTGAAGACCGTACTGTGACCTATAATGGTTTACTTTTATAAATTTTTACTTGGATGGAGAGTTGTCTCATTGGCACTCATACCACATCTTCTTATATCTATATGTAGTTTATAGAATAGAAAATTAGATCAGAAACATAGTTATTAATTATTATAAAGCCAAGCGAGTGAAAACACAGATCTATCACATTGTAAATTTTTAAGATGAGGGGACTCATAAAAAATGTGTCTTTTTTGGTAGTATTAATGCTATATACAGATATATAGGTTGTGGGTCTCCTAAAGTAAAAGAAGGCATTATAGCACTACTACACTTTAGGGGACTCTTGTATATCATACAGCTTTATACTTAACTGTTTCTTCAGATAGGTATACATGTATATATAATTTCATGCTTGCATCATATCTCTGAAGATTGATCAATCAGATAATTAGATTGTGTTTATCTATTTAAATATTGGAGTTGAAGCGGGTACAAATCCTCTGGTCTTACCATATATATAATTATACAAATTTAAAAATCTATTTATTTTTTGTTGAATCACTGAAATTTAATTTGAGGTCAAATTTGCAAATCTCCTTATCATATTAGACATGGGTTTAAAATATCTTTGTCATGTTTGTGACATCTTTTACCATTTTATTGGAGTTAAAAATTGTGAATTCTCAAATAGTTTGAGTTGAAACCCTGAGAATCTCACCTCCTAAATGTCCTAGAAATTTAAAGTGCCAGGATGTTCCAAAATATGTATAGGTTGTTGGTCCATTTGCCCAAAATCATGTTTCCATTCACGTTTGCCCCGTTTCACTTTCACACCCCATACATGCACTCCCTGGGTCCTTTTGCACCATACACCTTCGCACCCTTTTTATTGGTTTTGTGTTGAATAATTTTTTTATCGTGTTTTAGTTAGTGTATTGCTATAGATAATTTTTTTTTTTATTTTTGAATTTATTTTCTCAAAATAAAGTGACATTCTAAAAACGTAAACAGATTCCTTTTACACGTTTTAGTGTTTTTAATTTGACGAAATGGAAAAAGAATAAAAAATTTCATGATGATCATGGCAAAGTACATTAATCTACGACTTGTAAATGAAAGGTGGAAGATACCAAACAGCTACATGTATCAAACATTTTTCATAACTACATGCATGGCATACTTCTGTTATCTGTAGATATACAATTTTTTTTTTTCTAAAATTCAATATCTTAAAACACATGGTTATAAGGGCTCTGTATTGTTCACTTTTAGAAGAAAAACACACTTTCTCACAACATGCACAACTAGAAAAAAAGAGTGAAAAAGCACACTATTTGTACATGTAAGTAAGTAGGTAAATAAATACTTTATTTGTTCAAAGAGGGTAGCACAGTTAGTATAAAGAAATCTAATTTTCCCTCAGACTCCCAAAAAATAATTCAAAAATAAATAATGACTGAGGTTGTGGGTTCAAACACTGCTTGTGGCATGTGCATTCGACTCCTATAGTAATTGACTAGGATTGCGGTTTTTCCTGTCGAAGGTTTGTGTTTCTCTCTGCACTACTGCTTCCTCAACCAATAAAAATTGCCATCACGATATACCCAAAAGTGCTGAAAGTGGTGTTAAACACCAAGTAATTCATCAATCTTTTTTTCTTAATTCATTTTTTTTCTGTTTCAGGTAGCTGATAATTGGTTTTTGCAAGATTAATCGCCTATTTTATGATCATGGATGCCGATTCAGATCTAGAGGAATACAGTACGAATGACATGTACATTTTACCAGGTGATGAACTGAAATTAGAAAACCAGTCTGAAGAAGATTCAATGGAAAGCTCTTTTTGTGTGAACACAGTTTGTGACGAAATCTTTGCTTGTTATGTGTGTTCGCAAATTTTACCTTGGGCCCGAGTTTCATCAAGAAATATGAGACCCTTTCTTAAAGGACAGACTTACATATGCAATTATTGCGACAAGAAAAGTTCTGAAAGTAGTCATAAACCTAAAAGTCTTTTGGATGACCGTGATAATGAATCTCTCAAAGCAGCTATAATTGAATCTATAAACAATCAAGGAATTAGTTTTGACACTGTCTACCAGTCTGGGATTATACATCCACCGTGTGGTACCAGTATATTAACATCACATCCTGGGGATGTCACACATCAAAATTTAGAAGATTTTCGTCCCTCTATTTCTACAAAGGGAAGCAACCTATTTCATGTTCATTCTGAAGAAAGAGTTAGTGAATTGTCTACTTTAAAACTTGGTCAAATTAGTAATCAGTTTGTTGAAAGAAAATTTGAAAATGAATTGAGAGAAAATTATACAAAATTACAAGCAGATGCTCAAGTAATAAATTTTAAAGGACATGCTGAAAAAGATTTAGTAAAAAAGTATAAAAATTTAACAGAAGAGATGCAAAAGCAAGGGGAAAGACGTTATGAATGCTCTTTATGTGAGAAAAAATTTAAACGTAGTGCTCATCTTCAGCGTCATTTAAGAACACATACTGCAGAGGGGCCGATTTTTAAATGTGATGAATGTGATAAATGCTATAGAGATTCATATAATTTAGTGCGGCACAAAAAATGGCACCAGAAAGATGTGATTCCATTTGATCCAAAACCATTCACTTGCGGCATCTGCGAGAAGAAATTCCGTGATAATTATGATTTGCAACGTCACATTAGAATCCACACGGGTGAAACACCATTTAAATGCTACATGTGTGATCAAGGATTTATCGATAACAGGAGCTTACAAAAGCATGTTAAACAACATAAAGGGGAAAAACTGTGTATTTGTCCAATTTGTAAAAAGGGTTTTATTGATAATAGGGCTTTGAATAGGCACATTAGAACATATAATGGAGAACTTCATTATAAGTGTGATATTTGTGATAAGACATTCAGTAAAAAAGCAGATGTTTTATTTCATATGAAAACACACTCTGATAAACTTCAATTTAAGTGTGAATTTTGTAAAGAAAGTTTTAGATCTCTGAGTAATTATGAAATGCATCGGAAGATTCACATTGATCAGATAACCTCCATTGTGGGTTCAACATCAGGTTTAGGGAATGGGGAGGATGGGATGCCAGAAGCACTTGTATATGGGGAGGATGGGATGCCGAAAGCACTGGTAAATAGGGAGGATGGGATGCCGGAACCACTGGTAAATGGGGATGATGGGATGCCAGAAGCACTGGTAAATGGGGTGGATGGGATTTCGGAAGCACTGGTAAATGGGGAGGAGTGTGGGATAAAGGGGGAGTAAATGGAAAGGAATACAATATATAGGTACAGTATTCAACAATCGATTGAATAGACTTTTTACAGAAATTACAATCTTTAGTCAATTGAACACTGTCATGACTGTTGTAGGGTAAATCAAATGTTGTACACATAGGACACTCGTACATGTATGTATGTCATTGTATGTACATAAATCAAATGTTGTACACATAGGACACTCGTACATGTATGTATGTCATTGTATGTACATAAATCAAATATTGTACACATAGGACACTCGTACATGTATGTATGTCATTGTATGTACATAAATCAAATATTGTACACATAGGAGACTCGTACATGTATGTATGTCATTGTATGTACATAAATCAAATGTTGTACACATAGGATTTTGACACTCGTACATGTATGTATGTCATTGTATGTACTTAAGTCACTTACTATGACTTAATTGATTAAATTGCTACCATTTAAGAGTTGATCAATTCAATCAACCGTCTCATCTGGTTTTCAAGGGTCACTATCATAATAATTGTATTCATTTGCAAGTGTCCTGATCATATCAATGGTACTCAATTGTTACGATTGTTTAAGGGTAGATCAATTCTATAAACTATTACATCTGTTTTGCAAGTGTCACGATTATATCAATGGTATTCAATTGTTACAATCATTTAGGGGTTGATCGATTCAATAAACTATCGCATATGATTTTCAAGGGTTACCATCATAATAATTGTATTCAGTCATAACGATCGTTTAACAGAGTTGATCAATTCAATAAACTATCTCATTTGTTTTGTAAGTGTCACGACCTTATCAATGGTATTCAATTGGTACGATCACTTAACAGTTGAGCAATTCAATCAATTGTTACATCAATCATATTCAATCGTGACACTCGTTTAAGAGTTGATCGATTCAATCAACTGATTCTTCTGGTTGTCAAGGGTTACAATTGATTAAATTATATTCAATTGTTACAATCATTAAAGAGTTAATCAATTCAATCAACTGTCTCAATCTGTTTTGAAGGCTCACAATCATAATGATCATTTAAGAGTTGATCAATTAAACCAAATGTCTCATCTAGTGTATTCAAGGGTCACGATTGTATCAATCATATTCATTCATAAGATCATTTAAGAGTTGATCAATTGTTACAGTTGTGTAATAATTGATTAATTCAACCAACTGTCTTATTTGGTTTTCAAGTGTAACAATCATATCAATCTTATTCAACAGTGACAGTGTTAAAGAGTTGATCAATTCAATCAATTAATTGGGTTGATTGAGATAATATACTGTAATCAATCTTGATCAATTGTATCTGTTGCAGGCATGGGGTAATGCTAATTTGTAATTGTAATGCCCTGTAATGCATTACATTTCCCCAAGTAATGCATGTAATGTGTAAAGCCCAAATTTTACGCATTACATGTAATTGTAATGTAATGCATTACATTGGCAAAAATGCATGTAATTTACACACAAATGATTTATGCATTACATAGCATTATATAGCATTACTTCTTGTCTGATAGTGCTATTAATTGCTACAAATTTCAGGGATAATGAGCATTATGTGAGTATTGTATGGCAATAAATAGTCCCCTACCGGTTACAAATTCATTGTAATGGAACGAAATTCTATCTTGATCTATAACTTGTCATGGTGTAAAAAATCAAGTAAATCTTCAAGCATGATGAAAAAAAATGAGTTATTTCCCTTTGAACAGAAATCTACTAATTAATAAGTATTTCATCAAATATTTAATTCTAGGGAAAGGGCTTTAACTGAACAAAGAGAAAAGCTAAAATTGTGAAAATTGAACTTGACCTGTAACTTGTCATGATAAATCAATAACCAAATTTCAAATCAATATCTTCAAGCATGAAGAAAAAAAGTCTGGAAAACTGATTTGCCGGACTGACAGATGGACAGACAGACAGACAGATGGATGGAGTGCAAACCTAAAGTCCTCTTCGACTTCGTCGGTAGGGGACTAATAAGTACTACTGTTGTATTCTTTCTTTTAAGAAAATAGGAAAATTAAACACAAATCAATATCTAGTTAAAGGATTAACATTGATTAACAAAAAGTGTAAATTTGAACTGTTGTAAAACTTATGATTTTCTTCATCTTACCTTAATACTAAAACATTTATACATGTACTGATAATTAAAACAGATCTATTTTAAAACATACAAAAGTAAAATTGTTTTTTATTTGTAGTCAATTTTCATATACCATCATAGTCATTGAAAAACCAATACATGATATTTAAACATGAAAGAAATAAGTTGAATGATTAATAATTGACACCTGACAAAAACCACTAATTAGTTTGTATAGCAATCAATTCCTTTCTTTTGACAAGTGAATTTGTGATTTAAAAGTAATTAATTAACATTGAGATTAAGTTAACAATATATAAATAAAAAAAACTTAATGGTAGAATAAATTCCTTAAAATATTTCAGTTATTTCTTTTGTGAGAAAACACAGAGATGTTTACTTTGAAATATAAAAGCCTGACCCAGAAGAACTATCAACCTTGGCAAACTTTGTAAATTCATCTGGTATTCAGAAATATCAATTAAATGACCCAAAGCAAAACAAAGCTATAGATTCACTTGTCGAATATATTGCTAGAAGTGATTTACTCCCATTTTCAACAGTTGAAAGCAAAAGTTTAAGAAATTTATAGAAAATCTTAACCCAAACTTTCAAATTCCACGCCGGAAACATCTCTCATCTAAATTGATACAGACTGAGGCCAAGGATGTATGTAAAAAATTGTATTATAACCTTCAGGAAGCTAATCACATTTGTTTGACTGCTGTCATTTGGTCTATAGGGCAATGAAAGGAGTTTTATAATATCTATTTAATAGTTACCAAGATTGCAGTATAGAATGTTTTATGTATGTTTCTTCTGATAATAAAACTTATAAAATGTAATGTGTAATATAATGCATTACTTTGGTAAAGTAATTGTAATTTAATGCATTACTTTCCAAAATACATGTAATTGTAATTGTAATATAATGCTGGTTTTGTTTAGGTAATTGTAATGTAATGCATTACATTGCAATGTAATTTGCCTCATGCCTGATATGTTGTAACAATCTAGTGTTTGCAATTTTACTATTGAGTTGATATTTGGTAATCAATCATGGTCAATCTATATCATGGATATGTATCTATCGTAATGATTCAGGATTTGCACTTTTTACTGAGTTGATTGAGTAGATATTAATTAATCAATCAGGTTCATCCTTAACCATCCAGGGTTTGTAAATTTTAATTAGTTGATTTAGTTGATATTTGTTAATCTATGAGGATCAATAATAACCAATCGAGGGTTTGGAATTTTTAATGAGTTGATTGTCTTGGCAGCTGGTTATCATGGTAATGATTTGTAATCAATCATGTCAATCATTATATGTCTAATAAGGTTTTATTGAGTTCAAATTTGTTTTTCAATTAATGTCAATGTAATCAATGCATGGTTAAATTTGAATATTTACAATTTTAAATAGAGTCACAATTTATGTTCAATCATCGATCATTATCAATCAATTCTATTGTTGTGATTAATTATTTTTAAAGTCATCTGTTATCATGGTTATAATAACTTATTGTATATATTGATTGTTGAATACTGTACCTTAACGAGTGAACCCAGCAGCATGAAACATTTCAATTAACATCATAAGTGAACATGATGAAATGAAAATTTATAATAATATTAGATAAATTAACATATTAAATTATTTATATTAAATTATTACTTTTTTATCATTTATATTTAATAATTCAAATTGCAGGAACACTAGTGTATTCTGCATCATAATTACACTTTACTAGGTTATCAGTGGCGGATCCAGTGGGGGTTCAGGGGGTTGGAACCCCCATTTTTTTTTATGATCAATGCATTTGATTGGGGACATATAGTTGGAACCCCCCTTTTATCCTGAGTTGTGAACCCCCCTTTTAGAAATGGCTGGATCTGCCCCTGGTTATAGTTATGAGGGTCTGGATGGGGTTTACAGAATAGAGAATAATGAACCAAGACAACAGCAAAATAGACCAAAAAGATAATAAAATAGAGAATGATGGCAAGAATGGGGTGCTATAGAATAGAGAATAATGGACAAAATAAATAAAAAAAATGGCATAAATATGAAAGATTAAAGAAATGATGACCCTTCCTATCCAAAGATGAAACTCTCAAATATACCTGACAAATTGTTGGCTAGAGATCATCACAAATAAATTTTCAAGGGGTGGAGCTTATAACATAGTTATATGATTGATTAATTGGTGAATGCTTTACACCGTGTCATAGTAATTTGAACATAAAAAAAAATATGTCATGTATAATGTATGTAAAAATCGTATATACATTTGTGCTATATTATTACAGCACATTGACTCGAGTGTGTAGGTAAAGGTAGTGTCTTTGGTTAGCTTGCTTGATTGCTTTACCATGAAATCATTACTAGCTAAGGTACAACCTTCTTTTGAGTGGATTCATTAGTTTAGGCACCAATCAAAAGTAAGAACAGTAGGTAAATATTGTGAAACCAGTTTTAAAATTTAGTTCAAAAATAGGTGTGTTTGATTTGTCAATTTCATTTCAATCAATTACCATTGTTCATTTATAACTAGATTATTTACATGTGTAAGCCTATAGAACATTATAATTCAATCGATTTAAAACAAAAATTACTATCCTTATAAGGGTCATTATAAAAAAAAACATGCAAATATATGTTATTTGGTCTTTTTAAGTCACAGACATGAAAACATATCAAAATAACACTTGCATATGTTAGATATGAATGTTTTGTGATACACTATATGCAGTTTACAGTATGAAATGTTAAAAAAACATCCTTAATGTTTTCTGAAACCCTTGGATATAGCCAGAATTAACTGTTATTTTTTTCTATAATACCTTTCAGACCTAAAATAGAATTATGATTCATATCATTTGTTATTAGGATTTATCACTATATATATATATAGCTATTTACTGCATTTTGATACATACAAACATTTTTTAATGATTTGAGAGGTGCATGTTGGTTTTATAATAAAAATTTTCAACAAAGAGAAGAGTCTCATTTTTTTAAGTCACTGGTATAACCAAAAGGAAAATTGGTTGGGTAAGAGTTATTGTTCTCAAGATTTCAGCATTTACAATTGTTTCTCCCCTAGCAATGTTTCCTGTAAGTATGTTATGCAAAAGAAAACAACAATCTGTGTTGAAAATTAGTGAAAAAATCTTAAAAGTAAGTAAAAGATATATCGTAAATGAAAATAGTGTCCATGGTGTACCCTGATAAAAATCATATCCCGAATGATTTCCTAAACTTTGATTTAAGAAAAGATATTGATTGTAGAAACATGCACCAGGGACAACATATAAAATAGGGGAATGGAGCACTTATTTTGCAACTAAATCTAAAAATACACCTATAAATCATTGGTGTTACTGTCAATGGTGAGACCACTTTAATAAAGTAACACCATTGACCAGTTTAGTAACACCACTGAATATGTTATGACAATCAGCCTTTTTCAGTGTTTCTTTCATGTTTAACAAGTGAAACATCATATTATTTATGAAATATAATTCTTATTTAAAGATGTTTTAACAATATAATGTATTATCTATACAAAGTTTTCACAAACTGGTGTATGCTGGTAACACAAATGAGACTATTTAGTAACACTTTTGACATTTTTAGTTAGCAAGCAAGCTTTTCAAAGAAATTACGTTTACCTACACACTGTGTGCTGTAAATATATATAGAAATGTACACATGTATGCATAGATTTAGCTTAATTTGATTACAAAACATTTAAAACTTTAGTATACATGTTATAGTCTATCAAAATTATTCTGATTAAGATTTTTTTTTCAAATTTCTCTCAAACACTAAATTTAAGGTTGGCAGTGAGAGAACAAAAATGGTGCAGGGTATCCAAAGGTGGTGCTAAAAATTCAAGTCTTAAGGAGCTCCATTCTTAAAAAGGCTGTTGGTTGTATTATAAACATTGTCTCATGAGCAATATTCATTCAGTCATAGACTAGTCTTTAAAAAATCATTGAAAATGTTCACTGTATACTGTTGATTGAATTTTCGTGTATCAGTGATAGACTTAAGTACATTTTGAAGTAAATTTTCATTAAAAGTGATAAAATGAATTTATCTAGTATGCAGTTGATCTGTGATGATATGGGTAAAACGACATGCATGATTTAACCATGTCCATCAAGTTTTAATTTCTCACAACTATCATGATTATATTGTACATGTTGTAATGTAACTTTGTGATATTGATTTTCATTAAATTCAGGATTTATGTGTGCTGTACTCTTTCATGTCTGTATACTATATTAATATGCATATTTTAGTGTTATACACAGTACAGGTATAGACCAAGTTCTTTCATTGACATTAGACAGTTTTTCTTTGATCTCTATAATTTGATGTGGGGTTATTTTCCTTGACCACCATTTTGAAGGGCAGACTAACTCATTTTTTAAAAGACTTACTAGTATTTAACAATTAGCACAATATGCATCTTTATTGTACAAGAAATTCTGTCAGATAAATGATTCTTACTAGATCTTAGTGAGTGATGAAATATACAAGGCTTAAAATAAATAAAAATTGTTCAAATATCTTTTTCAA